AAAGAGACGGTCTTTAAGGAAAGGGAAGACCCTAAGACAATATAAATAAATAAATGCTCCTAAAGGGGGTCTCATCCTGAACAATGTTGCAGACACTGCCGACGCATCCCCTCCTCACCAGTTGTTCTAGATCTCCAGGAATTTTCTCTGGTAGGTGCAGCAATTAAGCCTGCTGTGTGGGAATCATTAGAAAAAGGCTACTTTTAACTGCAGTCTCTTGCAAGTAGCAATCACGTTTGGGATGAGAGCCATTCTAAAACTATGAAGTCATTACGTTCAATATTTATGTCAGCATTTTCACGTGGGGCAATGCAACGTGAAAGTTTTGTTCTGTCTTGTTTTAGGCCAAAGCTCCTTCCTTATGGAGGAGGACGCCCAGCACCCGAGGACCTGTTCTGAGGATGGGTGGGGGCGCCAACCCGCCTTCCCTCTCCCTGGCCTCCAAGAGGGTTACAATTTACCCTCATTGTAAAACCTCCGATTCAGTACAAAATACAAAGATTTGGGAGTCCAAATATATCTGGCCCTTGTGCTTATTTTTTGATCTCAGAGAAGTCACGGATCCCTTTTGGACCTCAGGGTCCACAACTACAGGGTAGGAATAATATCTCTATAGCGTCATTAATGGAGATGACATAACTAAAGCGATGAACTTGTCGCTACAGCAGGTTCTCAATAAATGTCGATTCTTTTCTCCTTTCCAGAGAAATTCAACTTCTCTCCAAAGCGAGCATAACAGAGGGATTGGCAAGGAAGGAGGCAACATCAGTTTAACACATTAAAAGGCAAAGTGCAGCCTCCTCCTCCCCAGTGGCCTAGGGGTTAAATCTCAGTGCTGTCACCACAATGGTCTGAGTTCAAGCCTGGCTGGGGAGCTACCCACATGGCGCAGCAGACCTCTCCTGTCTCGCCTGATGCTCCCCTCAGCAGTGTATCTCGGTAGATCTGCCTGTTCTACTCCCTACTGTGTCTCGGGTGAACCCTCTCACCCTCCCACACCTCTGGTCTGCACCCCAGTTCTTCTATTAAAAAAATAAACAAAAGCTTTAAAAATAAAAAAGATAAAATGAATTATCTCCAAAATGTCCAGTTCCCACATGAGTCACTGTGGTTTACACAATCCCTGAAATAGGAGGAATCCTCTTAGCACCATCTATAGAGAAAAGATCTCAAGAGCTTGGAAAAGGGCCCTTCAGTGTCTCACATACTCCCCATGAAGAAACTTTCCACCCCACTGGTGACAGCGCCCAGCTGTCACTGCTGTGGGGTTTCTCGGGTCAGTCCTTCAGTGATGCAGAGAGGGCCACTGCTTTCAATGCACTGACACTGAATCGGTTAATAATAACCCATTTTAGAAAACCAAAGACTTGTAGCCAGAGTATGGCAGGCTGTGTGGCTCCTGGTCACTCAAGGCTCAGGAAAGTCTGGATTCTATTCAAGGGTTATTGTAAAGTCGCCTCATGAGGCAGTTTCCAGGGTCAAACCCCCTTCAAGGCTCTGAATGGCCACATCACCTGCACGACAGGTAGTGACGCCTCGGCCCCCATGCGTGGGCCCAGGCCCAGCACAGGCAGCATCTCAGGCCCCATGAGAAATGCAGAGCCCAAGGCACCATGCAACCCACTGGATCAGAACCTGCACTCTGGGAGACTGGGACTCGACTCTGCCCTCCTGCCTGCTGGACCTGGCGTGGGGGGGGGGTGTCAGCCCCGGAAAAGTTTACAGTACATTCCCCAAATTATATCCTAAGTCCACAGAAATAAAACACACATCAATGGAACAGAACAGAGAGCCCAGAAAACCCATCCGGGGGTTGATCAGTGCAGCAGGGAGGAGCCGGGAGCAAACACGGGGGATGTGCCTTCATTCAGGGGCGCTGGACACCCACAGGGTCACACTCAGGAATGTCCTGACCCCCATGTTCCTCCAGGACCCAAAATGACCCAAGCAGAGCTCTCCACAGCCAGCCGCCAGCCCTGGGTCCCCTCACTCACCGCTCTGCAGTCAGCCACGGGCAGGGAGATGTCCTCACCCTCCACTCTCTCTGGGGTGGTTCCTGAAGAAACCGGGTTCCCGCAGGCAAGAACTCCACCCCAAGTCTGGGGAAGCAAGTGCCAAGGTGAGCCCGGCCACTGGGGAAACAGAAGCCAGTGTTGGGGTGGGGCGTGGCTGCAGGAGCAGGGGAGGGGCTGCAGGTGCAGGGGAGGAGCTGCAGGAGCAGGGGAGGGGCTGCAGGAGAAGGGGCAGGGCTGCAGGAGCAGGGGAGGGGCTGCAGGAGCAGGGGAGGGGCTGCAGGAGCAGGGGAGGGGCTGCAGGAGCAGGGGAGGGGCTGCAGGAGCAGGGGTGGGGCGGGGCTGCAGGTGCAGGGGAGGGGCTGCAGATGTAGGGGAGGGGCTGCAGGTGCACAGGAGGGGCGGGACTGCAGGGGAGGGGGGTGAGAGGAAGGTCCTGGGTGCTCACCAGGGCGCCCCCGCCCGTCCCGTTGCGGCTGAAGTTTAGAAAATCAGACAGAAACGGAGGCGAAGCGCCCACGTCTCTGAAAATGCTGCGACCCTGACATTCCGCAACCGTGGAAACAGCAGGTCGCGTCCTCGTGCATTAAACACGCTGGGGAGGCCTCGCCGGCGGCGCAGCGGTTGGGCACCCGGCTGCGAAGCTGCCGCAGCCTCTGCAGCGCCGGTTCGATCCCCGGCTGCTCCCCGGCCACCGGAGGAGGGTCCCACATGGCGCGCAGACCTCTCCTGCCGCCCGCGGCTCCCCTCAGCAGTGTCCTTCGGTCCTTCTGCCTGCTCTGCTCCCCGCTCTGGCTCTGGGGAAATCTCTCACCCTCCCGCGCTTCTGACTGTGCCCAGTGCTTGTAGAAATAAATTAATTAAATAATTAATTTTAAAAAACACTCTGGGGAACACTGACCTGCGGCCACAGAGGGCCCCCCAAACCTGCTGCACCCCCCACAGTGAGAGAAGGAGCGTCCCGCGCCGCCCGCCCCGGCCCCGCCCGCCCGGGCGCCTCCTCAGGATTCCCCGCGAGGCCGCACTTCCCCGCCTCGCCACCAGGCGGCGCGCGCTCCCCTCACTCCTGCGCGCTGCCCCCGGGGCTTCTCCTTCCTCAGCCCGCGGCCCACTCCGCCGGGGCGGGCGCTCCCGGTTTCCCGTCTACGCCACCGCTCCTGCGTCAGCGCGCAGTGCCGTGCCGTGACGTCAACACGCAGGGGAGGGCGGATGAGGCCGAGGAACGAGAGGCTCACGGGAGAAACCAGAGGCGGAGCAGCGGCGCGCGCCGCCTGGTGGCGCGGAGGGGAGGTGCGGCCGAGGCGGGATAATGGCGGGCGGGGGGGCCGCCAAGGGGCGGGTCGGCGGGGGCGGGGGGAGAAGGGGGGGTCGCAGCCCGGAGAGTCGTGGGGGGGAGGCCCGCGCAGAGGGGGGGCAGGAAGCGGGGGTGTGTGACATCACAGCCCTGAAGATGGGGAGACAGAATGACGCGAGGCAAGAACCTGCTGACTCAGGGGTTCTCGCGCATTCGGGGAGAGCACAAGGTGGGGGCGCCGTCCGCGGGGCGCCGTGTCTGGACACCAGCATCTGGACCGGGCCTGGCACCGCGGGCGGGCGGGCGCCCCGGGCTGCGGCGGTCCCGGCGGGCGGCGGGAGGAGGCGCGGACCCGCGGGAGACGGGCGGCCCGCGCAGCCGCAGCCCCGCCCCTAGACCCGCGCACAGCGCCCCCCCCCGCGCCCCCGTCCCCTCCCGTCCCCCCGTCCCCCGGAACCGCGCGCCGGGCGCCGCCGCCCAATCCGCTCCCTTCGCTACGCGGCCGCCAGGGGCGCCCTCGGGCTCCGCCCCATGCGCGGCTCTGGGGATCCCGCGGCCGAGGCGGGGGTCGGCGCGCGCCAGCACGAGCCCCGCGAGGACGCGGGACGCGACCCAGTGGCCCGGGCCTGGGGAGCCCCTTCCCCGTCGGCCGGGATTGGGGAGCGGGTGTCCGCGCCCGCCGGGGGCCGGGGCCGGGGGCGCAGGGGTTGCCCGGTCCGGCCTCCTGCCGGGCGGTGGCCTCGAGCCCTCCCCGGTGGCTCCGCCTGCGCGGCCCCCCGCGCCTCTGGGGACAGGGCCGCCCCCCGCGCCCCCGCGCCCCGCGCTCCGCCGGCGCCCGCTGCGCTGGGCTGGGGGTGCCGGGACCCCTCTGACGCCGGCCTCGGGCGGCGCGCACGGTCCGGGGCGGCTCCGCCGGGGCCTCCCCGCGGGCTCAGGGGCGGGGGGCAGGCGCGCGGCCCGGCCCAGCACCGGGGCGGAGGTGCAGGAGCCCGCGGCGCCGGTCAGGGGGCCCGGAGGGTCCGCGGCCCCGCGGGCGGTGACAGGCCGGGGGGAGAAAGGGCGCCCGTGGCCGCCGCGTGACGGCTGTGTCCCCGCGTGTCCCCCGGGGAGACCGGCGCAGACCCGCGGGTGCCCACGGAGGAAACCCCCAGAAGGAGCTTCGCGCGGAAGCTGGTGAGGGGCCCCAGGGAAGAGAAGCCGCTTGCCGCCCCGGGAGGGGCGCCGGCGTCCCGCGGGGGAGGCCCGGCTCTCGCCTCAGTGAAATCCGCCCCTGGAAACTGGGGTCTCGTTTCACCCGTTCAGCCACCCCGCTGGCGTCTCCTGAGCACCCACTGTGTGCGCAGCCAGGGGCGGGAAACTGGGCGAGAGGGAGGAGCTGGACCGCGTGGTTGTGACCCTGGGCTCCGGCCTAGGCGCGTCCAGCTCAATAGCCCAGCGCAGCATTTCTGGGGGACCCAGCGTGCGCGGAGACCTAGATGGTGTCTACATGGTGTCTGCGGCCTGGTTGGAAAGAACTGTGCATTGTCCCTCACCCTCGGTGACTAGGGTGGATGCTGGGGGAACTTGCATTCAGCTGCGGGGGGCTTCATGAGGACCTACTGTGTGCCAATGGCCGGGCGCAGGAAAGAACCGGAGCGCTTGGTTTCTGACTTGGAGGCCCCCAGGGCTGGTGCTGTGGATGGTCACCGTGCACCCGGCCACCCCAGGACTCGTTCTTCCTGAGGACCCCCGTGTGCTGCAGCCCGGGTGACATCCAGAGCACAGGGGAGATTCAGACCCCACAATTCCTGACCTGCTGGGCACCAGGGCCAGGCCAGGGCTTTCCACACTTACATATTTCCCCGGATGTTTTCTGAGGACCTACTGTGTGCCAGGGCCAGTGCGGGTGATGCCAGACTAGAAGCAAAGTCCAACACTCCCTGGTTCCTTCGCTGCACTGAACTAAGAGGCCTCCTGGGTCCGGGCTCTCCTCCTCCAGTTGGACAACCACAGATCCCTTGGCTTAACTTATTTTCAAATAAATCCTGTTTTTAAAACTTTTGAGGGTGGAACGAGGAAACCTGAGCATGGCTTGGACAAGGATATGAAGAGATTCACTCTGGGGGGATGACGCTGCGGCTGTTTAGGAGATGATTTTGCTTAGACGCGCAAGCGAAGGCATTTACCAGTGAAGCGAGGTCAGATCTTATAATTTATTTCAAAATAAATTTGGAAACATACACATTTCCATGACCTGTTTCAAAACAGTTATAATAGTTTATAATAGTTATCTATTATAAAGCCTGTTACACTGTTACATGAAGAAATCAGAATATAAAATTCTAGGGATAGTGTTATTCCAGCAGGGGTAGAAAATTTTAATGCAGTAATGTACTGTGTATGTAGAAGAAAATGGAAACATTACTTTGCACCTAGTGGAACATTATACAGCAGCGAAAATAATTAGGCTCTTGCTACATGCAATAATGAGCATGTTGCCAAAAAAATGAACATCATGATTTAAACTTTAAATAACAGACAAAAGTTATACTTTAATAATACGTACTTGGTGATACCGTGATGAAGAACTGGGGAAATAACTATAATGGAAGTCCCACGTTGGTGCGCACTCAGGAAGGAAGATCATGGTACAATTAAGCCAAGATCAAGGTTTCCTGACCCAGTCAACGGGAGTTCATTTAGTAATTCCCAAACTGCTTATACTATCTACCCTTACACGGTGTTACATGTATCTCAGAACCGGCTAACTCAAGCTAAGAAATTGGTGCAGTTACCTCTCTGCTCCCTTCCTGACTCCACACGGGCCGGTGCCCTACCCACCACGGCACTGGGCAGGGACACCAGCCCCTTCTCACACTCCTTTGGAGCCCTCTCCTCTCTTCCCTTCCCGGACGTGCAAGCTCCTCTCCTCTACGTGGGGTTTTCCATGCAGCTGCTGTTTGCATTCTCAATTTCTGCTATTACTGAGTAAAAGTATTTACCTGGTAAAGTTATCAGCTACTTCATCTATCAACTCTCCCTTGTCCCAACTCTAAATCCTGAAGGTAAAGCTGAGGTAAGACCTGTTCTGACTCATCTCACAGACCCTCAGTAGTCTAGTGTCTCTGTTTAGCTTCTCTCAGGGAGATTTGGTTAAATTTTCCCTCTGAAGGGCTCACACTTTTCCTTTTGCGCCACATGCCTTGCTTTTCTCTCTTGGGTGGGGGATGGTTGTTGAGTACTGGACACTGACATCTCACAATGTGTGACTCGCGAAACCACACTCGTCCCCTTCCCCAGGTTCTGCTGGGACTTTTTGTCAGCATCGCTGCTCTTGTCATTTTCTTGTCCTAGTGCTCTCTGTGCTGAAGGTCAGCCTGAGGTGTCCATGTTGTCACTTCTGAGCCCTCCCTTTGTGTGTGCAGCCACCTCCTGACTGTCCCTTATGTGCAAGTTACTAGTGTCCTGCTCTTTCATGCCCCCACGAGACGACAGTCGATGAGTGAGAATCGGTGTTGGACCTTAAATCTTCATAATCATTTTCACTAAAGCAGGAGGGGCTCACAAACTGGGACATTATTTTTCTATTCCCCTTCATACTGCAGAAGATTGTTGGGCTGCGTTCAATAGAAAGTTATAATAACAGGAAAAAAAGAAACATTAAATGTAGAGGCCATAATGATTAAAGCAGGATGCTGTTGGACAGCATCAAAGTTCTCAAGGTTTAAAAAAGTTGTTTCTAAAGGGAGAAAAACGGGAACCCACAGTGAGGTGAGCTGCAAACATGATATTTTGACCAAATAGGGGTAAAACCTCTGCACCACATCAGCCCACTGACGTATCATCACCGCTGGAGTCCTCTGTGACAACTGGGTAAGAGACATCAGCACTTGGGATCCAGTTGCACCGATGTGAAGATCCTGGTGTTGGTCCTGGGCAGAATTCTGAAGGCTGCAGCCAACAGCACGGAATGCTAAGGAGTAGAGACCACTGCGTGCAGCACAGCTGCTTTGAGTGCAGGCTTCCAGGGGCTCCTGGGCGCTGCAGGCCTCTTTCTGTAATTCTCATGACTTTAAGCCAGTGTGGATGAAACAGACAGCCACAGGTCCAAGACGGGGCCTGCCCTGCTGGTTGGCATCCAGCCTGAGGGTAACCTCTAGCACTGGGAGCTCGGCCCAAGATGCCCGTATAACCTGACAGCCGCAACTGGTGGGGACTGACTCACAGGGCCCCAACGGGCATGCTTGGACAACAGACTTGCCTCTGGAGCGTATCCAGCACCGTCATCACACTAAGTCCTCCAGATTGGCACGTTAGGGTGTCGTGGGAAAAAGCACCCCTTGCTCAACGTCAAGGACAACTTAATGAAACCCAGCGCCCGCACTAGCCACACATCAGTATCCTTGTGGCAGCAGATGACGCGCTGCCCCCACAAGCAGCCGGGATGGACAGCACCAGGGCCAGGCTGAGGAGACTCCCCTGGTGCGTTCCCTGCCTTACCCAGCTACGAGACTCCTGAGAAAACACAACTTAGAAAATGCCGCTCCGGACAGGAAAATTAATGTGATGCAAGGAGGAAACAGGAAAATTCCTGAATTTTGTGTTGTGCAATGGAGATTCCACAAGAGGGAAGAACACAAAAAGATGCTGCTGACGTGACAACCTTTGTTTTTAATTTGATCAATACACATTTGACAAAACAGTTTAAAGTAGCCCATTGACAGGCACAAGATATTTACAGTAACAGCTGTGAAAACATAAAATCGATGTATTTTTAAGCAAGTGTCTATATAAAGTTTCCTACTGTGAATCTGGAAGACGTTCAGTTCCTACTCATGCCCTGGCCTGACATCCCAACGGGTGGCATGTGGAAGGCCCAGGAGCAGGAGGTACAAGCTCTAAAACACCTGGCAACTGAGGATCATCTACTGGCGTGAGCTCAGGGGCAAGAGAAGGGTGAGATCTTGGGTAAGACACAGAATGGAAGACTCCAAAGGAAACATCTAAGGACAAAACCTAAAATCACACTCTCTTCCAGTTTCCTAGAGAAGGCTGCACACTATTTTTTTTTAAAACTTACTCAATTTTCCCCTTTAGCAGAAAATCAGCAACCCTGAGACTCCCATTTGCCATGACGTAAAAGCTAATAAACATCTAGAAACAGCTCAAGATTTACAAACTAACTTTATATCAAAAAGAAACTTTAAAATAACTTTTATAATCTGAAAATACATGTGAGCAAAAATTTTCAAATGTTTCTTGCCTAATTCTAAAACATTCCAACTAGTAATTTCCATTGTCTGAAATTAGCTCGACAGATACACTTTAAAATCGAGCACCGCTTGCTCTAGTTACAGGGAATGCCCACATTCTCCACACTATTCAAATACACAACATGAGAGACCGTGTCCAAGTGGAACAGTTTGAATTTACTGAATTACGAGACAGTCACATAAACAAAGGCCATGAAAAAATAACCTGTTTCTTTGTAAAGCTACTGAGACACCAAACACATCCAAACACATCGTCTATGATCCAACAAGACTAGTCAACTAACTCTACCTTCGACGAACGGCTCCGACGGGCCGTTGCAGAGCAGCCTCGTTCCAAGGTCAGGTCTGCTGCTCCTCCACTGGGGGCTCAGGAGCTTCCATCAGCTTCTTATTTGCCTCCTCATTGTGCCGGCTTTGACAGTGAGTTAGATGTTTCTTAAAACCTCTTGGGAAATTTGATTCAAAATTACAACGTGGACATTTCAGTAAACTTTGCCCATGGGCTGCTACATGATTTTTGAGGAGAGATTCCAAGAGAAAAGCCTTGCCACAAATGGTGCATTTGTAAGGACTGTGGACATTATGCTTATTTACTAAGTGATGCAGAACAGCGCCCTTTTTCATTGCACGACAGCAGCAAATTTTGCAATAATACTTTCCTTTTCCACGTTTCATGTATTTTGCAATCTCCTCTTCAGAGATAAAAGCCTCTTTTTCTTCCGTGAACTGCAGTACATTTTTGGAGTGCTCTGAGCTAGCCATGTCCATCTTGCTCTCTTTACCAAAATCAATAGACTCCACATCTACCTGTTCTTGGTCACTACTTGACTCTTGACCCTTCATATCTATTGCATCCAGATCTGTTTTCATATACTCACTGCTACTCAGCTCAGCATCTGAGTTCTCTTGGTTGTCTTTCTTAAGCTTCTTTGAGGAATGAAATAAAGTGTCTTCTAAAAGCTTCTTAGGTGTAGCTAGTATGTCCTCCTGGACCAAAAGATCACACTTTTGATCATCTATGGCTTCTGTCTGCAGTTCATCACCAAGATCAACTGCCTTCTGAGATTCTGAAAACATAGATTTGGGGAGTTCAGGGAAGAGAGCATGCTTCCGGGGCTCTGGGAAAAGGGTGCGTTTTCGTGGCTCAGGAGAAGCAGGAGGGGCTGTTTTGGGAGGCTCAGGAAACAGTGCAGGTCTTCTAGGCTCAGTATCAAGGGAAAGGACAGATTTCCAGATATCAGAGCCTGCTTTAGGGGACTCAGAAGGTCCAGAAGGCCCTGTTTTCCGGGTCTCGGGGAAGACAGGTTTCTGAGGTTCCATAAAAAAGGAAGACTTCCAGAGGTCAGGGGAACCACCACGTGAACTTTTCTGGGACTCAGGAAAATCAAGTGAGGTGGGAGAAGTCTTCCGCTGATCAGGAGAAAGCTTCCAAATCTCTGGAGAACCCGAGGGCTTTCTGAGCTCTGGAGAGCCAGCTGGACTACGCATCTCCGGGGACAGTGGTGAGCCTTGTTTTCGAAGTTCAGGGGACAAGGGTGGGCCTGCTTTACGGAGCTCAGGAGACACGGGGGGAACGGCCTTCCACTGCTCGGGTGACAATGTAGGTGTCGTCTTCCGCAGTTCTGGTGGGCCAGACTTCCATGACTCAGGAGACGTGGGGGGGGTTTTCCAGGAACCAGGGGAGACTGATGAAGACTTCCAGGAGGCAGGGGACAGGGAGGGTGTCGGTTTCCAAGGTCCCGGTGACACAGAAGGAATAGGTTTCCAAGGCCCAGGAGACACCGAGGGAGCAGGTTTAGCCGGCTTCCAAGGTCCTGACGCTGCCGAAGGACTAGATTTCCAAGACCTGGGGGACCCAGGCGGCCCTGGCTTCCAAGAACCCGGGGACACAGCCGGGGCTGGTCTCCTAGGCTCCGGAGAGGCAGCAGGGAATGGCTTCCAAGGCTCAGGAGACTCTGATGGGGACGGTTTCCTTGGCTCTGGAGAGAGCGCCCGGGCTGGCTTTCGAGACTCTGGAGATGCAGATGGGGATGGCCCCCAAGAGTCAGGGGACACAGCCACAACTGGTGACTCTGGAGATGAGGCTGAAGGCGGCCCCAGTACCTCTGGGAAATGGGAGTGTTTCTGGGGCTTAGGGTTAATAAGAGCAGCCTTTATTGGATCAGGAGACACAGGACCAAGTTTCTGTGCTTCTGGAGAAGGAACAGAAACTGGTTTCTGAGATTCAGAAACAACAGGGACTGACTTTGAAAGTTCTGGAGAAGAAACGGGAGCAGGTTTTAGAGGCTCAGGAGAAGAAAGAGGAGGTGCCAGTGGCTCAGGAGAGACAACAGGGCCAGGTTTCTGAGGCTCCAGAGAAGGAAGAGGAGCTGTTTTTGGTGACTCTGGAGATGAAACTGGGCCAAGTTTCTGTGTGTCCGGGGGAAGGGCAGGTACAGGTTTCAGCTCTACTGAATTAGAGGGTATTTTCTGTTGTTCAGAAAGGGGGGTGCTCCTCACAGGATCTGTTTCTCTGTTTAACTGGTTTTTTGGTTTCTCATTCCATTTCTCTGAGGCTGCGTGTGTGGACGTGATGTGATAATACACATTAGAGTACATCTTGCTGGTAAAGAAGCATCTATGGCAATGGAACAGCTTCGCACTTTTCTGGTAAAATATCATTTTACCCAACCCACCAGCATCCATTTCATCACAGAACTCCGGATGGATGGTGCCCATGTGGATCTGCACGTCCTCATAATCCGCGCCCCTGAACCCGCAGTGGCCACACTCTAGCCGAGCCGGCGCGTCACGGAGTCCCCGGAACACCTCCATTCTTCTTTCAGCAACAACACACACGATCACGTGCTCTAAATTTTTTTCAGCAGTGCTGCAATAAAGCAGAAATAAATTACCTTCGGCATAGTTTTCACTAAAATGCTGTTTTAATCCATTCTGCAACTGCATAGTTAAATAATCCAGAATGGCACATGCATTAGATAGTGTCTTTATGAAGATTTTAAGGAAAAGGAGAGACTCCACTACTTTTCCACAATTCACCTCATTTAATCCTCCTAAACATGTGACTCAAGTATGACCTTTCACTGGAGACAACGAAGCTAAGGCTCACAGAAATGACCTGGGTGATACACGGCTCTCAGCGACCCAAGTCTGACCCGAGAATCATCTACTACATGTGGAGTTCAGAGTTCAAATTCATTCAGAGAGTACTTATTAAACTACATCTAACTACGAAAAGGTGGCTTTAAACAAAAAAAAAAAAAAAAAATCAACAGCTAAATAATGGTACTTCATGAAAAACACATATAAAAGATAAACCTATCTTGTAATGCTTTACCCCTTCTAATATAAAAAATTTTATTCACCTCATAAATGAACTGCTTCGTACTCCCTGCTGTCCCAGGCACTTGCCTTAAAGGGGTGTCTTGCAGTCTGTGCTTACGTTTTTTGGGGAGCAAGAGTATAAAATCAACAGAGAGGAGGTCAAGGAGAGCCCCCGGGGAGGCAAAGACACCTAGCAGAGAACCCAGGGTGGGGGAAGGCTGACAAGCCCAGGGACTCACACAGAGCATTCTGCGGGCAGGGACTTGCCAGAAGATGACTTCCAGGTCTATGGTCACACCACCCTGAACGCGCCCCATCTCGTCTGATCCTGGAAGCTAAGCAGGGTCGGGCCTGGCTAGTACTTGGATGGGAGAAAAATGACTTGTAAAATTTTAAGCCAGGTTTCTTAGTGGTAAATTAACAGACGCTCGGAATTACACACAAATCGCTCACACAGAACAAGATACTCCAACAGGACCGCCCGGGGCAGCCGCTGCACTCGTGTCATTGAGGACAATTTCTGTGTGTACACAAGTGCAGAGACATAGCCACACATATAGATACTAAAAATACTGTTCTCAAACTTGCATTCATTCTCTCCTCTGGCTCAGGAGAGACAACAGGGCCAGGTTTCTGAGGCTCCAGGAAAGGAAGAGGAGCTGGTTTTGGTGACTCTGGAGATAAAACCAGGCCAAGTTTCTGGGTGTCTAGGGGATGGGCAGGTAGAGGTTTCAGCTCTGATAACCTAGAGGGCATTTTCTGGGATAGCTTCACATATAAAAACAAGTACCAAAGTTCCTTGGGTGCACCGCTGATGGTTCAAAAGTTATTTGCAATTAGAAGGAAACATTTTACCCAACTCGAAGAGCTGTGGTACTGTACATGAACACAGGACCTTCCAATCCCTACTGCTTAGATGAAAACCTGGACCTCACTGTTTACATGAGGTGGAACATTTTTCCTTGATTAGCCATGTATTTTTCTATTCCAGGATATGTCAGTTTGTTTTCTTTCTTTCATTTTTTTTTTTTTAAGACTTTGTATTTTTTATACAAGAACCGGGGTACAGGCCAGATGTGTGGGAGGGTGAGAGGATTCACCGGAGACAGCCGGGACAGAACAGGCAGACTGAAGAAAAACACTGCTGAGGGGAGCAGCGGGCGAGACAGGAGAGGTCTGCTGTGCCTGCGCCATGTAGGATTCTCACCGGCCAGCCAGGATTGAACTGGCGCTACAGAGGCTGCGGAGAGCTTCACGGTGCGGAGCTCAACCGCCTGCACCACCAGGGAGGCCCTCTTTCTTTCTTTTAAAAAAGATTTACTTATGCATATAAGAGCTGGGATGCAAATCAAAGGTGCAGGGGGTGAGAGGATCCACCAGACACAGAGCCAGGAGCTGCTGAGGGGAGCAGCAGGGAGACAGGAAAGGTCTGCTGCTCCCTGTGGGTCAGGTCCCTGGCCAGGGATTGAACTCGTGCTGCAGAGGCTGCGGAGAGCTTCATAGCACTGTGACTCAACACCATGCGCCACCAGGGAGGCCCTATGTAGTTCATTTTCTTTGCCCACTTTAAAAATATTATTTGTTCTTGGTCCTCGGCCATAGAAGACATTAAATCCTTTTACTGAAAATATTTTTCCAGTTTATCATTTATTTCGGTTTACGGTATTTTGTCACCATACACAACTACTTTACATAAAAATAAGTGCTTTTCATTTTTTTTTTTTAAAGATTTATTTGCCTTTTTTTTTTTTTTTTTTTTTTTTTTGTGGGACCCTCACCGGTGGCCGGGGATTGAACTGGCTCTGCAGAGGTTGCGGGCAGCCTCGCAACCCAGCGCTCAACCACTGCGCCACCAGGGGCGGCCCTATTTACTTATTTATACAAGAACCAGGGTACAGGCCAGATTCGCGGGAGGGTGAGAGGATTCACCAGAGACAGAGTGTGGAACAGAACAGGCAGACTGACAAAATACATTGCTGAGGGAAGCAGCGGGGAGACAGGAGAGGTCTACTGCACCATGTGGGACCCTCACCGGCCGGCCGGGATCAAACCGGCACTGAAGAGGCTGAGGACAGCTTCACAGCACAGCGCTCAAGCACCTGCGCCACCAGGGTAGGCCCTTCTTTTCTTTTTTTTTTAATAATAAAGATTTATTTATTTTTACATAAGAACTGGGATACAGGTCAGACACACGGGAGGGTGAGAGGATTCACCGGGCACTACTGAGGGGAGCAGTGGGCCAGACAGGGTAGGCCTGCTGCTCCATGTGGGAATCTCCCTGGCCGGCCGGGATTCAAACCCGTGCTGCAGCAGCTGCGGTCAGCTTCACAACGCGGCGCTCAACCCACTGTGCCACCGGGGAGGCCCAAAAGTGCTTTTTCTTAAGACTCTGTGTTTTAAATTATCTTTTCCCACTGCATTACTGTTTTAATTACTTGATATTTTTCCCCAGTGATTTTGTTTATTTGTTCTTTTTTCTACATTTGTATCTTTAAACCCATCTGGCACAGGGGCCTCCCCGGTGGCGCAGCGGTTGAGCGCTGGGCTGCGAAGCTGTCCGCAGCCTCTTCAGCGCCGGCTTGATCCCCGGCTGCTCCCGGCCACCGGAGTAGGGTCCCACATGGCGCGCAGACCTCTCCTGCCGCCCGCTGCTCCCCTCAGCAGTGTACTTCAGTCCTTCTGCCTCTTCTGCTCTCTGCTCTGGCTCTGGTGAATCCTCTCACCCTCCCACGCTTCTGACTGTACCCAGTGCTTGTATAAATAAATAAATAAATCTTTAAAAAAAAAAAGAAATTATTAAAAAATAAATAAACCCATCTGGTACAGAATGTGAAGTAGAGACCCAGCTTTTTTTTTTTTTTAAGATTTATTTATTTATTTATACAAGAACAGGGGTACAGACCAGATGTGTGGGAGGCTGAGAGGATCCATCAGAGACAGAGCGGGGAGAACAGGCAGAGTGACGAAATACACTGCTGAGGGGAGCAGCGGGCATGACGGGAGAGGTCTGCCATGCCACGTGGGACCCTCGCCGGCCGGCCAGGATCGAACCGACGCTGCAGAGGCTGCGGACAGTTTTGCAGCCCAGCACTCAACCACTGCACCACCAGGGGAGGCCCCCAGCTTATTTTTTCACTGGGAACAGATAATTCTGTTGTCTCTACAACACTGATTAAACAGCTTTTCCTCACTGATGTGTCATGTCCCACTTAGCTCCTATGATTCTGTGTATATCATTCTATTCTGGGCTCTTATGCTCACTGGGTCATTTGGCAATATGCCCTTTGCCAAATGGAAATCCCACAACTGCTATACCTAACGGACATACAGTGAGGCAGCAGCCGTCACTGAGAATGCGCAATGTGCTGACACAGCCCAAATACCCTCTTCAGAGTCAATGCCTCTCAAAGCAGATCAGGGACTTACTTATAATCACAGGGTTCCCTTTATGAATCTTGACACCATTCATTTAAAAAAATTAGTAGCATCACTCATTTTGATAACTTGTTTTCAAAGATGGTATTACTAAAAATACTCGTTACTATCACTGAATCAGTGGCTGCGGGGCCTGTGGCTAAAAAGGTGACAGCTGAGACCAATGCTTGTCAGATAGGGTCAGTTCCTTTTGATTTACTTTGCAATTATCTGTCTTTGAGATCATTGTTTTCAGGGCAAGAAGGAATAAAAAAATTATAATCACTTAATCCCGAAGAAAATCTCTAAAAAGAATCTAGCTCACACGGGCCTCCCTGGTGGCGCAGGCGGTTGAGTACCACATTGTGAAGTTGTCTGCAGCCTCTGCAGTGTGGGTTTGATCCTGGCAAGCAGGCGAGAATCCCACATGGCACACAGATCTCTCCTGTCTCCCTGCTGCTCCCCTCAGTGTATTTTTTTTTTAAGATTTATTTACTTTTTATTTATTTATACAAGCACTGGGTACAGTCAGAAGCGGGAGGGTGAGAGAATTCACCAGAGCCAGAGCGGGGAGCAGAGCAGGCAGAAGGACCGAAGGACACTGCTGAGGGGAGCAGCGGGCGGCAGGAGAGGTCTGCGCACCATGTGGGACCCTCCTCCAGTGGCCGGGGAACAGCCGGGGATCGAACCAGCGCTGCGGAGGCTGCGGGCAGCTTCACAACCCAGCGCTCAACCGCTGCGCCGCCGAGGAGGCCCCCTCAGCAGTGTATTTCAGTCTGCCTTTTCTGCTCCCCACTCTCTCTCTGGTGACTCCTCTCACCCTCCCGCACATCTACCCCGGTTCTTGTATAAAAATAAAGAAATCTTTAAAAAAAAAAAAAAAAAAGAATCTAACTCAGAAACATCACCAAGAAAACAACTAGAAATAAGAGATTAATTATCCACCTCAAAGTCGAACGTTCAACACCACTAGATATTAAGAGAAAATCAAAGACGAGTCTCGATCACCCTCTGGCCATGAGCAGCAGCAGCCAACGGCACGAGCACTGAAGAGCCAGGGCTGTGCCATCATTCAGATCAGGGCACATGGTCGCGCAGAAGAAGAGAGGCTAGAGCGTCCTGATGACTCGGTGTTGCTCTTGTCAAGCTGCTAAATCTCTCTGTGCTTTCACTTCCTCTGTTGTAAAATGAATATAGAATTTCAGCGCACAGCAAGCACCCAGCATAAGTTGACCACAGTCACGTCTCAAACTCGAAGGTCTGTGTCTCAGAGTTAAAGCCCCATGACATCACGGCTGAGGCTGCCTGCCCCACAGTGGCCCACCCAGATCCTGCCTGTGGCGGCAGAAGGCGCTGCTTCCGTGCTTTCTTACATTTACTTTAAACAAACTATTACCAGCTTCTCAAGAAATCGGAAAGCGCCTTTATGTTCTCCTTTAGGGTCGCACTGACTTAGCTACACCCCTCTCTTGACCTACGTACAGTCCCACTAAGGAAGCAACTTCTTCCTTCCCTGTATACTAACTCAACAAGTTTTACTAACAGTAACTCAAAGTAGGTCCTCAAGAGCCTGTATGTGTGCAATACAGGAGTCACATCACCAGCTGTGAAGGGAGAGGCTTTCTACTCCTGTTCCACAGAAGTGACTGGGCAGACTGTGCTTCATCAGAAAGGATTTCTTAAGATGCTTCTTGAAAACTTAGCAAATGAAAAGCAGGATACAACGGAACCACACCTCCCAACAGGCTCAGCCGAGCAGCACGCTGCATTTGAGGTCTCTTCCTGCAACGCTCCACCATTCTCTCTCCTTACCCCACTTTTCACTGACCATGCCCCACCTTTTCCCACCCCTTGGGGATTTTACACCAACCCCCTGTTTTACAGCTGCTGCTATATAGTCATCCCTCCTCTGGACCTGGGCCATGTGGGTTCCAGCCACTTCAGCTCCTCCAATGAGGTCACCCCTCCTTTGGTGTCATTTGCTGCCCGCCTATATCTGCCCGCTGGCCAGCTCCCCCACTCTTCAGAGCCAAGCGGCCAACACCACCCACTCCCACCCCTTCAGCCTCTCCCCTGCCCTCCTCTCTGCCTCTTTTCCTCTTTATACCACCACCTCCTCTGCCCAATCTCAAAGCCTGCTTGATACCAAGTCTCATTACACACATTAGTGCCTCTTAAAGAAAAAGCTGGGGCCTCTCCAGCGGCGCAGTGAGCTGAGCGCAGCACTGTGACGCTGTCCGCAGCCTCTGCAGCGCCGGTTTGATTCCCGGCCAGCCAGGGAGAAATCCACATGGTGCAGCAGACCTCTCCTGTCTCACCCATTGCTCCCCTCAGCAGTGCTTTCGGTCCATCTGCCTGTTCTGCATCCCACTCTGTCTCTGGTGAATCCTCTCACCCTCCCGTGACTCTGGCCTGTACCCCGGTTCTTGTATAAAAATAAATAAAATCTTTAAAAAAAAAAAAAAAAAGAAAGAAAAAGCTGAAAATAATGCTATGGAACCTGCTTCTCAAGCCCCATATCCTGTCAGGCATGTGCGCTCTGACACTCATGCACGTTGCGAGATGAGTGGACGCTTTTATCGCATTCTCTAAGCACTTTTCAGTGTGTTCTCACCATACAATAGTCTCCTACACATTAAAAAGTGAGCGATGTCAAAAGCAATTAAAATCTAAACAGACTGATGCTGGTAGAACAACACTTTATAACGGCAAGAGAGTACCTCAGAACGTAGCAGAAACTCGGTCCCAAACGCTTCGTGGCGACAGACTAGCTGGCCAGCCAGGGGCCTCACGGCAGTCTTCAAAGAGCAACAAATCTATGTGGGGTTTCCACTAAGCCACAGAAAATAGCCTGTAGTTCACGGAGGAAAAGGTGAGGCGTCGAACCTGAAAAAATTAAGGCAGCTGAATCAAAACTCCATCTATCAACACGTGCGCCCCTGCAGAACCCTGCCTGCTCCTCCACCGCCCTCCCTCCCACAGTGACTGGGGTCCAATCTGACAAGCCTGGACATGCACTTTATCTTATTTTTTAAAGATTTATTTTCTACTTATTTATGCATACAAGAGCTGGGGTGCAGGCCAGAGGTGCGGGGGGTGAGAGGACTCACCAGAGACAAAGTGGGGAGCAGAACAGGTGGATCTATTGAGATCCACTGCTGAGAGGAGCAGCCGGGAGACAGGTGAGGTCTGCTGCGCCTTGTGGGTCACTCCTTGGCCAGGGATCACAATCAGGCCGCAGTGGCTGGTGGTAGCTTGATAGTGCTGAGACTTTGACACCTGTGTCCCCAGGGAGGCCCTGGACACGAACTTTAATCAAACACTGCCCTTGTGTGATCCCAGCTTAGAGTTGCACCAGTTACCTCCCATGTGTGCGACCAAACCCCCCGACGCCCACCATCTAACTCAGAGCTGCTGTGACAAGCACGCAGAAGCTGGTGCTGTGAAGACAGACGGTGGGGAGTGTCGAGGTCAGCGGCGTCACAAAGCAGCACCGCACAGGAAGGGGCGACACAGGTGACAGACCACCAGGAAGCAGAAGGGTGGGGTGTGTCAGTGACAGCTCAGGCTCCCCACTCCCTCCCATGTGAATTTCATGAAGAGAAGGCACCAGGGTCTGGGCACAATGGAAGCAACTAGCAAGGAAGGAGCTGGATGGCAGCTCACAACAACATAGCCAGATCCCAGCACGTCCATCCAGCCCTTCTCTATTCCTGATGCCTTGCAGCCTGAGTTCTGACCCCTGACCTCCCTGCTGCGAGCCTCGGCCCCTCCCAAGCCATCCATCACACTGACAAAGTCACCTCACAAACAGAAAGAACCCAGCACAACCCACTCCACTATTCCTCCAGGGACCCCTGACACCTCCAGTACAAAACCCGACCGCAGGGGCCTCCCCGGTGGCACAGCGGTTGAGCGCTGGGTTGCGAAGCTGCCTGCAGCCTCTACAGCGCCGGTTCGATCCCCGGCTGCTCCCTGGCCACAGGAGGAGGGTCCCACATGGCGCGCAGACCTCTCCTGCCGCCCGCTGCTCCCCTCAGCAGTGTCCTTCGGTCCTTCTGCCTGCTCTGCTCCCCGCTCTGGCTCTGGTGAATTCTCTCACCCTCCCATGCTTCTGACTGTACCCAGTGCTTGTATAAACAAAACAAACACACAAATAAAATAAATAAAACATGCCTCTATAAAAAAAAAACCCGACCGCAGTAGGTGTGACACTTGTAATCTGACCCCATACGAGGCTGCTCTCTCAACACAACGACCCCACAGTCCCCTAGTTCTTCAAACTTCCAGACCACTGACTGAAGTATTCCCGCTAGCTCACACCCCTCTCACGGCCAGTCAGCCTCCAGGCAAGTGCATCCATCCTTCAGGCCTGACTGCTTCCTAGGTTAGGTCCATTCCCCTGGTACAGCAGGGACCCCCCGCCCATTCAGGTGTGACCCTGCACCCCCAGACCCTGTATGTGCTCAGTATCTGCTCAGACCGCACATTCTTTCATGAAGATTGGGGAATTGATGTTACAACTACAAGACTCGAGTTACCCAGTATTCTCAGTCGGGGATCACCCTACTTTAAAAACGCAACTTGTGGGCCTCCCTGGTGGTGCAAGGGATTAAGCACCACACTATGAAGCAATCCGCAGCCTCAGCAGCACGAGTTCCATCCCCAGCAGGCCAGGGAGCTATCCACATGGCGCAGCAGACCTCTGCTGGCTCGCCCACTGCTCTACTCAGCAGTGTTATTTCAGTCAGTCTGCCTGTTCTGCTCCCCTCTGTCTCTGGTGAATACTCTCACCACCACCTCTGGTAGCATCTCTGGCCTGTACCCCAGCTCTAGTATGCATAAATAAATAAATCTTAAAAAAAAAAAAAAAACAGCTTGAACTTGAAAAATCTCAAGCCCATACATTTACAATCAACATGTAACAAAGAACCCAAACGGTGTCCTACTGTCTATCTGGGCTCTTCCTAGCATCTTGACCAAACTGAAAGATCTTGAAAAGCCAGTACAGTGGGCCCAAATCAACCAGATGGTCATTATCCAACACTCAGGATCTGGGTAGCAACTGCAGCATGCAGGACGTCCCAGAAGTGCATCCCACAGCCCACAATGCACAGAGAACCCCGGTAGACCTGTCTCCAGCTCTGGGCAGGAGGAACCATATGAGGAATCTGCAGCACATGAGGGATCATGCAACGAAGGAAGCAGTTTTCGAAAACATGTTATTTGTGAACACAGACAGCTTCAAAAGAAGAACAGCTATGGACGACACAAAAGCTGTCCGAGAAACAACACATGGATGTCGGCTGGAAAACAGAGGTCAGCTCAACAAAAACAGCGCTACAGACCACCCCCCCGCCCCAGGTGATCCGGGATATGCTGTGACCGGAAGCCAGTCTACCCAGGCCTGGGAGGCCCTCAGAGGGCTGGAGTCCCACCTCTTTATCTCACCCTAGGTACACTGATGCTGAGGAAGAGAAATGACCTGTCCGAGACCACACGTACTAGGTCAGAGGGAGCAACAGGAGAGCCTGACTCAAGACCTCTGGTGACCCCTGCTCTCCCACATGCATGCTGCAGAGCTGAGTCCTAAACGTGCACATGTTCCTTCCAGCTTCAGAATTCCAGCAAGTTTCTTTCTAAATTTCAGAGATCCTGAGCCTAGGAAAGTAATTCTAAACTGTCAAAATAATAATAAATTCTCTTATCCTACTTTTTGCCTCTACAGACTATGTTTTTTGTTTCTAAAAAACACAAGAACTAATCATTAGCGTCTGGCCAGCCACCAGGAATTTTTCAGTGCAGCTCCACGCGACAGCGCGCCACCTCTTCCCAAAGTCCAACGTCCTGCAAGTTCAACACCAACGGGCATCTTTTAAATGCACATTTTACATAGAGCTTTTGACGACTGCCTTTACAGAGCACATTTAAAGCACCTGCGTTGCACTACAGCACACACCAGGGCGTTTTAAAAGTTAGTAAGCATTTTGGGCCTCTCTGGTGGTGCAGGCAGTTGAGCGCAGCGCTGTGAAGCTGTCCGCAGCCTCTGCAGCGCGGGTTCGATTCCCAGCCGGCCAGGGAGATTCCCACATGGGCCGGCAGACCTCTCCTGTCTCCCCGCTGCCCCCTCAGCAGTGTATTTCGTCAGTCTGCCTGTTCTGTTCCCTGCTATCTCTCTCTGGGGAATCCTCTGGCCTGTACCCCAGCTCTTGAATGCATAAATAAATCTTTTTTAAAAATAAAGTAAGGGCCTCCCCGGTGGCGCAGCGGTTGAGCGCTGGGCTGCGAAGCTGCAGCAGCCTCTGCAGCACCGGTTCGATCCCCAGCCGGGTCCCACATGGCGGGGAGACCTCTCCTGCTGCCCTCAGCAGTGTACTTCGGTCCTTCTGCCTGTTCTGCTCCCCGCTCTGGCTCTGGTGAATCCTCTCACCCTCCCGCGCTTCTGAGTGTACCCAGTGCTTGCATAAGTAAATAAAACTTTAAAAAATAAATAAATAAAGCAAGCATTTTAAAGAGCAGTTTTAGGCTTTGAGAGAAAGTGAAGATTACAGAAACCCCCCCAACAGCCAGCCCTCCCTGCCTCCCGTCACAGCCCGCGCTCGGGGCGCGTCGCGAGCCTCGCCGCCGCCGCCGCCGCCGGCCTCCGGGACTCCCGCCGCGCCTGGCGGCCCAGGGCTCCGCCCGGCCTTAGCAGCCGCGGCGAGGCGGGACAGACCGCGCCCGAGCGCTCCGCGGCGCGAGGAGCCCTGACGCCTCCAGGGCTGCCGGCTGCTCCGGGGCTGCCGGCTGCTCCGGGCCCGCCAGGCGCCCCGCCGCCCGGCCCCGCACCTGCCGTCCGCGCCCGCGTCGCGTCGCGTCGCGTCGCGCCGCAGCGCGCGCTCCTCGCCGCCGCCGGCGGGGCCTGCCCTCCGCGCCCAGGGCGCGCGGGCGCTTCTGGGGCCGCGGCCCACACCCCCCGGGGTGCCGGCGGGCCCCGCCCCGCGGCCGCCGCCAACCCCGCGGGACGCGCCGCGCGCGCCGACCCCGCCCCCGGCGGCCGCGCCGCGCGACCCCAGAGCCCGCGGCCGGGCCGGGCCTCCCCGGAGGACGCCCTCCCGGGGCCGACGCGCTCCTGCCCGCCCGACCGCTCTCACCGGCGCGAGCGCGGCGGCGTCCGGGCGCGCTGGGCCGGCGGAGACCGGCTCCGCTCCCGCGCGGTCCGCAAGGCCTCGGCGCGGCGCCCCGAATGGCGGCCAGGCGCGGGCACGAGAGCGGGCGCGCGGGCGGCCGGCAGGGGCTGACGGGAAGCAACGTCGGCGCCGCGCGCCGTCCCGCGCGGGCCAGTCAGATCGCTGATCGCCAGAGCCGTGCGCCGAGCCGCAGCTCCGGAAGTGACGTTCCCCCGCGCCGGAACTGCCCGCGCCCTCGAGGAGGGCGGTCCGGGAACCTGCGGGGTGGGGAGGGCGGTGCTGACCGGGGCCGAGGGGCGGGGCCGGCACTGGCGAGGGAAGGGTGAGGCAGGCGGGGAGGGGCGGGCCGGGAGCGGGACGGGCATGGAGGGGCGGGGCCAGGGGCCAGCGGCTAGGGCCGGCCCGGAGGAGGTGGGGCCGGCGGGGGCAGCGGGGCGGGGCGGGTCAGCGGAAGCGGGTCCAGAGGGCCGGGGTGGGTGCGGCGGAGGCGGGGCGGGGCCGGCGGGGCGGGGCGGCCACCGGAGTGGGGCCAGTGGGGCGGGGCCGGGGCCGGAGTGGGCGGGGCCGGGCCTGGGGTAGGCGCCTGCGGAGGCGGGGCTGGCGGTGGCGGGGCTGGAACGTCTGGCCCAGTGGGGCGTGGCCGGAGTGGGCGGGGCTGTGGGGCGGAGCCGGCGGCGGGGGCTGGGCAGGCTGGTCCAGTGGGGCGGGGGCCGGAGGGGGCGGGGGTAGTGGGCGGGGCCGGCTGGTCCGGTGGGGCGGGGCCTGCGCTGGAGTGGGCGGGGCCGGGGCCGTGGGATGGGCAGGCTGGTCCAGTGGGGCGGGGCCGGCGGCGGGGCGGGGCAGGCTTGTCCAGTGGGACGGGGCCTGCGCTGGAGTAGGCGGGGCCGTGGGGCGGGCAAGCTGGTCCAGTGGGGCGGGGCCGGAGGGGCGCGGCTGTGGGCGGGGCCAGCGGCGGGGCGGGGCCGGCTGGCCCAGTGGGGCGGGGCCTGAGGGGCGGGGCCGGGGCGGGGCCGGGAGGGAAGCCCAAGCGTCCAGGGCTCCGTCAGCGGGGTCCGGCCGCCCGCCGCGGGGCGCCCCGCCGGGAGACAGCGGCTCTCGCAAGGCTGGGGGCGCCGGCGGGCAGGCGCGGGCCCGCTGGGGCCGGGGCTTGGCCCACCCCTGGGCAGCAGCACGCGTCCGGACGCGCGCTCCGCCGGGTTCTTCTTACCTCGTCTGGTTAGCGACCTGCGAGCAGCACCCCGCGATCACGGCGCGGCCTCCGTGTCTCGCGTCAGTGGAGACTCCGCAGGAGACGCCGGGGGTCGCGGGGTGCAGGCGCTCCAGACGCGGGGCGGGGCGGGCGCGCGCGGCGCTCCGCGGGCCCAAGCGCCTCAACATGGGCGGCCAGACCTGGGCGGCGCCGGCTGCCTGAAGAGGCCCAGCAGCCCCCCACTAGCTCCCACCCCGCCGCCTTGCCCGCAGCTGGGGGCCCGGCGCAGGTGCGGGCCGGTGCGGTCCAGCTCGCCCCTCGAGCAGCGCCAGAGCCCAGGGTGGGGCCGCGAGCGCGCAAGGAGGCCCCTGCAGGCGCAGATCTTGCCTAGAACATCCGTCGATTTGCTCTATTTCTTTTTTTTTTTAAGATTTATGTATGCGCGCAAGAGCTGGGGTGCAGGTCTGAGGTGCAGGGGTGAGAGGACTCCCCAGAGACAGAGTGGGGAGCAGAACAGGCAGATCTACTGAAATCCACTGCTGAGGGGAGCAGCGGGGAGACAGGAGGGGTCTGCTGCGCCCTGCGGGTAGCTCCCTGGCCAGCGGGGGATCGAACTCGTGCTGCAGAGGCTGCGGAGAAGTTCACAGCTCTGTGCTGAACCCCTTGTGCCACCAGGGAGGCCACAAATTGCTCTATTTTGTGTTTATGGTGTGAAAACAATTTAGTGCTGGGCTAACCAGAGTGTAAAGTATGAAAGACTTTAATTTTATTTATACAAGAACCAGGGTACAGTCAGAAGCACAGGAGGGTGAGAGAATTCACCAGAGCCAGACAGGGAACAGAACAGGCAGACTGACGAAATACACTGCTGAGGGGAGCAGCAGGCGCAGCAGGAGAGGTCTGCGCGCCATGTGGGAACTTCACCAGCAGCTGGGGATCAAACTGGCACTGCAGAGGCTGCGGACAGCTTCGCAACCAAGCGCTCAACCGCTGTGCCACCAGGGGAGGCCCTGAAAGTCTTTTTTAAAGTTACCTTTGAGGGTCTCACGTGAGCTACTGTAGCCCGCCCCACAATGTGGCCCTGCTCACTGGCCCCATGCCCCTGGCTCTGGGAGGCAGTCCCCATGAATTTCCAGTTAAGAATTCCTGATTACAGGATCTGGTTCTACCACTTATACCTTGGAGGGTCTGAGGAAGACCTGGGACCTTTTGGGGGTTTCAATTCCTTTAATGTGGAGGAGAGTCGGTGTGACCTATGGAGTCGGGGGCTGCTAGCACAGTATCCTGAAAGGTGATGCCGCACAAGGATTCAGAGGACGCCTGAGGAACGAGCAAGCCAGTGTCTTCAGAGCACAACCCCACACAGGCCAGGCCCTGCTGTTCCACCCAGCAAGCCCCTGGCTCCGACGGCCCATGCTTGGCGTGGAGACTGGCCGAGTCTGCTGTCACCAATAGGCTGTCTCTTGTCCTCCCCCTCCGCATATGGAGGGCGGCCACAGACTGTCCTGGAAGGGAGTATTGGGGTATTCTTTGAACCCGTGTCTGGAACATTTGACTAAACAGTTCATTTGTCTGGCAACAAAACCCTACAGCTCTTGTGCTTCCTTGGTTTGGACAACAATGGGCAGCTATGAAAACCTGTAAAAATGCCAAAAGGTCAGATCTTAGTTTTTTTCACTGGTAAACTCACAGAATTTCAAACAGAAAGGGAATGATGTAGAAGTTCTTAACCTCATATACTGGGAAGCATTTGACTGGGCCAATAAAACATTTTTTACTGATGTAAGGAACGGGCTAAGTTGCTGCCAGCGTGGCCTGAGGGCCACCCGTGAGCCTGGCCAGGGGCCACAGAGCCCCGTGGCAAGGCGTCAGCATGTAAGGCCCCAATGGCCAGAGGTCACACCAGCGCAGCAACTGCCAGACCTAGAAGGAGGCATCCCCAGCTCCTGAGGCCAAGTGGCCACTGCCACATGGGAGCCAGCCAAGTCCCTCACGTCACTCACCACTGTGGGCGTTTGTCCATATTTGGTTGTAAGTTTTCTTGTATCCCCTGGCCACGAAGCAACATGTAGGATCAGCACGGGCAGCAGTTGCCAGTCTACAAGGCACAGCCCTGTGGGACCGGGGCAGAGCGCGGGCACAGCCCAGGGCAGCAGGCGCCAGAGGGCTGAAAGGGCCTGTCAGGCCCTATCTCCAGGGCCTGTCAGTGCACGAGCAGGTGTGGCCCACAGCAGGGGCCTAGCGGGATGCAGTTTAGTCCTAGCAAGGCCTGTCGTAACGTCACAGCTCCCCACCTGTCAGCACCCCTAGGAAGGCCAGCGGTGGGTGTCCAGGCAGGGCCCCTGCCTGGTGCGCACCGAGTCCTCTGAGAGCGCGTGTCCACCCGGGCTCAGCGCAGTGTGGGCTCCGAGCGGCGGGGCGTCTGCCCTTGGGGAGCCACTCTGGCTGCTTCCAGGATGTGGGCACCGCCCTGTCCTGCGTGGTCGCAAAGGCCACAAGATCAACATGCTCCTGATGCCGGACGACAGGGACACCGTGACAATCCTGCTGACTGTCCACAGGGCGGCCAACAGCAGCTCACGGGCACGGGCCGGTGTTTCCGGGCTTTAGCACCCGGTCACGAAGGCAAAGGAGCTCGGTGCTGCCCGGCAATGTCGATGCCCCCGCCCCCCGCTGTCCCCCCACCCCCCCCTCCCCTGCCCCCTCCCCACTCACCTCCACTCCATCCCACTCACCCCCAACCCCCGGCACCCCCCCGCCAGTCCCCCGCGGGCAGCACTCGCCTGGCCGGCCACAAGGCACTTCTGTTTGGAAAAGCCCTTGACCCTGAATGTTGTTCTGAGATTAAATTTTTTTTTTCTTTTTTTTGCTATTAATCTGTAACAGATCAAATCACCCAATGAATTCTCTGATTTCTTGCCGATGCTCGTGAAGCATGGAACAGGCAAGTCTGCTTCCAGCACAGATGGCGACCTCTCTCCAGAATAACTCAAAGATACAAGTGAAAATGAAAAAACCTTGCTCGGCGTGATGTGAAGACATTCACGACACCTCCACCCAGGTCCCTGCGCAGCACCCCCTCACCGGGAGCAAAGAAGGGGCCCGGCTGGCCCCAGGGCGCTTCGGCCTGCCTGGGCGGAAGGGGTCACGGGAGAACGCGGTTGGTGCCACTCAGCAGAGGCGGGGAGTGAGGTTCTGGGGGGCCGAGCAGGTCAGACCTGGGCTCCCGGCTCCGTAGTCCTCTCCCACCGGGAAGACGGAGCAGCCAGGCCAGCTGCTGCCCAGCGTGGCTCCACGGGACTCCTCGAGGGACTGGGCGCGCGGCCATGGTGGGGCGGGCACTGACTCTGAGGGCCGACGGCAGCACGGCGCCCTGGTAGGCCCTTCTCTCTTCATGTGTTTGCCATCTTAGACACACCATGAATAGGGCTTTGTTTCTGCAACTGGTGATAAAATACTTCAACAGGAGAGCAGCTTCGGATGCGCCAGCGGGAGGCAGGTGGGCCGGCCAACCGGCACGCAGAGGCCTTGGGCACAGGGGCGGTGTCTCGGGCCAGCACGTTCTTGGGGTCCTGGGGAGGTGCCTCGGGGGCCCTTCGGGGCATGATTACTTTTTTGTCTATTTCAGCTTCTCCGAGGTGGGCCTGGCCCTGCTCGCAGAAGGGCCCCGCGTGGCCACCCGGCCCGTGACTGGGGACACACGCGCCCACATCCAGCGCACGCGGCTGACACTGGCGATGCGCCCAGACCACGAGAGCTGAACTTTCAAAAGCGGTTTTATTGCACCAAGTTCTACATGGAAAGCATCCGAGCCGAGTCTCAAACCCGCACCGGCATCCTTATGCAGTGAACGCGTCGCAGCCGGTGCCCCAACAACTTTTCACTGAAAATGTCACTCAGAGAGGACACGGGGGGGGGTGGGGGGGGTGTGTAGGGGCAGGAGGAGCCACCCATTGGCCTTGTACGCGGCTGGGCCGGCCACACGCCCCCCTCAAGGGAGCTCACGGAGTCAGGGTGCGGGTGGGCACAGAGGGGCCAGCAGGGGCCGGGTTGGGGCAGGAATTCACACACACAGCGGCCCCCTCGGCTCTCTGCTGTCAGGGAAGGGTCTTGTCTCTGCTCTGGGAAAACCACACTTGGGAGAGGCGCTGTCCACGACAGTGGGACCCTGGAGGGGCGTCCTCCTGGGGCTGCTCTGCCAGCCTCACTCGCTCTCCACCTCAGCCCCTCCGCCCTCCTCGCAGGCTCGGCCGCACGGTCCCGGCTGGCGCAGCTGCCCAGCTGGCCGGTCCTGCGGGACACAGGGCCACAATGCAGAGGGGGGCCACCTGCCGCAGCCGCGGTCCTACGCGCCTCAGGGATGCTCAGTCTTGCAGCTGGAAGCTAGACACGCCCCCAGCACCGTCTCAGCAACCAGCTTGCCATGGAGAAAAGCCATGAAGAGGAAGAGGGGAAACCCCGAAGGCCGGCAACCTCAGGGCCAGAGGACACTCTGCCCAGCCTGCAGCACGGGCCACACAGCTGCTGCGCTTCTGAGCGGACAGTTCCTGGACTCGCCCTCACAGGAAACCCCCACCCATCACCTGGTCCAGCCACGAGGGGTGGGGCAGGGGTGAGGGGTGGCCACAGGGCTCAGGGAGGAGACTGGAATCCCACGGGAGGGCCCCGCCTTGGGAAAAGCCTGCCCAGGACATGCCTCGGCCAGCAAGGATGCCTCCTGCTGCCCACCCCCGACCCTACTGGGCCACCCCACCCCCCAGGCTGGATCACCATCCCCTGCCTTTGGTCAGCCAGGCAGCAAGGACTGGCCAATGTGGGGTCACAGGCTGCCTCTGCCAGGCCCCACAGCGCTGCCCCCCAACTCGCAGGCCTCAAAGCACCCCTGGAGAGTCACACCCTGACTCAGGAGCCCCCAGGCCCTGGGAAGCCGGCACCCCGGGAGCTGCCTCAGCCACCCTCAGTGCCTCGGGCCAGTTACAGTTGCAGCGACCGCGAGGGCTCAGGCCCAGCCCGGCCTTGCTCTCACGGACACACTTGGAAACCCCATCGCTGCCCCACAAGCGCAGGTGGGGTGGGCTGCGGGGGAGAGCCGCCCCAGAGGCCCCCGAGTGTGTCCACTCATCACGCCGAGGTGACAGCAGGCACGGGAGGGCGCCAGTGGGGAGGGGGACGTGGCAGGGAGGGGCTCCTGGCGGGGAGGGGGGCTCCGGCACCCTCACTCACAGTGGACGTCATGCGCCAGCTCGGGCCACAGCACCCCCATGTCCTGGTGCAAGCAACTGGACTCCGAGGAAAGGGGCCCCACGCCCGGCAGCATGCAACGGGGCAGCAAGGGCCTCTAAAGCCTGTCCCTCTGCGTCCAGGACTTGGGGTGCATGCAGCCAGCTAGTCTGGGAGCCTCACCTTGTCCCCCACACGCTCCTTCCTGGGGGCCGGGCCATCCTCGTCCTTCTCCCTCCCAGGCCTCTGGGCGGCCTCCGCAGGGGCTGCGTGCTCCTGGCTCCCCTTCGGCCCTCGCCCCCACTTCAGGCTGTCCTCGCTCCTCCTCCAGGACCGGCCGGGCTCGCGGCGTGCGCTGGCTCCCCTGCCCTCGCCTGGGCGGCCGTGCGGGGCCTCAGGGTCCTCTTCCCGAAGTCCCCTCCCCACATTCACCGGCTCCTGGCCGCCGTCATCCTGTGGCCTGGACCCAACACGGCATCAGCGACACGGCGCCCGGCCAGGCGGCCGCCCCGCAGCTGCCCCCAGGGAGGAGGGGGGTCTGCTCCTGGCCCTGCTGGTCACCGGGGCCTGCCCTGCCGCCTCCACGCCCACCGCGCCTGCTGACGACACAGTAAACCAGACCGGGGGGTGGGGGGGCAGTGCCCTGGTCTCCACCCAGCACAGCAAGAGTCCCGGGTCCGAGACGGCTGCCAGGGAGGGAACAGGAGGCCCAGAGCCTGGGTGAGTACGAGACGGACACTGCTGAGCTCTCTGGGTGCCCTAAGTCCTCCCCCTGGGACAAAAGCCGAAGTCTCTCCCCACAGAGGGCAGAGGCTGCCGGGAGGCCCCGCAGGAATCCACCTGCGCACAGACCAGTGACTGGAAAAGGACGAAACCACTTCCCGCTGCCCCGTGCAGGAAGGAGGCGAAGCGTGGGGCCGGTTGTTCCAGCGCCTCCCCCAAATTTGACCCGCTCCCGCCCCAGGACGAGGGCTGGCTGGGAGGTGGGGCGGCTGGGGCTGGAGGGAGCATGGGGCAGCCCCCGCCAGGTCCTGCTCTCTGGCCCCTGAGCAGAAGGGGCTGGCCTGTGGCCCAGGGCTGGGGAGGGCAGTCACACAGCAGAGCCCACGCTGGCCACAGCCCAGGCAGGACCGGGCGACCTGTACCTGCAGCTCTGTCTCTACCCACAGACGCCCTTCCAGCCCTCAGCTCCATGCTCCGCGGGAAACTGGAGAAGACGCCGGAGGTGGGCGAAGCCGGAATGCAGGGAGGGCGTGGGGGGTACAGCCTACGAGAAGAGGCCCCCGGCTGGCAGGGACACGGTGCAGGCCCAGGGGACAGGCCCTTGGGGTGCTCACCTCTGCGGCAGCTCCTGTGGGGGGCCCTCGGGGCACGGCGGGGCACGGCCTTCTGGGGGCTCCCGCCTCCCCTCCCCAGCATCAGCTTCCTCTCCTCTGCTTTTGGCTTTCTCAGGGGCTAGTTCCTCTCCCATCTCTGGTTTCTTAAGAAGCTGAGAAATGATCATGTCAGTAAAAAGCAAGTTGTTTAATAGACAATTAAAAACACACGGGAAGGCCTCCCTGGCGGCACAAGGGTTAAGTCTCAGCACTATGACAGTCACTGCAGGACGAGTTCCATCCCCAGCCAGGGAGCTACCCACACGGCGCAGCAGACCTCTCCTGTCTCCCCGCTGCTGCCCCCAGCAGTGGGTTTTAGTGGATCCACCTGTTCTGCTCCCCACTCTGTCTCTGGTGAGCCCTCTCATCCCCCCACCTCTGGCCCGCACCCCAGCTCTTGTATGCACAAATAAATAAAAAAAAACAAAACACACACACACTCGGGTCATGCCTAATGTCTAACAGCAGAGACAGGAGCTGACGCAGGGACATCCAGCGCCGCAACACTGTGGCCATGAAAGCCAGCGTCGGCCACTGAGCCCGAGGACAGGATCCTCTCCTTAGCGGGGGAGTCTCCATCGAGAGGGAAGACGCCCTTGCTTCTAGGTTATCACCCCCGTAATGAAAGACACATAAGCAGAAAACAAACAAGTGTATTGACACGTGCACCCCTGTGCATACGCGGGACCCAGGGTAACCCCGAAACAGCCTCTGTACAAGACAAAGCGTGGGTTGGGGTGAGGAGGGGCGGGGCAGAGGTGGAGGCAGGCAGAACCCCACACTTCAGGGGCTTTCACTGAAGCCCCGCTGGGCAGGCAGGAATGATCAAATCCCCCATGGGGGCCTGAGCCCAACCTCCAGCCCTGCCCCCGCCCTTTCTGATGCTCCCCGTGCATGAGGCACCCCGCCGGGTCACATGCGTCTCCTCGTCTCCTCGCCAGACACTCAGCACTGAGACAGGCCAAGACCCCGGGGAGAAGCTCCGTGTGTAGGGACCAAGCAGAAGCCTGCGAAGCTGCGAGGCAGATGAATCAGTCATCAGGGGCCCCCACAGGCCAGGCCTCTTCTGCTTGCTCCCTCCCCAGCACCCCAGAGAAAGGCAGGAGGGACGTCTGCGAGTCTGTCAACGAGGACCAGAGAGCCGGCAGGGCTCAAAGCCAAGTGGTCTCCCGGTCACCACTCTGCCCAGCGCCTGACCTGGCCTTGCAAATTTGCAAACGCGTATTTGTTCATCAGCAACATCCGCCTCGAGGGAGGACGTAGTCGGAACCCAGCCTCCTCAGGAGGAGGCTCCCGCCACACCCAGGCAGCTGCTCCTCAGCCCCCACAGGCTGCCCACGCAGCACCCCAAGGAGCCCCAAGGCCGGGGACACAGTCCGCAACTGCCGCCACAGGCCCAAGGAAGGAGCTGAGGCCACGCAGACCAGACCGTCTGGAAGGGCCTTGGAAAGGGCCAGGGCCCAGGGCTGCTCATGGGGACAAGACGCGTCCCCGGCCTCACCTTGATCCGCACATGCTTCTCGGCAGCTTTCTTGCGTCTGTCCGCCTCTCTCCTCTTACACCTGTCCTCCTCTCTTCTTCTTCTTTTTTCTTCTTCCCGTAAGCGTTTCTTCTCCAAGTCCCTCCTCCTCCGTTCCTCTCGCTTCTCCTCCCGCATCCTCTGGGGGCGGGGGGGGGGGGTAGCGTGTGACAAGTCTGTTCTGTGGGGGGGGGGCAGGGAGGGGGCAGACCTACCTGCTTCTCCAGTCTTCTGCTCTTGATGTACTCCAAAAGAGGTGTGGTTCTTCTAGCTGCAACAGAAGTCACAAAGGGGCACTCTACTCTAAGATAAACTTTTTCCACTTTAAATTCTTGTTTTCAGTTTAGCATTTAACATATTTTGCTGAGAACAGTGAACTTTAAAATCGGCGTGGGGCCTCCCCTGGTGGCGCAGCAGTTGAGCACTGGGCTGTGAGGCTGTCCGCAGCCTCTGCAGCGCCGGCTCATTCCCCGGCCGCCGGCGAGGGTCCCGCAAATAAATAAATAAATAAATAAATAAATAAATAAATAAATAAATAAATAAATAAATAAAATCAGCGTGAGCGCACACCGGTCTGGAGGATTTTCACTCCCCAGAGCAGCGTCAGGCAGTGGGATGTGGGCAGGCGCACACAGTAGGTGCTCAACTCCACACACTCAGGGAGTCTCACTACAACTCACAAAGTGACACAAAAGCAATCTCCTAAGCAAGTGTAACACGACTCTCCAGCGGATGAACAGCTTCACGTTCCGGCAGATGTCTGGGGTCATGCACCGCGTGCCTGCACGTCCACTCCGGCTCAACTCGTGTTCTGGGACCTCTGCTCTCGCCACAGTGGGAGAGGACAAGTGGACGCTTGCCACTGCTGTGATGCTCACAAACTGGACGCCCACATGCTCAGGCTCCGGCTCCAGCTCAGCGAGCATCCCAAGGCCGCTGTGGACAGCGCCAGCCACTGTGGGCGAATGCTGGGTCCTTGGCCCTGCGCCCTGTCCAGGTGGGTACAGACCTGCTTACCCCAGGGCCTCTCCGCGGACATGCTGCTGGCGGCGGCCAGCGGAGGTGGAAGTGGCTTGGTCTTCCAGGGGCCTGTGCCCAGAGACACCCTGCATACCAGTACATGCTGGGGTGGCCAGAGCCGAGCACGCCCATCCTGGCAGACTCGCCCTCCTGGTGGCTCCTGCGGGGTCTGCCCGAGACGGGGCCTGCCCACATATGGGCGCAGTTAAGTGCCAGGGGAGCGGCATCGCCTGGGCTGGACACAGCCCCGCCCAGGAAGAGCGCCATGCCTGAGGGACGGGCTGGGGGCGGGCTGGTGTGAGGCCACGGTGCTCCTCTCATCTGCGCAACCCCAGCCTCGTCACCCCGAAGGCCAATGTGAAGGGCAAGAAAGTGCTCTGCAGACGGCGAAGCGTCTAGCCCCTCACAGATGGCGGACAAGGCTCCTTTAGCCGTCCGTGCGACCCACAGGGAGCTGGGAGGGACGGAGGAGGGTGGGCAGGCAGCCCCTGCAGCCCTGAGCTGTTGGGCCCTGGAGGAGGCTGACGGACACTGTCAGTGGACGTTTCAGTGACGGCAACTTTTCTTATTCATTCAACAGGTACTGGCTGAGCCCCTCGCTGCGATGAACGCAGGACACGCCTGTGCTGGCTGCAGGGGCAGCGCGCGCGTCCTGGGCTGGGCGCGTCCTAGGCCTGTCCGCCAAGCTTCTGTGGACAGTCAGGACCCGCCAGGGGAGGGGGGGCGGTGGGCAGTGTGCTCACCCCGAGCAGGGCAAAAACAGGCCTCCCGGGCCATTGAGCCTCCTCACGGCTAATATGGGCTGTGGCCTCCAGGGATGGCCGCGCCTCTGCTGGGCCCAGGCGTTCGCTTGAACGGCAGCAAGACGGACTCGTGCGAGGCAAAGGAGCCGCTTCGGCTGTGCCACCAGTGACGTCCCTGGGCACAGGTACAGAGCCAGAGCCATGGCCGAGACAGCAGAGCCACAGCCACCACCCTCCTCCCGTCAGAGTGCCTGCCACGCCCGCCACACCTGCCAGAGTGCCAAGCATCACAGCTTTTTATAACATGGAAACGAGCCACACTGTAGCCCAGCAGGGCGCAGCGGAGAAACGAGCCAAACACACCAATAAGGTCCCTCGTCTTTGCCTCGATGTCTCCCAGGAGGGTTTCGGGATTGGCGCTGGTTTTCTCTTCCTCCACACAGTAAGTTTCTAGAAACTTCTTATACTCTGGATCTGTCAGTCAAGAGGACAAGTGTAAGCCCCGCCCACGGGCGAGGGGATCTGGGCCGCTGCATCCGGCCACCCTGACCCACCGTCCTCAATGCTCCCTGTCCTGGCATCCTTCTTCTTCGGCTTCTTCCTGGCAACCTTCTGGAACGGAGCGAACTCAACCACCGCAGGGTACTCCAGGCCTGAAACGACACAAAAATCCCAAACCCATTCTGAAACAAAGACGCATTTTGGAGGCTCACACAGCACCGCAGCCGCCCAGAGGGAAGGTGACCTCCAGCCACCGGGACCTCAGCAGCTCGGACCCCAGAGTCAAGCCAAGGAGGAGAAACTGCTCGTTAACTAGAACAGTCCCTGGCCCTGGGGCGGGGGTCCGTGGCCAAATACAGGTACAGTCATCAAAGCCCACACCTTAAACACTGAATTTCCTGTGTGTGACTTAGACCTCCCTGAACCTGATCTCCCCCAACCAAAGAGCTCATCACACAATACTCTTAAAAGCATTAAAAGCATTCTTAAAATAGCATTTTCTGAGAGGGCACAGCAGACCTCTCCTGTCATGCCCGCTGCTCCCCTCAGCAGTGTATTTCAGTCAGTCTGCCTGTTCTGTTCCCCGCTCTGTCTCTGGTGGATCCTCTCACCCTCCCGCGACTCTGGCCTGTACCCCAGCTCCTGTATAAATAAAACAAATCTAAAAAAAAAAAAATACAAATTAAAAAAAAAAAAAAGGGTTTCTGAGTGAATTGTCAACTTCCTACTAAAACCTGTAGGAACTGACCCTCACAGGTTAGCTCAGTTATTAATCTGGCTTGAGTTCAAGGAACTCACTTTGCTTAGAAGAGACATTTGGCTAAAAGAGGGGGCTTCAGAGGCTGTACGAAATACTCCTGTAAAGTGGGAAAGTCTAGAAAGAAAATTACTAGAAATTTATTGTTGCGTGTGGAAAAAACACACACAGAGAAAGCCTTCACAGAGCGCCATCTCCTGTGGCGCCCCACCCTGGCACGTGGCCCCCCGGGCACACACCCCCACCACACGCACGGGTCCACCACTGGCCCTGTGGCTGCGTTTAGGCTAGTCAGGGGCTTCGGGGGACATGCAAACTGTGGTAAACACGGGCGGATATTTTTCACCTTTAAAAAGGAAGGAAATTTTGACACATATTACACCACGGGTGAAACCTGAAAACAGGTTGAGCTCAGAGACTGAGCCAGCCTAGAAAGACAGAGCCCACAGGGCGGGGGAGGAGGGGCCTGCGCTTCAGCCAGCAGCGTCACTGCCGCAGGACCACAAGGGTTCTCGGGAATGCAGTGAAGGATGCTGAGCTGTGCACCTATGACAGGGTAATGGTGAATTTACACCCATTTTTGAAAAGTAAAGAAAAAAATGCACTCGAATGAAATACTGAAAAAAACAACATTCAACACATGTCAAATTGTTCAGGCATTAAACTTAATTTTATTCACAGGACAATCTTGGCTTCACTCACGCTCAAGGAGAAAGCACCTAGCAGTAGCGACACAGGGGCGGGGTGACAACAGTGTGAGGTGAGAAGGACACTGGCCTGACAGTGGCCAGCACAGCATCTGAAAGTCTGACAGGACAGGAGGGAAAGAAAGAAACACTGAAAGCGGCACCCAGAAAGTAGTACGGAAAGTTGGAACCATTTAAAAAGTGCTTGTAAATAGGGCCTCCCTGGTAGTAAAGATGGTTAAGTCTCAGACTATGAAGCTGTCTGCGGCCACTACAGCACCAGTTCCATCCCTGGCCAGGAAGTGACCCACATGGCACAGTAGACTCTCTCCTGACTCACCCACTGCTCCCCTCAGCAGTAGATTTTAGTGGATCCGCCTGTTCTGCTCCCCACTCTGTCTCTGGTGAATCCTTTCACCCCCCACCTCTGGCCTGCACCCCACTTTTTGTATGCATAAATAAATAAATCTTTAAAAAATTAAAGTGCTTGTAAATGTTTTTTTCAGCAGAATGTTCTCTTTAGGACAACACAGGTGAAAGTGAATAATATATTTTAGAAAATTTCTATCAAACATGAGTAAAATACTGAGTTTTGGGACATAAAAAATTTAATGTTCACTTATCTAGAAAACTGACTTACATGACAAACGTCACCCTTTAATAACATAAATATTGTCCCATTACACAGAACAGTTGGAATTGTTTGATTTACAATTTTATTTTTAACGTAAGCACACAAGCACAGTAACAACCAAGATGTATGATCTTATTTTAGATTAGTATCGCAGGACCTCATAACTGAAACTCACAAATATCCCGGCAAAAGGTCTCTGATAGACTCACAGGTAGTAATAAAGAGTTTAAAAGTCAATGACCCGGGCTTCCCCGGTGGCGCAGCGGTTGAGCGCTGGGTTGCGAAGCTGCCCGCGGCCTCTGCCGCGCCGGTTCGATCCCCGGCTGCTCCCCGGCCACCGGAGGAGGGTCCCACATGGCGCGCAGACCTCTCCTGCCGCCCGCTGCTCCCCTCAGCAGTGTACTTCGGTCCTTCTGCCTGCTCTGCCCCTGCTCTGGCTCTGGTGAATTCTCTCACCCTCCCGTGCTTCTGACTGTACCCAGTGCATGTATAAACGAACAAACAAACAAACAAATAAATAAATAAATAAAACATGCCTTAAAAAAAAAAAAAAAAAGTCAATGACCCAACCTTTGCTGTCAATGAAGATGTATCCATCGAAACGATCTCTAAAAAGAAGGATGTCATCAGGATTCCTAAAATTGATGTATGCTCTTGAGTAGAGATGAGGATAAAGACTGAAATAAGAGATAACAGTGAAAAATCTTAGTACAAAATACAACACTTCTTTTTTTTTTTTTTTTTTTTGGTGGGACCCTCGCCAGTGGCCGGGGATTGAACCAGCACTGCAGAGGCTACAGGCAGCCTCGCAGCCCAGCGCTCAACCGCTGCGCCACCAAGGGAGGCCCAAAATACAACACTTCTTTAATTTTGCCTCTTTAAAATTTTTCTAGGTACAATAAACTATTTCATATAAAACCTTTATGATTCATCTCTACCCTAATTACAACAATCTGAGTATCCTCGGAAAAAAACAAAAATGAGCAAAAGAATATAACATTTAACTGAGACATTTTTAATAACAGGAGAGACACTTTAAGTCAGTTTCTCTATTGCTCACAGTCTGGTCCTTGAAGGTGGAAAATCAAAGGCAAATTTATTCAAGGTCATTCCTAACCATGCACCATGACTGGAATGCCATCAGCTCTGACTCACTAACAGAAGGAAGGTCCACTAGTCCTAGGTATTCAAGAGTCCTACAGGCCATACGCGGTCACACAGGGCTAAACCTTTCTCCCCCATCCACAGCTACCAGCTTCTGCCACGGGCAGGGGCCTTCAATCCTGTGTCACAGATGGGACACCGAGGCTCAGAGGTATCTACAGGGGGTACCTGCAGGGGGTGTGATTAGTTTCAATCCAAGTCATTCAGGGTTCTGTGCCCGTTCTCCTTCAACTGTACCAATTTCCCTACATTTTAGTCATTTGAAAATCATCTTTATGTTGCTTTTCCCATTTTATTTTTTGTTTACTGTGATATTTTTCTTTTAATGGACTTTAATTTACTTACATGTTTAGTCAGAAGAAAAAAAGCCTATTGGCCACCATAAATGAGAACTCACAATACAGATGATAAAAAAGATAATGACAATGAAGATAATAAAAACACTGATCATCACCACACCCCAGCTGCACTGTCACCTGAAGTTACAGCCTGAGGCCTGCTCTCTGTTAATGAAAGGGAGGTTTGGAAGTTGCAAATTGTTGCCAGAGGCATCTTATCACCGAGCTGTGAAAGAATGTGACTCAGCAGGGTGGTGCCCCCTCAGTTGTAGAAGGGAGTACAAGGGGTTTCTGTTTATCAGTTACTACCTGGTGTGCTCACCTGTGAAAATTCACCCGGTCAGGAAACCCACAACCCCGAGGAGCCAGGGCTGACCCAGAAGGAGGGCTGTCACCTGTGCACCAAAAGCAGGCACGGGAGAGCAAGGGGACCTATTTACACAGCAAGTGAGAACAGGGTGGGCTGAGAGGGAATGTGCAGGTCAGCAGTAGCCAGTAAGTCTCTCCTGCCACAGACAGTGTTCACTGGGCAGAAACTGGGCCAAGCCACGCGCTGGAGGCAGGATGGGGACTTTCCACAGACTCCTGTCCGCCGGGAAGCAGGAGCTTGGCTCCTGGGCCCCAGAGCCCCACGGGCGGGCGGGGAAGCCCCACCTTCCGCGGGCAGCGGGCAGCGAGGCCAACAGGGCTGGGCGCGCATCTCCGGCTGACTCGCTCCTGTTACGTCTCAATAAAATTTACTTGAAAGCGCCCCAGGAACAAGGGTTGTTGAGATCGGAGCACAAAAGCAAAGCGGCAGGGCGCCGCAGGTTTTTCTTTTGCGAGACCGCGGCGCTGACCCGGCGTGTTTCGAGGCCGTCCACAGGCCCTGCGCGACCCGCCCGCGGGCAACGGGCACCCAGGGCCGCCCGACGCGGGGCGGCGGCGGCCCTCGCACCTGAAGTCGGCCGCGAAGAACTCGAAGTAGTCGTGCGCGGGCAGCGGGCGGAGCTGCTCCTCCAGCTGCGCCCGGGTCAGGCTGGGCGGCAGGCGCCGGATGACCACCTGGGGGGCGCAGGGCGCTGTGCTCGGGCCGGGCCCCACCTGCCCCGCGCCGCGCTCCCCGCGGCCCCGGCCGGCCCCGGCGGGTGTCCGCGGGTCACGCTCCTGCCTCCGCGCGCCGGGACGAGGGGGCGCGCGCGGGCCCCCGGCGCTGTCCGCGGTGCTGAAGCGGCGCCCGCCCGGCCCGGCCCGCCCTCGCCCCGCCCTCGGCCCCGCCCCGCCCTCGGCCCGCCCCGCCCCGCCCTCGGCCCCGCCCCGCCCTCGGCCCGCCCCGCCCTCGGCCCCGCCACGCAGGCTCACTGGTCTCGCGAGGCTGACCCCGCCCCGCCCCGCCCCTCGGCCCCGCGACGCAGGCTCACTGGTCTCGCGAGGTTGGCCGCGCCCCGCCCGCCCCGCCCCCGCGAGGTTGGCCCCGCCCCGCCCGCCCGCCCCGCCCCACCTTGCTCAGAACCGTCCTCTTCTCCTCGCGGGGCTTGTCCGCGCCGCTCCCGCGGCCGGGGGACGGGGCCCGCGGCGCGTCGGGCTCTCGCCGGGGCGACTCCCGGCGCAACTGGGCTTCCGCAGCCGCCAGCTTCTCCCTCCCGTTCAGCCCCCGCGCAGCAGCCGCCGCCCGGGGCCCGCGACCCCCTCCTTGTCCGAGCGCATCCCGCAGCCGCCGCGGAGCCCCGCACCGCCCCGGGGCGAAACCTCGCGAGAACTGGGCCCCGCCCCCCGCGCGCCCCGTCCCCCCCGCCCCGCGCGCCCCGCCCCGCGCGCCCCCGCCCTGGCCCCGGCCCGCGCGCGAGGCCCGACCCCCCCACCCCGGGCCCGCGCACCCCTGACCCCCCGCCCGCCCCTGACCGCCCCCGCCCCGGCCCGCACGCGAGGCCCGAACCCCCGACCCGGGCCCGCGCACCCCTGACCCCCCGCCCGCCCCTGACCGCCCCCGCCCCGGCCCGCACGCGAGGCCCGACCCCCCCACCCCGGCCCGCGCACCCCTGACCCCCCGCCCGCCCTCGGCCCCGCGCGCTCCTGACCCCACCCGGACCCCCCCCCCCCCCACCCCGGGCCCGCCGCGCAGGGCCAGGGGCCTCTCGAGACCCGCCTCGTCCGCCCGGGAAACCGCCTCTGGGGCCCGCGAGAGAACCCGGGTCCGCGCGATGAGTCGCCCTGTACTGTCTTCGCATCGAGGTGTTTACAGAAAAGCCCGTTTCAAGACGCAGTGAATGGGACTCCTGTAAAATAGCCTTTGTTTTTGCATGAAAAACACATCCGGGGCCTCCCGGGGCGCAGCGGGTTGAAGGTGTCGCGGCCTCCGCAGCGCGGGTTCGAACCCCGACCAGGGAGTTACCCACAGGGCGCGGCAGAGGGAGCTACCCACGGGGCGCGGCAGACCTCTCCTGTCCCGCGCTGCCCCTCAGCAGTGTGTTTCAGTGGATCCGCCTGTTCTGCCCCCCCCCCTCTCTCTGGGGAGTCCTCCCACCCTCCCATGCCTCTGGCCTGTACCCCGTTCTTGTATAAATCTTTTTTTTAAAAAGTTTAAAAAAAAAAAAAAAAAAAAAAAAAAAGGGCCTCCCCGGTGGCGCAGCAGTTGAGCACTGGGTTGCGAAGCTGCCTGCAGCCTCTGCAGCACCGGTTCGATCCCTGGCTGCTTCCCAGCCACTGAGGAGGGTCCCACATGGCACGCAGACCTCTCCTGCCGCCCGCTGCTCCCCTCAGCAGTGTACTTCGGTCCTTCTGCCTGCTCTGCTCCCCGCTCTGGCTCTGGTGAATTCTCTCACCCTCCCACGCTTCTGACTGTACCCAGTGCATGTATAAATAAATAAATAAATAAATAAATAAATTTAAAAAAAAAAAAGTTTAAAAAAGCACATCCCGGAGAAAGCCAAGCTGTCCACACTGCGGCTGCCGCCCAGCTCCAGGGACGCCCAGCAGCCTTGCCCCTCACTCCACCGTGGGGGCCGTGCTGGCCCCGGCCAGGCCTACCCAGGACAGTGGCTTCGCAAGGCTGGTGGCAGGAGCTCTCCTGTTTTGCGCTGATGACAGGACGCCTTTCTAGGAAACCAGGCAGCAAGATAGTAGAGCATGGGCAGTAACAGAGAAACACTGGCAGCAGGCACTGAACACGGCCTCGCCCGGCGCCCGCCGCAGGACACTGGAGTCCAGCCGCCGCTGTCTGAAGAGCTGCTTCGTCAAATGCGGCGGGCGCGCCCTGGGCACTGTCAGCGGGGACAGCGCTTCCAGGGAGTGCTTATCCAGACATCTAACAAGTCCTGGCACAGGATAAGAAACTATGTGGTGTGACATATTTCCTGGTGGCAAAATGTGAAAAAGGCTTTCATAGGATACCTTTAGTTTTACTTATTTTTTTAAGATTTCTTTATTTATGCATACAAGAACTGGGGTCTAGGCCAGAGGTGCAGGGGGTGGGAGGGTTAGAGGATTCACCAAAAACAGAGCAGGGAGCAGAACAGGAGGATGACTGAGACATACTGCTGAGGGGAGCAGCCTGGAGACAGGAGAGGTCTGCTGCGCCCTGTGGGTAGCTCCCTGGCCGGGGATTGAACTCGCGCTGCAGTGGCTGTGGACAGCTTCATAGATTGCATCTTAACCCCTTGTGCCACCAGGGAGGCCCTTACTTATTTTTAAAATGATTGTTTTAGGTTCAATTATCTTTTAGCTCCAGCTAAAGAGGGGAGGCATAAAAATAGGCATAGGGGATATCTGTGAAGAGACAGAAAAGCTACTGAAAAACTCACAACGCACTATATGAAACAAAGCTCCTGTCTCCCCGCTGCTCCCCTCAGCAGTTTGTTTCAGTGGATCCACCTGTTCTGCTTCCCTCTGTCTGGTGAATCCTCTCACCACCCACACCTCTGGCCTGCGCCCCAGCTCTTCTACGTAAAAATAAATAAATCTTTCAAAAACAACAACAAAGTCATATGAAGAAATAAAGAATAATGTTACAGGTAACTGCATAGGTAATATCAAATCCACTACTAATATACTTTAGGCTCGTAACGCCTCTTTCTCACTCCTGTAAGAGTTAAAAAAGATATGAATATTCAAAATTATAAATGTTAGTGGAAACAGAGCATGTGAAGGTGCAGCAGAGAGCCCAGAGGGAAACTTACAGCTGTAAATGCCCATATTAGAAGACTGAATCGGGGCCTCCTGATTAAGGAGTTAAGCACCCACTATAAAGCGATTGCAGTGCGGGTTCGATCCCAGCTGGCCAGCGAGAATCCCACATGGTGCAGCAGACCTCTCCTGTCTCGCCTGCTGCTCCCCTCAGCAGTGTGCTTCGGTCAGTCTGCCTGTTCTGTTCCCCCGCTCTGTCTCTGGTGAGTCCTCTCACCCCCCCCCCATCTCTGGCCTGTACCCCAGCTCTTGTATAAATAAATCTTTAAAAAAAAAAAAAAAACTGAATCAAACAGTCTAACTGCACACCTAAAGGAACTGGGGAAAGAACGAAACCCAAAGCAGAAGGTAACAAAGATGATGAAATAGAAACTAGAAAAAAAAAAAAAAATCAACAAAATCTAAAGTGGGTTCTTTGAAAAGATCCCGAGTACTGACAAAACTTAAGCCAGCTGAAACTATGGGGAAAAAAACCTCAAATTACTAAAATCACAAAATAGAAGAGGGGAAATTTAAGTTACTGAATTTACAGAAATAAGAGAATTGTAACGTGTAGCATAACAACTGTACACAACAGAATAATCTAGATGAAATGGACAAATTCCCAGAAACACAGAAACACCAAAACTGGGAAGAAATAATGAATTTGGATTAATAATCAAAAACCTCCTGATGAAAACAGCCCAGATCACGTGGCTTCACTGGTAAATGTTACCAAACACTTCAAGAAAGGGTTTTTGCCGTGGCAGGGCCACCCAGCACCCGACCCGAGCTGGTTGCGTCCGTCACCACCACAGTCCAGTATTACCACATAAGCCCACACTTGTGCATTTTTTACAGTGAAGAGAAAACCAAACAGGGGGTGGAGACATGACACGAGCAACAGGAGCCCAGCTTTAGGCGCCCCCAGGGCTGCGGTCCTGTGGCCGAACAGCCACACAGGCACTCATGCCACGCCAGGCCTCTAAGCCGCACCCACCGCGACTGGACCACGGGTGGGGACAGGCTCCGCCAGGGAATCCTCTCAAGCTGGCAGCCGCCCCAGAGGCCGGGCTTGCACAAGCGAGTGTCATGGAGAGTGCAGGACGCAGCACAGGGAGGAAGTGGCACCTCGCCACTGAGACCCACCAGGACGGATGGGAACGGTGCTCCTTCCCTGCCCCGCGCCAGCCGTGGGAAATTCACCAAACTCCAACAGAGGGACATTCTGCAGAACACTGGTCAGCCCCCTGCAGCGGAGAGACGCGCGACAGCCCAGAGCAGCTAAGGGAGACGACGGCCAAGGCGGCAGAGCGGAAGGCCAGCCAGGACGGCGTGGCCTTCGGCCGCCAGAGGCCAGCAGGGTGGCCAGAGGCTCTGGGGCAGCAAGGTGCCCACAGTGCAGGGGGCCGGGAGGTGGCACACAGGGACGCAGGCCACGACCTCCTCTGTGGGCAGAGGCTCCAGGGACGGGCCAGGTGGTGGACGCAGAGCCTGGACTATATTTGCAGCCTTTCCGTAAAGCTACAACTGGTCCAAAAGAGTTGACTGAAAAAGAAAAAAGGACCCCGCATGCCGGACGGTTCACCTCCTTTATTCCACTGCGCACACTACTCTGGGCGCGAAGGGCTCCTGGGCAGGGCACGCCGGACGCTTGGCCCCCACCCGCCAGGGCCATCTGGGCGCGGCCGGGCCAGGACGCAGGCAGGCGGGCGGCACCGCCAGGGCCGCCGGCTCAGGGGCTGTGGTCAGACACGCATGTCTCTAGCATCATGTCACTTTCGTTCATTTCAATTTCAAAGGTTTCCTCCAAGGAAGGCCTGGAGTCTGGAGTCTTCCTTGAGGGTTCCAGTGGTGTAAGCCCCGTTTCCTCTGCAGCCTGTTTTTCTACTTCAAATTCCCTGAAATCCCACGGAGGTGAAATAATGTTTTTTAGTGTCTTCATTGTATGCACATCAAAGTCATAACATTTTAATCTGTCTTTAATGTCTGCTCCTAAAAAGAAACACCAAGAAAGGCCATCATTTACCTGCCGTGCCCACTGCCACCCCACAGCCCCAGGCAGTGAAGCCAACACCGTCCAAGGAAACATGCCCAGGCCCCCTCCTCCCTTTCAAATTGTTGCATCAGAGGCTGCGGGAAGGCATCAGAGGCTGGCGCAGCTGAGGCCCCGCAGATGCTGAGGGAGCCAGTGGCGGCCAGGCCTGCCGTTGTCCTTGGGGGCTGCAGGCACCGGTCCCAGGACCCCAGAGCCCACAGCCCCTCGGTGAGGCAGCACAGCCCTCGCACAGCCCCCACACCTCCTGCACACCTGAGCACACCCTCCACCCGGTGAACACACTGCACCGTTTGTGCAGCAGCGACAGGAAAGCCCACGTGTGTCCGGGCTGCCTGGGCATCCACAGTGCTGACGGACGCGCTGTGTTGTGATGTGCGGCTGCGAGCCCAGTTGGGGTGGACGGCAGGCAGCCACATCCCCGGGCACCCAGCTCGCGTTCCACACACGCCAAGAGTAACGGGTAAGAGGTGCTTACAACAGACAAATCAGGTTCAAGTTTAAGAGCTGCCAGCAAGCTGGAGGACCCCAATCTCCACCCAGACGGACCAGACACCCGTCTCCCCGGATGCGGCCTCCAGGCTGAACGAACCCAGCTTTACAGGATCTTGCAGTTAGGACATCTACTCTTCAGCAGCCAGGAAACCGAGGCCTGGAGCTGCCCGAAGCTGCAGGCTGCGTGTGGCAGCACAGACGTCCCCACCCACGACCCAGCCTGTTTTCCAGTTTGGTGACACAGAGCCAGACACACAGCTGCCAGGTGTGCACACCTGGATAACCCTCACCTGTGCAGTCCCCAGCAACAGAGGCCCGACGCCTGCAAGGCATCACGGTGAGGCCGTGCTACTCGAGGGGCGGCCAAGAGCCTCAGCCAACAGGCCGAGGCCAGGCCCGGGTCTTGGGTGCCAGCGTGTCCCAGCCTGAACCTGCAGCCTCTCCAGGCAGAAAGGACTGCGGTCCATGTCCCCATCGGCCCAGCGGTGTTATCACTGACCTTCCTGTGAGTGGAACTAATCAGACCTGCCTGGCACTACATGCTGGCACCCTGCTGTGACCCCAGCTGCTCGCAAACCACCTGGGGGCTGGTGCTTCTGCTGGGACCGGACCCCAGCAGACTGCCTGCCACCCACGCCCCCCAGGGGCCAGGCCGCCTGCGCCCAGCTCAGCCGCCGACTCAGACACCCGAGATTTGCAGCCTCACGGTCCTGCAGCTGCTTTTGCCCTTTATTGTCCACACCATGAAGAAACCTGGGGCGAGTCCCTGAGGAGCGCACACCTGAGCCCAGACCATGCCAGACCAGGCTCGGCCGCCGGGTCCCAGGCTTGACCCTCGGGAGAGACTCTGGTGCTCCTGACTGGGGCTCTGCTGCGCAAGCCATAAGGGCGTGACAGAGGCCGCCCCTGGCCTATGGGTGCCATCCCCGGCCACGCCAGGCCAGGCAAGCACTGGCTCAGGGACTCGCTCCCCACGAGCAGCCCCCAGCGCTGCGCAGCTCCTGCTCAAGTGTCCTGCCCATCTCTAACTCAGTTCTGACAGAGTCTTTTCAACGCGCAGGACTTTCGTGTTCAAGACACGAGCCCTCGGCAGTCTGCACCATGACTGCTCCTGGTCTTGCAACCTCCTAGCATGGCTTCTGATGAACAGAAATTCCTGACTTGCTTGAAAAGGGACCGTGCATCCCTAATGGTTTTACAGCCACTTACAAAACGTCTGCTGCCCCATGCCCAGACCTAGCTCCTCGCCCTCACCTGGGGCCTGGCCGCCCCACCCAGAGCGCGGGGTCCCCACAAGCCGGCCTTCACAGGCTGCCGGTGCCGGCTGCGCCCTCAGCACTCACGGGCCAGGGAGGTCAGAAAGGTCGACCTGGAAACCTATGTGAGGAAGCTGAACGCAGACTAAGGCACACTGAGCCGCGAGGAGGGCGCGGACGGGAGCCACCATCTTACCGATGTAGGCTTCGGAGTCGCCGATGTACATCTCAATGCAGTGGCCGAGCATCGTGACGGAGAAGGTGTCGTCTCGCCTCAGACCCAGCGCCTGTCAGAAAGGTAGCGTAAGAAGACGCCCCTGTGGGGCACCAAGACCCTGCCAGGGAAGGTGGCCGGGACGCACCGTGTGGAAGCAGTCCACGGCCTCCTCGAAGTTGCCCGTGAGGCTGTGGATGTAGCCGATGGCAGAGTAGGTGGAAGCATTCTGAGGGATGAGCACCAGCGCCTGGCGGTGGTAGTCCAGGGCCTCCGCGTACTTCCTGGGAGACGGGTGGGAGGGCGCGTGAGGGGAGGATGCAGCGCAGCACAGCAAAGGCACGGCTTCCCACCAGACGCTGCCGGCCGTCGGGGCTGTCTCGACCCTAACAGCCTCGATGCCAGATCTGGGTGTCTCAACACCAAGCCACACACCCCTGCCCCAGTGCTGACCCCCAAGCAGGTGCATGGTCACTGTGCACCGGCCATCTCTGCAGGGCCCTGGGACCAGAACCTGCCCTGCCCCTGGCCAGCACCCCACCCCTGGGCCCCACCTCAGCACCCCGACCCCAGCCCAGCAAGGCCTTCTCTGTGCAGGGAAACACCGCACCCTGGGAGGCCAGAGCAAGCAGTTTTCTTTAAGGCCCACAGTAGTGACTGTAGCAGCAGCATTTCCCCAAGACCTCTGGACACTTGTCTTTCTTTCATGGGAGATAAAAGGCTCTCGTGACACTGGATCTGGGCAGAAAACCTGTCCCACTCCCTGTGACGGAGCAATCAGAGATCCCCAGGTTCACTCAGCCAGAGCCGGCTGCCCCTGCCACGCCAGCGCACCACCCCACCTGCCCCTGAGCACACAGGCGGGGCTGCAGCTAGCGCACGCTTCCAGATTGCAGTGAGGTAAGCTCCAACACTAAAGTCCTACAAGATCAGCTCCAGTCCTCACGTCAGGCAGGCGCATGCGAAGCCAGACCAGGGATGAGAGCATCGACACCATCTGTGTCCTGCCTGAGCCGCGAGCCCCCCCACAACCCCCCTGGCAAGGCCGCGCTGCTCACCTCAGCTTCCTGCAGACATGCCCCAGATTGTTCAGCAGCGGCTCCCACTTGTCCACTGTCACCTGGAACAGCAACAAGGCTGTGGCGCTCACAGCCCCACCCGGCGCCACCCTGGCCCCGCAGCCCCCAGGCCAGGCATTTTCCGTCCTTTTCTGGAACTAGACTGGGGGGGTCCAGCAGACCCCACCCTGTGCCGAGCACGTGGACGCTTGCACCACCACCCCCACTGCCACGTACTCACCCACGTGCCCTGGGGCTTGGTCACAGCCTCCCAGCACCCCCCACTGCCCATGCCCAGGTCTACTCGGGTCCCTCGGCTCCGCCCTTGCTGCGCCCACCTTCCACGCCCTGATCTCCCGACATCTTCAGTCTCTGCGACTCAGAGCCCCATTAGCTCAGCCTGCGTGGGCGGCCTGAGGGGACACTGGCATGGAGCCGTCCGCCTGGCAGCTCTAGGGCCCTCTGGCAACCAGCACATGATGGTGGCAGCCCCCAGGGCCAAGCGGCAGAAGGTCCCACCCTCTCCACACACTGCACCCCACACGACAACAGCGAGGGGCCTGGCCAGGGAGCTGTGCCCCGGCAGACACACACCCACGGGGGAGCATGGAAGCCATGCGTGTCGCCACAAGGCACTGCAGGCAACAGCGCATGGGCTGCGGGCCGTCTGGAGTGTGACCGTGGGAGGGAGGGGCAGGACAGGTGTGACCGGCAGGACGCAGGGTCGCGCGAGCCCCTCACATGGAAGTCACAGAAGCTGAACTCTAGGAGGCCACTGTGGTGCCCGCCCTGGGGTACACACCCCGGAAAGAGCCTCGGCAGCACCCAAAGGGAGTCCAGTCTGCACTGCGCTCAGGGCGAGGAGACTGGGCGTCCGCTTCAAGGACCTCACCCCGTGCCTGCAGGAGCAGGTGCAGTACCCCACAAATTCCAGTCCCTGAATCAAAGATGAGGCTTTTTCAAATTCCAGGAAAGGAGACCGCTGGGTCAGCACAGAACGTCACACCCCACCTGAGAAGATCTTCCCAAGCCCGTCAAAACCAATGCCTGCTACGACGCGCAAAGCCTGCACCGGCCCCTCTGGCACAGCTGCCCTCGCCCTGGGCGCCAGAAGCGGGTCTCGTGACACCAACACTGACACCGACAACCTCCAACAGCAGCCCGTGGGGCGGGCCGTCCCTGCCCGCCCTCAGCGCGCCTGGGGTGCAGACGCCACAACGGCTACCTCGTTCCCAATCGCTTTAATTTTTTCCAAAGCATCAAGAAACCATTTTTCTGCTGTTTTCCATCTAAAACAGAAGAGAAAATAGCGCAGGTTATTCAAAATCAGCAAGCAAGCCATCTTAAGCGAAAGCCAAACATCTGCCAGCACTAACCCCAGATGGGCAGCTCTCTGGCTCGTGTATTAAGCTTCAAGTCTAAGCCAGGCAAATCACCGACGTCGTGGCAGATGGCATCGGGCAAAGCCTGGGCTCCGGGAGCTACACATGATTCTGATCATCTGTGTCTGCAAAGCTGCCCCAAGGGAAGCTGGGGCTCGGGCCCTGCCCTGCTGGCCTCGGTGCTGATAGCCACTGACCCTGCCCACTCCCTCTTGCTTCCGCCTCAACTCCCCTCTGGGCACAGCCCCCCCCCTCCCCCCAGGGTCCTCCCAGCACCCAGGAACTGTGCTCAGGAGCCAGGGCAGGCACAGCACTGGGCCAGTTGCCAATAAAAAGCACCAAAACGCAAACACGTGGCCGACACAGATGGGAGGTATCGCCCCCCAACCTCGAGCACAGGGGAGCACGATGGGCACTGGCTGGGGCTGCAGGCCAGTGGGCAAGTAGTCCTGGTGCATTTTTGCTAAACCCCAGGACAATGGTTTCAGGAGACACACTCAGCACCAACACCACAGCAGTGCGGATTTGCTGCTTTAAGTTTGTGTGTCACTAGCGCAAAGAGCCATGGGTCCTTTTCTGAGAGTGTGACACCAAATTCCTTCCTGTAACTCGCAAGGCCACAGCCAGGCACCCCAGCTGGCCAGGAACATCACACTAGGCCGCTCTCATCTTATTGTCAGCTGAGCTGGTGACCAAGGAAAGCCCTCCTGCCCCACAACGTGGTGGGTCACTCCCCGGCGAGCCCACCAGGTCCCATGGGCGTGACAAGGCCCCAGCAGCACAAACTGGCGCCAAGTCCAAGACAAACCTTGGAGCTGACTTTTCCACCGTCTGCCTCCGTGCCCCCCTAACCACCCCCAGGCCCCGTCGCCGGGACGAGCAGCCCCGCAGGGTCGGAGGCCATGGCTCACGGGGCTGCACTCACTCTCCGTTCTGGAAGGCGACCACGCCGACTTCATGCATGACAAAGGGGTCCTCGGGAGCCACGCTCAGCGCCTGGCCAAAGAAGCGCTCAGCCAGCTTGGAGTTGTTGGTCAGACCATACTCCAGGCCGATGTAAAGCATGGGCAGGTGGCACCTGGAGGGGCAGGAGGCATCCCATTCAACACCAAAACCCCCACGATTCAGCAGAAATGACTGACCTGAATTCCCATCTGTAAAATATCGTAGCCCAAGCAGCATGTCACTAATATGTCATTTACTCGTGTTTAATACTATCTAAAGGACTTCCAGGCTAATCAGCAGGCGCTCCTGGAATCTATCAATGACGTCTCCCTTTGTTTTTCACGATTTCACAGTAAAAAATCAAAGCCTTCTCACTGCAGGGCAGGTCCATCACCCACCACCCCCAACCCACGGCCCGGCCCAGCCACACTGCCAGCCCCTCCTGTCTGCAGGGCTCCAGGTCCATCCCCAGGAGGAAGCTGCTTCTGCTCATCAGCTGAGGCACGCATGGACCCTACCCCCCAGCCCGGCTGCACCAGGGGGCGGGCTCAGGCTGGGCCTGCTGTTTTCGCAGCCTCTGGACAGCTGTCCATGGAGCTCGCCCATCGCCACTGCTCACAGCCAGAGCAAAGGTTAAAGCACACACGGTAAGAGGACTTTCTCCAAGGGGAGCCTCGGAACATGGATAATGACCAGCTGACCGTAGGGGGCTCTGGCTGGAGCCGTGACCAATGGCCTTTCTAGAGGGCCAGGAAGAGCCCTCCAAAGGCACCTACCTGACATGTCCAAGACGGCAGAGTAAGGGCCCCCAAAACTCCACCCCCCAGGCTCCCCACCGTCCCCCCAGGCCCCTGGATCCCCCATGCCTCCCATCCTGGGGCCACTCACCCTTTCATCAGCTGGGCTGCTGTGAAGTAGGCGGCCATGGCCTGGTCATGCTCACTCTCGACCGCGAACGAGTGTCCGTAGGCGATCCAGGCGGGCCCATATGTCTTCTCCAGCGTCGTGGCTTTGCTAGAAAGAGAGTCCACTCAGCACACACTGATGTGGTTATGCAACTGTCGCGCAGGCTGACGGCCTCCAGGAAATTCAGTAAACAGACTGTCAACAGCTGAAGTGCGACATTAATGTCTGTGTCAACTCACTTCAAATAAAAGAAGGTTTAGCAATCCAAGTAAAAAGCTTAGAAGCTGCAAGAAACACCCACAACAGTTAGGTACTAGCCGAACTCGACCAGCCGTCTGTCCAGGGTCTACAGGCTCCTCTGACCCAGGATCCCCACAACCCAGCCTGGGGATGTGAGGCAGCAGCCAGAGGGCGGCCGCCTCGGTCTGGTACTCAGCCCTCAGCCCCAGGGCCTGCAGCTGACATGCGCACGAGCGTCTGTCACCGGACCTGCCGGGGAGCCAGGGACAGGAGCGTGCGCTCCTGCGCCCAGGACAGGAGGTGAAGGGCGAGACCTTCACTTCCCAGTGTCCTCTTATCTACGGGCTTGAGTCTTCTCACCATGCGCCAGCACCACATCACCCCAGTCCATATTACCCCACTCCGAGAAAACAGGGCAGTCAGAGAGGGGTGCTCCCTTAGGACTCGCCACAGGGCAGCAGCAGCACCTGATCTGGACCAGCAGGAGGTCTGTCTCCAGAGGGCATGCTCGTCCCCTAGCTCCACCGTCCATTCTGCTTGCCCGGAGAGTCACGGGCACAGTACACGTTGATTGCTCAGCGACCCACATGTCCCCGTGCTGGCTGGGCTGCTCCAGACTGCAAGCGGGGGCTGCGGGGCTCTGGAGCTCCTGACCCTAGAAACAGCACATCCTCACACTTGCAGGCCGCACTGCCGAGAATCCGCTTTCATAGTCACCTTCAGTGCCTCTGTGAGGCTCTGAGGCACGTGAGGCTTCCGTGATTTCACAACCATGAACAAAAGAAGTTCCGAAAGCACAGGGGCTGAGAGCGTTTCTCCCTAACGACTACATCACACTCTGCTGCTTCCCATTTATGCCTAGTTATGAGCAGAAACTAAAAAGTGGTTCTCTGACAACGTGGCCCATACCCACAGCTGACTTCCTCGTGACACCTTGCAAGGACCAGGCTGGACTCTGCCAAGGAGCCGCGGCCCGCCGGCACCAGCAGGCTGTTGTGGGAAGAAGAGCATGAGCTCCTACCTGAGGTACCTTCTGGCGTGTTCGTTTTTATGGCCAACCATGAGATAATAGCACCCCACTGCAAACCAGGACACCTGCAAAGTTCAAAAGTCACCGTGACCGGAGACATTCACCAATGCGGACACAACTAACGGCCAGCCACAGCTGGGATAGACACGGGTCCGGCTCACGGTCCACCCCGAGCCAGGGGTCCCGAGTAAGGGCCTCTGCGCAGGGTCCTCAGGTGAGAAAGAAGACTCTCCACTGCACCTCCTCGACACCTTGCAAAAGGTGGCCAAGCCCGGCTCCCACCCCATGGCCAGCCCTGGGCAGCTTGGCCCTGCACAGACACCACCCCGAGCTGGGGGGCTCCCGCCTGTGGCGCGGCCTGACTCTTGACGTCAGTCTCCGGGGACACAGCCCTGGACTGCACCATCCCCCTAGGTCTCAGGTCTGGCTGCAGTCTGGGCTAGGTCAAGCCTGGCATCAGCCCACACGGAGCCCAGGGAGCACCTCACAGGCCACGTGATGGCTGGTGCCCCATGTGAGCACAGAGCAGGGATCTCAGTGCGTTCTGCTTCCTGAACGCTAAGGGCTTTTCCAGTAAGCACATGTAACTTCGACAGCCAGAAAGAAAAACAAAGTTACTGAATCAAGCAGAAAACCCTGGCGGACCAGAAAGTCGACTCTGCCCCTGAGCAGATGTGCCTGGAAGCCAAGTGCCGCCTGCCGGACGCTGAGCATCAGCTGCTGTCTGGATACTGGGAAGCGTTTCGTTAAACTACAGATATGAGAAACACCTTAAGATAAAAAACACATGGTACTTACGGGGTTAGTGGGGTATAAATCCACCAATTTATGGGAAAGGTAGAAGAGTTCTACAATGGAGAAAAGAATAAAAAAATTATTTACATCGAATTAATCTGAAGATGGACTTTCACCGGTTTGACATTTCACAACCCACAGGTTTTGTCCTCACAGCAAAACGATTTCATTCTTTCTAGACACAAAATCCCTTCAGCTAATGAAAGCGGCAAAAACGGGCAGACATGCTGGTCAGTGGCTTCACTGGAGCCTCTCCCAGCCCTACCTGAGCCTGGCCCAGCCCTGGCAGCACAGGTGCTCAAGTAGCTAGAGACCCTCGGGGTGAGCACGCACCAGCACACTGCTCATGGAGAGCCAGGCGCCTCCCACCCCACAGATCTGCAGCCGCCCCATGGCTACCAAGGGCCACCTTAGTCCCCCTCGGCCCCATGCGCCAACCTGGCCAAGCTCAAGCCTGTGCAGGCGACTCAATCATGTCGCGCCGAGATCACGCCCAGCCCTGCGAGGGAGGCTAGCTCAGCAGTCTACAGGAGGCCTCTGCCACCCCACGGGGTCTGCTTTCCGCCCGCTCGACAGAGGTCCCATCCCACTCCTAAGACTTAAGGCCAACAGTCCAGGACAGCTACCTGCATGTGAAATGCCGAAATACAGACAACACAAGCGAGCCTGCCCACCACATTTATACAGCCACCCACTCTGCTGCATCCGTTTCATTAGGAATTTTACAGGAAAAAAAAAAAAAAAAATAGACAAAAAACAGAATGGCCGCCCAACACTCGGAGGCCACTATCCCCAACCACCGACAGCGGGGGCGTGGGGGTACGGGCCTGGGCCCACAGCGTCTCCTCAAGGCTGCTCCTCTTACTGGAACACCCCATCATTTACTAACTGTGACCTCCAGTGTCCAGGGTTTGTAAGGCCAGATCCAAGAGTGACAAAACACCTGTCTTAGAGGTTGTTTTAATTACAAAAACTTACCGTTTGCCTTATTCAGCTCCACCAGTGTCCCTATATGCACAGGTAGACAATTTGCATGAAAAGGATCTTTTTCCATCACTCTGGAAGTCAAAGCAACACGTTAGTGCACAGATAGGACACAACACTGCGTGCCACGCCCACCACGCTCGGGGCACCAGGCACCACAACAGCTGACCCGCGACCCGGACCTGGACGCATTTTCACCTCCCCAAGTCCATTACCTTCTGGTTGGTTCAGGTAAGGCAAGGATTCGGTTACACACAAAGGAGAAATTTGGTTTTGGGGGAAAGAATAAGAATAAACTCTATCACCTTTTTTTTCTTGAGAACAGAAAAGGCAGACCTATTGAAATACACTATTAAGGGAAGCAGCGGTAAGGAGCGGGGGTCTCTGCACATCCACACATTTACTTTAAGCCAACAGAACTTGTACCACACAAAACAAGTAGTCCAATTACCCAGGAGAATCAAAAACCGTGTAAGATATTAGATACATCACAAGTTACTTGCCAATTCATCTTTTTGTGAATTTAAGGATTTTAAACAACCCCCAAAACTCAAAAGGCACCGTATGTGTCACACGGCTCGGCCCGCAGTTCGATCCCACCCAGGAAAGCGGGGGTGGGGCTCGCTGGGGGGCCAGGTGTAGACCCAGCACTGGAGCTGCTGTGACGCCCCCCATCACGCACCCCATCTTTGAGGTGCCCGCTCAAGACAGCACCTGTGTGGCAAAATGCAAATGGAAAAGGCAACTTCCAGGACCAGTTTGAAATTCACCCCAAAGAAGGCCCCTATGGCCCTCAGGCCCCACCCTGGCACAAAGCTGGGCAGTCCCACTTACACAGAAGTGAGCTTGTAGCACATCTTGAAGTCACAGTTGTAGTAGTGTCTTTCAGCCAGGGACACCACCACATCCAGATTGTCCTGCAGGCCATCGGCAGACTCGGGCGTGACAGTCTCGCTAGGCTTATTATACTGAAACACAGAGAAAGGTGAGGGCAGATGCGGCCGCCGCTCCAGCTCACACGCGGACCTGGCAGGGCCCAAGTGCCACAGGGGTTTACAAAGGGAAACGAGTGAGCCTCTGGGGAACATTTAACTTCGACTAGCATCAGCACTCCTCTCAGTAAGTTAATTCCATCCTCAATTTTATCACAGAATTTCATGGTAGAAAGTATTTACAAAGCACAAGTTCAGGAAGCATAAGAAAAGTCCTCACTTTCACGAAACACCACTCCATCTATCTGATAGCTCAATCTTTAGTGTAAGGAGTCCCTAGGAGGAAGACATATTTTTAGAAGCGATTTTAGGAAGCACCCCATATATTTTAAATATTCTAGGTCTACTCTTGCAATAGTGCCATGTAACTATTTTTTAAAAATTAACTAGTGAAAGAATAAAGGCCAGGGCTTCCCTGGCGGCACAGGGGTTATGCACAACACTATGAAGCAATCCGCAGCCACTGCAGCACAAGTTCGCGTCCCAGCCAGGGAGGTGACCCACAGGGCGCAGCAGACCTCTCCTGTCTCGCCCGCTGCTCCCCTCAGCAGTGTCTACCTGTTCCAATCCCCACTCTGTCTCTGGTAAATCCTCTCACCCCCGCCATAAGTCTGGCCTACACCCCAGTTCTTGTATGCATAAATAAATGTTTAAAAAAAAGGAATAGAGGCCAAATTTAAGGAAAGAACTGACAGATTTACTTATAGGAAGCAAATACTAACATTGTGTCTTTACTTACCTTTTTTAATTTGTTCTCAAAAAGGAAACGTAGCAATTCCTGTTCTTCAGTACAGAGCTTGCTAAGAGGTAGCGAATCCAGCAGTTCTTTTTCTTAAAATGTTGAGGAAAAAAGAATGTCCTCACGATATTTAAAAGGAGAAAGTCAGCAATAAGAAACATTGTTCTACAGGTCTCAGTTCTAAGTAAACCAACTCAGAAGAGAAAACATGAGCAGCGTGTACCGGAGGAGACACCAGGCCCAGCCCAGGCCCAGCACGAGACCCAGCGCAGGCTGTGCTGGGATGCCTCCTGGACCCCCGACTCGGGCCGCATCCCACCACTGACCCATCCTGAGGTGCCGTGTCCACAGGCTACCCAGCAGGACCTCTGGCCACTCGATGCCAATAGCAACGCCCTCTCATCCCCAGGCAGTGACCACTGAAAATGGCTCCCAGGGGCCAACTCGCCCTGGTGAGAACCACTGCACTGGGCTGACCCCAACCCCAACCCAGCATCCCCACTCCCTCTTTCTCCCCTGCCACCTCCACGTCACTATCGGGAGGCCCAGGCAGAGGCACTGGGGCTGCGCGAGGGCATGGTCCATGCTCCTCAGGGTTAGAAGTGCAGCCGGGTTGAGAATCACGGAATCAGTGATGTTCTCGCTTATATGACCTCAGATCACTTTTCACCAAGATGGCCTCACCACACCACAAGCCCCAAGGTTCTTCTGGTGCAGGAAGCCCGAGACACAAGGCCGTGTCTGCGCCAAGAGCCAGGCTTGCGGCATTGAGGAAGCCAATCATCTGTACACGCCTGCTCATGATGTTGCAGATGAGACAAAATTAATTGTGCTAGACACAAAAACACCTGAGATTCCAAACCTTCTTGGGCTGTCAACATGTGGTGTGACGTCAAAAGATCAAATGCCTCAAAACAGCACACATCAAGCTTCAGAGCCTCCTTATAGCTGCAGGCAGCGAGGGCTCGGTTATCCAGGGCATCGTAGATTTTCCCTCGTAAAAGACAAATAGAACTCTTTATCTGTTGGAAAAATACAATGAGTCACACACTAACTCAACATTTCAACTTAGCTTCTAATCAAAATTCACCTAACGCCAAAGGCTGAAGGCTCTGTCTCTCTGTGCTGCTGTCCGTCCACACCACGTGACACAGAGTAAATTGAGCATGAGCAAAAAGTAGGAGAGCACCGAGGTCCCTCCCCTGGGCTCTCATTGCTGCAGCAAATCTGTCTCCAGTATGTGCACTGCCTTTGTCCTGGCTCTGCCCCAAGTAGGGTCATGACTTTGAGACTCAGAACATACGTATATCAAATTGGACTTTACACTTTTGACAGGTAGATCTAGTCAAAAAATCCCAACAAAGTGGGCCTCCCCGGTGGCGCAGCGGTTGAGCGCTGGGTTGCGAAGCTGCCGGCGACCTCCGCGGCGCCGGTTCGATCCCCGGCTGCTCCCCGGCCACCAGAGGAGGGTCCCACATAGCGCGCAGACCTCTCCTGCCGCCCGCTGCTCCCCTCAGCAGTGTACTTTGGTCCTTCTGCCTGCTCTGCTCCCCGCTCTGGCTCTGGTGAATTCTCTCACCCTCCAGCGCTTCTGACTGTACCCAGTGCATGTATAAACAAAGAAACAAACAAATAAATAAATAAATAACATGCCTCTATAAAAAAAAAAAAAAAATCCCAACAAAGAGGATCTCAATAAATGTCAGAAAACTGGTGACAATGCAGCACAGTACTTAGTGGCAGGGCTTTCTAGAACTGGACAAACCTAAATTCAAACCCCAGTTCTGACATACGGGGTGACACTGGACAAGTGATTTGACCTCTCCTGCCTTCAGTGCCCGCCCTCAGCCAGTGCAGCCCACTGAGGTGAGCCTCCCTGGGGGCACTGCTAGCTCTGACAGGAGGGGAGAGGTTCCAGTTGGACTCTGAGCCCAATTAACAGATGATACAGAGACAGCAACAGCCGGTAAATCAAATGAAGGGCATTCATCGCAAAACTGCAATCTTTTAAATATCAAAGGACATTATGAGAGAATCTTAGACCTACGCCGTACCCTAAGAACTATTAAAAAAAGCACCTGCATGGATTATAGAGCATTACAAGACACGCATCTCTCAGCGGATAGGTAAGTAGACAGAGGCCCAAACTCAAGAGTGAGACCAAGCTCCTCACAGACTCACTTCTCAGGGGAAAGTGAGAGGTGAGAGGTTAATTTAACATGTAAATTAACAGACGAGCCAAAAACAGAGATAGAAGGAACCTAATGCATCACATTCCCTCTTTAGGAGACAAAATGTAGAGTGATCGCGTGCCTTCATCAACATGCTCCAGGGAACAACTGGGACGATGGGGGACTGGCGGTGGCAGCTAAAAGGTAGGGTTTCTTCACGAAGCAACAAGAGGGCCTCCCCGGTGGCGCAGCGGTTGAGCGCTGGGTTGCAAAGCTGCCCGCAGCCTCTGCAGAGCCGGTTCAATTCCCGGCTGCTCCCCGGCCACCGCAGGAGGGTCCCACATGGCGCACAGACCTCTCCTGCCGCCCGCTGCTCCCCTCAGCAGTGCATTTCTGCAGATCTGCCTGTTCTGTTCCCCACTCTGTCTCTGGTGAATACTCTCACCCACCGCCCCCCCAATCTCTGGCCTGTACTCCAACTCTTGTTTCATAAATAAATAAATCTTTGAAAAAAAAAAACTGCCCCGACTGGGACCCCGACTATGGGAGTCCACAGGGAGCACCCGGCCCTCCCTGCCAGGGAACAGCCCCAAACAATCAGAACAGGGACAGGGACAAGTGGATTGGCACAAGCCAAGTGGAAGATCCCAGCAGCTCGTCTCCGAGGGCGGCCATCACTGCCTTTTGGATTTCATGGCGGAACACACAGGCCGGCTCCCAGCTGCCCGCCCCTCCGACCCCCAAGGCTCGTGCGGCTCCTGGCCACGCGACTCACTGAGGACGGCGACATCTCCCAGTCGGTGCAGGGGTCTTTCAAACCACTGTCATCCTTCAAGTATTTTTCAAACAGCCTCTTGTTGATTGGTTCCTCCATGTCCAGGATGTCGAGGGCCTGCTGGTGCTCCTTGGCGGCATACTGCACAGAAGCAGAGGCCCATGAGCAAGGCTTCCAGCTCGAGGCGCTGGAGCGACTCAGAGGGCAACAAGCACCACTCTCCTCTCAGGCCGCCAAGGCAGGGCCCTCCACACATGCCAGGGTTATGCATGGGGCCACTACCCCACAGCACAGCAGAGATAAGCACGCCCCCACAACACACACTGCTAGTCTGTGAGCTTCAGCATCAGACCCTCACAAACACGAGGGATCCGTTAACAGCTCAGCAGATAACAGAGGGCCGGGTGTACACTTACGTGGCATCTAGCTGCGAGGTAGCGGCAGGCTTCATACAGCTAGGAGAGAAGTTAATGAAAAAAGTGGTCAAGAAAAAACACATTTTTACTCTGGAAGACAACTATAAACATATAACAAAGAAAGCTATTCTTGTAATCCCTCTGACTCTAGTATAGGAAAAAAATTCACTTTATTAACCCATGTTCCTCGCAAACCTACTGCGGGAGGAGTAAAGACATGCCTGCAAGAGGGTAGAGGAGGAGACATGCCCAGCACAAGGTCTCTCGTGAGCAAGAGGAGGGGCGGGCATACTGAGGACCAGAGGATGTGCAGCAGCGCCCGGGGTGGGGGGTGGGGGTGCAGGAGGGGCTGGACCAGAGGGAAGCCACTGGGGACTCTGGGAGCCCGCTCACCATCTGGCCTGGCCCTTGGGAGAGGAGAGGTGCTGCCCAAGTGCGAGTGATGGACGTGCACCTGGGTCCGGGAGGACCACTTGGGTCATGGGAAAGTTCAGCTGGGCAGGTGTGGGTGGGAGAGAGAATGCGGAAGAAGAGCAGCTGTTCCAGCAACCAAACAGCGAAGGCCTGGTGCATAGGAGCGGTGATGAGAGGGAGGGGAGCGCGCAGCACCGCAGGGCAGCTAGGAAAACAGAATTACCAAAACGTAGCAACTGCCTCTTGGGGGCAGGAGACACAAAATGATTCAGATTAGAGCAAGCATTTTCTTTCCATCCCATAAAAGCAGCTGAGTTCTTTTAAATAGTTTTGACATAAAAAACATACACATAAATACTACTCTAACAATGTTTTAAAAAGCTGTGAACTCTTTAAAGTTCCCAAAATCACTTACTTTGTCCAGTTTTCGTGAGCGGAGTGCATGCGCAGCTCTGTGGTACTGCGCTGTCAGGTACAGGCACTGGGCCAGCCAGTAGATGTCCTGGGGTTCCTCTGCGGGGAGCAACAGCCGTGTCAGAGCCCGGGGTGGGACACAGAATTTAACGACAGAGAAATCATGAAAAAGGGAGAACTTGTCACTTGCCATGAGAGAGCGAAGCCACTTTATCTGCCCAGAACAGAGCGCTGTGATACTGCTGCTGCAATCAAAAAACAAAAAGCAAAAGCGGTTACTGCGCGTTGCTCGAGCAGATTCAGACAGACGCCCACAGCTGCCGAGGGAGGCACGCGGCCCCCCCTCTCCCGCTGCACCTGTCACACCCCGCCCGAGTCTGCTCCTCGCGATGGCGGCACCTCTGCTCGCCAGCAGCGGCTCTCGGGCCTTCCCGGTCCCCGCCGCGGCGGCAGGAAGCCTGCGGGCGGCCGGAGGCGCTGTGCAAGCGCCGGGAGGGCCGGGCGGCCTCGGCCCCGCCGCATCCCAGGGCCGGGGCAGGCGGCACCCGGCGGCGCCCAGCGCGGGCCCACGCGCCCCCGGGCCGCCCCGCCGGACCCCGCCCGCCCGAGCCAGCGCCGCCGCCGCCCCCCGGCACCGCCGGAGCCCACAGGCCCGTCCGTCCCCGCGGCCACCTCGGCGGCCAGGCAGTCGCACGAAACGCGCCGGACGTTTCCGGCCGCCGCGCCCCCGGCCCGGGCCGCGCCCCGCGCCCACCTGGTCCAGGTACTGGCGGACGCGCCTCCGCAGCCGCTCCAGGTTCATGGCCGCTCCGCTCCCGCCGCCCCGCGCGCTTCCGCCCCGCGGCCCCGCCCCGGAAGTCCGCCGCGTCGTCCCCGGCCCCGCACGCGGGGCGCGCCGTTGGTTCCGCCTCCGGGCGGGCGGGGTGCGGGCCCGGAGGCCCTTTCTGCCGGACTCGCGTGACGAGGCGCCCGCGCGTGCGCGTCCCCGCCGCCCGCCCAGCCCGGGGCCGCCGCTCGGGGTTCGCGCGCTTCGGGGTTCCGAGCGAGCCCGCGCTTCTCTCCTGCGGGGGAAGACGCTCGGGCGGTGGCCGTTCAGACGCCCCTTTAAATCACGCGGGAGGGGGCCCGCGGGGGGCGGGGGCCGCAGCCCCCCCCGCCGGGACGCGGGTTCTCCTCTGGCAGCACGCGGGAAGCTCGTCCCCCGGCGGGGAGGCAGCTGCCGTCGCGGCCAGCGGCGCGGGGGCCCGGGGAGAGGGAGGGGCGCCCGGGGCGGGCGCGTGGGGGCGGGGGGACCGGCCGGGCCCCGCTGCGGCCGTGCCCAGGCCCGGCGGCCGCCCCGGCGCCTCCCGCGGTCCCGGAACCCGACCCCGCGCGGCCGCCGGCCTGACCCCCCACGGGCAGCAGCGCCCGGCCGGCCGCCCTCAGCCCGCGCGGGAGAGGGCGCCGGGCAGAGCCCGCCTTACCGGGACGCTCCACCCCCGGCCCGTCGGTTCCCTGGCTGCGGGACCCCGGTCCCCGCCCCCCGCCAGTGCCAGTCACAGTGACCCCGGTTTCCATGGCGACGGCTCCACCCCAGAATGGAAGCTCCCTTACCTGCTTTGGCAAATGTCACTCAGTATTTTTCTTCAAAACTACATGGAATCGGGCCTCCCCGGTGGCGCAGCGGGTTGAGCGCAGCGCAGAGGAGCTGTCCGCAGCCTCCGCAGCGCGGGTTCGGTCCCGGCCCGCCAGGGAGAGTCCCACAGGGCGCGGCAGACCGCTCCTGTCTCCCCGCTGCCCCCTCAGCAGTGGATGATCATTCCATCCGGCTCCGGCTCTGGGGAGTCCTCTCACCCCCGCACCTCTGGCCTGTGCCCCAGCTCTTGCATAAAAATAAGTAACTCTTAAAAAAAAAAAACAAACTATATGGAACTGGGCCTCCCTGGTGGCGCAAGGGGTTAAGCACTTCACTATGAAACAATCTGCAGCCTCTGCAGCACAAGTTCAATCCCTGGCCAGGGAACTACCCACATGGCGCAGCAGACCTCTCCTGACTCGTCCACTACTCCCCTCAGCAGTGGATTTCGTCAGTCTGCCTGTTCTGCTTCCTGCTCTGTCTCTGGTGAATCCTTTCACCCTCCTGCGCATCTGGCCTGTACCCCGGCTCTTGTATAAACAAAATAAATCTTTTAAAAATCAAACTTTTTTTTTAAAAAAAAGGGGCAAAACCAGCTGTGAAGAAGCCAACGATGTGCAAACACTTTTGTTGTTATTTTGCAAAGACAATCCCATAAATTTGGAGTTAACCTCTATCCACATTTCAGGGCTGATACGCTGTGCCCCCATGTGCCCTCATGTGCCCCCTCGCTCCTCGGGCAGCTCCCGGCCATGCTCCCAAGGACTGCACCAAACACCTGCTCAGCAGCCAGCATAGCGCGTCCCTCTGCGCCTCCTGAACTGCCATGTCCGTGCAGGGTCAGGGAGTGGGCATGAGGGCACAGCCCCCACCTGTGGACACCAGCACCATGGAAGGCTGTTTGGAGACCCAAGGACGGGGGCTCCTTAAGGACAAGACCAAAATGCTCTTGTTCAGCAACTGATCTCTTCCGATAAATAACATTTGGTAATAAAATTCTGTTGCTAAAACCAAGGCTTCTGCGGGGCTATGACCTGTGGTTTGTGGGACTTGCCCCGCGGCCTATCAGGCTACAGCCGCGCCCCAGCAGCCTCCAGCCCGGCCTGGCCCCTGCTGTCTCACTGCAGCCACTGTTCCTGGTGAAGAGGGCCCAGTGGCTCTGGGGTCTTCGTCATCCTTCTGACATCATCCTTCATGACATCATCTCCATGCACGTGGTGGGGCTTGCTCAGAAGGGGGTGTGGGCGGCCAGGGGAGCGCTTCTGAGGGGCCCGGGCAGTGGTTCTGACCACGTGGTGGCTCCCGGAGCCAGGGGGTCCAGCGCCCAAATGGGGTCGCCCCGTCCTGTCCAGCCTCCCCTAGGGCCCAGGTTGTGGGGGCTGATGCGGGGTCCTGTGCGCGCCCCAGGGCACAGCTGCTCCCTCCCGCCTGGGCTCCTCCTCCCGGACCCCTGTATCCACTCAGGACTTGGGTCTGCCTTGTGCAGTCAGGCTGCAGGTTCATCACACTGAGGAGTTTTCATCGGATTTGCTTAGTATTTGTCAAGTACCAATCACAGATTTTTAGGGTGAGTTACACAAAGCCCCTGGGAGTTAGCGACCATCCACCGCGGCCCACAATAGGGCAACGGAGGACGGCCAGAAAAGGAAGTTCTCCACCCAGCGCACTACTCGTGGTCAGCTTCTGCCGCAGATGCGCCAAAACAGCCCCGCACACCCAGCCCGCAGGGAGCAGAGTGGGCCCCAGGCCCCTGCCCGCGGCCCACCGGCACCCCCGCCGGCTTCCACCAGACTTGTCCTGTCGATGGTTTGTGTCCCAAGGCCTCCCACCTTTCCCACTTGCTCCATTTCCGGGGGCAGGCTTGGACTTGCCCTGGCTGCATTTCGGGTTCAGTTCCTGCCGCATTAGAAATACACATTGGAAGCGCTTCCCTCGGGCCAGCGCGGGCAGCTGTCAGCGGGCCAGCACGCATGGAGAGCAGGTATCGCAACTCACTGATAATTCAACTTAGAATTAGTCATACAGTCCACCAAAACAATAGCTTTATTGATGCAAGTTTTTCCTAAAATTTATGCGTTTAAAGTGTACATTTCAGGGCCTCCCTGGTGGCACAAGGAGTTAAGCATCTGCTCTATGAGGCTGTCCGCAGCTACTGATGCACGGGTTCCATCCCCGGCCAGGGAGCTACCCACAGGGCACAGCAGACCTCTCCTGTCTCGCCTGCTGCTCCCCTCAGCAGTGGATTTCTGTCAATCTGCCTGTTCTGCTCCCCACTCTTGTCTCTGGTGAGTCCTCTCACCACCACCCCCACCTCTGGCCTGCAGCCAGCTCTTATATACATAAATAAATAAATCTTTAATAAATAAATACAGTGTATTTCAGCGGTTCTCAGTATATCCCAAGTTGCTCAGCCACCATCAAATCCAATTTTGGACGACTTTCATCATCCTGGCCCCCAAAGTAGCACCCTTGTTACAGCTTTGATGCACCCCCCCCAGCTCCCAGGACCTTCCAGCACCCCAGCCCCCAGCCAGACCAGCCCCAACACCCCCAATCCCCAGCACCCCCAGACCATGGCAGCCAGGGGACACTCCCGACCACTGAACCACATGCACACGCCCTCTGGCTTGTCTGTGGCTGCAGCTCAAGGCTCACCACAGCACAGCTCGTGAGGCCAAAGACCAGCCGCGGCCACATCCTCCTCCTCTGCAGTGGCATTTGGTTGTTCTGCATCGCGCTGCCAGGAAGTCAGTGGTTTCTGGGGGCTACAATTTCAATTTGGGGGGAGTCAAATGATTACGTTCCTGGGAGCAGCCCACCTCTGTGCACTCCACCATCTGACACTCCGGCCTGTGTCCCTCCACACGCCCCTGTTCTGGGGTCAGCGGGCAGGGGGTGGCCTCTGGGGGAGGTTTTGCCTTCCGTTTGCCCAGTGATATTGTTCACCTTTGAATGGGCTTATTGACCTTGCAGGTCTTCTAATAATTAGGTAATTTTTTTTAACTTTTTTTTTATAGAGGCATGTTTTATTTATTTATTTGTTTGTTTGTTTGTTTTGTTTATACATGTACTGGGTACAGTCAGAAGCACGGGAGGGTGAGAGGATTCACCAGAGCCAGAGCGGGGAGCAGAGCAGGCAGAAGGACCGAAGGACACTGCTGAGGGGAGCAGCGGGCGGCAGGAGAGGTCTGCGCGCCATGTGGGACCCTCCTCTGGTGGCCGGGGAGCAGCCGGGGATCGAACTGGCGCCGCAGAGGCCGCGGGCAGTTTTGCAACCCAGCGCTCAACCGCTGCGCCACCGGGGAGGCCCTAATAATTAGGTAATCTTTTATCACTTCAACTTTGCTGTTGAACTCTTTCTAGAACGCACCAAAGTACTTTCTGGGCGGCAGGACTAAGGTCCACCCTGAGAATGAGCTGGTGAGGCCGGGGCCTCTCCAAACTGAACCAGCCAGGGCCCCAGGCTCTGTCCCTGCCTTTGGTTGGCTCTGCGAGCTCCCTTCACGTTGGGCTTATCTGTTTCCTGTCATGTGCTGGCGCTTGCAAGAGTCAAGGAAACAAGTGACTGGTGGATGTGAAATGTGGGTCCAAGCATTTTCTTGACATTTGCTAAAGAAAATAACATATGTGGGGAGAAGCAAACAAAACAAATTATTCAAAAACAGAACAGAAACGAGCAGACAGAACAGCAAAGTGGATGAGCACAGACGGAAAGCCTTGGGGGAAGATCGTGGATGAGATCAAAAAAACAGAATTACACAAACCTGAAATAAAAACAGACATAAAAATATTAAAAGTGGAATGACATGCAGAAGCAAATCCGACAGGTGTAGCTGGAGCGAGGCAGCAGAGGCGAATGCGGGGGACGGTCGCAGGCTCCTGGGGCTCAGGCCGCCTCCCCAGACAGGACCGGACCCCTCCCACCTCCCCTCCCAGCCCTGCCCAGCTAGTGCTGCGGATAGGGTCTGGGAAGCGGCTGTGCCCTACGAGGGAGAGGCTGCTGAGAGCATGTTGGGTGAGCTATGAAGAATATGAAGAATCCTGATATTGCAAATCAATTATTTAACTTACAATAAATTTGTTAAAAAAAGAATTTTGGCCTCTGCCTTTAGGCACAGCACAAAAATTCCATGTTTATTAAATTCTATATTATAATTAAATTCTTTATCAAATTAAATTTGAAGACTTAGAGTTAATTGAGAAAATTATAAAAGATTAGGAGAAAGTATGGGAGAATATTTTGACAGTGTTAGCTCCAGTCCTTCCTATGTATGGCACAGAACCAGACATCGTGAAGGAAAGCATCCCCAATTTACCTACTCAAAACAGTAACCCTGGATGAAATTATTAGTGCAAGACACCTGTGACAGCCATAGTAGAAAAAAGTAAACATTGGTAAGTGCCCCACTTCCTTACTTGTTTTTTGTCTGATCTATTCATTATAGAGCAAAGCACTAAAGTCTCCAAATATAATTACAGAACTACGTCTCCCGTCAGTCCCACTGGTTTTTGCTTCATATATTTTCATCCTGTCATTAGGTTACAAATGTTTATAATTTTTATAATTTCTTGCTGTATTAAGCCTTTTATTGATATACAAGGTTCTTTTTCTGTTATAGACTTTTTGATTTAAAATACCCTTACTAGGGCCTCCCCGGTGGCACAGCGGTTGAGCGCTGGGTTGCGAAGCTGCCGGCGACCTCTGTGGCGCCGGTTCGATCCCCGGCTGCTCCCCGGCCCCCGGAGGAGGGTCCCACATGGCGCGCAGACCTCTCCTGCCGCCCGCTGCTCCCCTCAGCAGTGTCCTTCGGTCCTTCTGCCTGCTCTGCTCCCCGCTCTGGCTCTGGTGAATTCTCTCACCCTCCCGCGCTTCTGACTGTACCCAGTGCTTGTATAAATAAATAAATAAATCTTTAAAAAAAATAAAATAAAATAAAATACCCTTACTGGGGGCCTCTCTGGTGGCGCGGTGGTTAAGCGCTGGGTTGCGAAGCTGCCCACAGCCTCTGCAGCACCAGTTTGATCCCCGGCCACCAGGCGAGGGTCCCACATGGTGCGCAGACCTCTCCTGCCACCCGCTGCTCCCCTCAGCAGTGTACTTCATCACTTTGCCTGTTTTATTCTCCGCTCTGGCTCCTCTCGCCCTCCCGCACTTCTGACTGTACCCAGTGCATATAAATAAATAAATAAATAAATCTTTTAAAAAAAAATTTAAAAATTAAAATAAAATACCCTTACTGGGCCTCCCTGGTGGTGCAGGGGTTAAGTCTCAGCACTGTCAGGCTATGGCCAGCCACTGCGTCCTGAGTGCGATCCCCGGCCGGGGAGTGACACACACGGTGCAGCAGACCTCTCCTGACTCGCCCGCTGCTCCCCTCAGCAGTGTGATTCAGTGAATCCACCTGTTCTGCTCCCCACTCTGTCTCCGGGGAGTCCTCTCAAACCCCCCCAGCCTGCACCCCAGTTCTTGTGTGTATAAATAAAAAAAAAAATCTTTAAAAATAAAAATAAAACACACTTTACTTGTCATCACAATAGTACCCCCCTGCTGTTGTGCGGCTGCTGTTAGCAGGAGCAGCATCTTCTGCCTTTAACTTTCCAGCTCTCTGTACGCTGGGCTCGAGAGTGCGTCTCTATAGAGCTGTGCACCCGTTTTTATCCATTCTGCCCATTTCCAGCACTTGATTAGGCCTCTGTCCTTTCACTATTTATTTTCCTTCCATGTTTATATTTTTGGTCCCTCCCTTCCTGCATTACTTCCTTCTTTTGTGTTTACTCAATTTTTTGTAGTGAAACATTTAAATTACTTTGTTTCTTTTTGTGTATATTCTATAGCTATAATCTTTGTAGTCACCATGGACACTGCATTTAACACCCTAAATTTATAGCACTCCACATTGAATTGATACCGGCTCAACTTGAATCTCAACAAAAACTGCTCCTTTAAAGCTCTGCCTTTGCTGTCACAAAAGCACGTTCTTATGCATTATACACCGATAAGAATTCTTTTTTTATTTAATGTATCTACTTATACGTATCTATGTTACACATCGCTGTTCATTTTTGTACAATGTTTGACTCCTCCCCTCACATGTAGCCCCGTAAAATCCCCACCGCCCAGTCCAGTCAGCCACGAGTGGGCCGAGTGCTCTTCCCACCCCGTTTCAATCCCTCCCCCCGCCCCGTGGATGTCTCTGATTTATAGTTTGCCTGTAAATTCTGTCTTTTCCCCCAATCCCTGGTTTGGGTTCCCCACGTTCCCCGAGAGGCCCCAGGAGCACAGCTGCCTGCTCTGGACTGGGTGGCCGATGGGCAGCCGCCAGCGCCTGAAGAGCTGAGATTGACCACAATTAGCCGCCGTCTGCTGTCGGAGCCTTTCCCTGCAATTGTAAGAATTTAATAGACTCCACAGTCCCCAACAGTTACTTTCTACAGCTGCTTCTGGCGTTACTGTTGTCCAGATGGGAAGACAGATTCGTGGTGCTTCCTCCTCCACCACCTTCCCAGCACGCAGCCCTATTTAGCATTGTCAAGTCTGTTATTCTAGGCTGGAGCGCCCCTCCCCTCCAGACCCGCTGCGCGAGTCGTGAACATGTGCAGCCGTCGGCATGGGCCACTTGAGGACATTTTCACTTCCCTCAAAAAAACAAAAACACAAACCACCGCCTACCCTTGAACCATCAACTCGTCACCCTGCACACCCAGCCTGAGTGACCTCTGACGCCCGCCCAGCTCCGGCACCCCTGCTGAGCCTCTCCTGTGCCTGACCCGCACAGTGCGGCCTCCCGTGGGCGCAGCCAGGGCCCAGCTGGAGTCAGCCCCCGCGCTCCACCCGTAACGCTCACGTCTGTCTCTCCAGTTGACGGGCATCTGTGGTGTCACCGGAGGCTGTTGTGAACACGCCTGCTCGTGTCCCTGTGGACGTGCTTCAGTTGCCGGTGCCACATCTCCGCGTGGGATCGCTGAATCATGGGGCCACTCTATTTCAGGAACTGTTGGCGCTGGCCCCCGGTGGCCCCACAAATATCATCCCTGTGGGGTCGGCGGGGGCTCCCGCTGCGGTTTTGCCTGCATCCCCTGATGACTAATGTTGAGCTCTCTTCCCCACGTGTTCATCGCCCTTTTTTACATCTTCCCTGGAGAAATATTTACTCTGATCCTTTGCCCACCTTTAGGTTACGGTATTGGTGCGTTTATCATTGGGCTGTATGGTTCTTCAGATGGTCTAGATTCAGTCTCTCCTCAGATACAAGATTGCAGATATTTCCTCCTCGTTTGTGGGATCTTTTTCTTCCTTGACTTGTTCTTTGAACCAAAAAGTCTTTACTTTTGGTCAAGTCCGACTCGTTTATTTCTCTCTTGCTGTTCATGCTCTGGTGTCATGTGTGACCCCAAATACGAAGTCAAGGAGACTCATCTCTATGTTTTCTACGAGTTCTACAATTTCAGTTCTTGTATTTAGAGCTTTGATACATTTTAATTTCCGTATCTGGTGTGGATAAGAGCCAACTTGGCACTTTTGCATGTGAGTATAGAGTGTGTCGGAGCCGCTGTCGGGACCCCTGCTCCAGCCTCTCCTGTGACTCGCTGTTCTCCCCCGTGACCAGCCGCCTCCTCGCTGAGGCAGAGCAGCCACACAGCGTGTCTCGCGGCTCCCACACACGTCGCCTCCCCGTCTTCATCAGGCGGCCTCGTCACCACGCGGGCAGTCGTTCTGAAACAGCACATGGGCCTCCTTTGCTCTTTTCAGGATTGTTTTGACTCCTTGATGCTCCTTGCAATTCCAGGTGACTTTTAGAATCAATATGTTAATTTTTACGAAGATGCAGCTGGGATCTGATGGGAACGCACTGAGCACACAGGTGGCTCTGGTGACCGCTTAGTGTCGCCTTCTGGTCCACACACACGGGGTTTTCCATTTATTTAGATCTTTAATTTCTTTCAATAATTTTTGTAGTTTTCTGAAGATAAGATTTGTACTTATTTTATTAACTTTATTTCCAATTATTTCATCTTTTTGGTGATACTGCGAACAGGATCATTTTCTCAATTTCATTTTCAGATGGTTTCAGTACATTTCATGCACTTCATCTCAAGGACACAGAAATACAATCGACTTTCACATATTAATCTGGTACCCCCAGATTAATTTGTTGAGTTCGTGTATCAATTCTAATAGTTCGGGTTTTTTTTCTGGCTCTCTCATGATTTTTCAGAAGCAAGGTCACTCCTCTGAGCACGCGGACAGGTTGGTTGGACACCATCCCCTCGCGCCCAGGGGGACTCAGGGCGCCCACTCCGCCCACCGAAGTCTCGGGGTTTGGACTTGGGAGTGAGGCCAAGGTGGCCTTCTCCGAAGGACATGGTCTTTGTGAGGGCCCGACGCAGTCTTCTCTGCCTGACTCCCAGTGTCCAGACCTGCTCTGGGGTCGTAGCTTCTCAGCGGCTCTGCCCAGATCCAGGTGCTGGTGGGAGGGGCCGCCCGGCCACTCCCCTGGGACGGTGCCGGGCAGGGGCAGCTCCAGTCTGCGGGTCTGGCCCAAGTCCAGTGTGTTGTCCTGAGTCCATGCTCGCTCAGGTGCACAGGACCCACCGCCGCCTGGGGGACAGGCCAGTAGCAAGACCGGCGGGCAGCGCCGCGCCTCCAGCCCTCACCCTCCGTGGGGGGGGGGGTCCCCTGTCCCTCTGTGGGCACCTCTGGGCCACACCAGTGTCTCCAGTGCCACCATCTCTTCTCCCTTCCTCGCTGACGCCCAGGGCGTGCACCGGCAGGGATGGAGGGAGAGGGATGCAGGAATTCTCCTCCTGGAGCACGTGGGGTTTTCCTTTCCAGAGACTCCGGGCCTCCCAGCTGGTCTTCTGGCCCCCAGGGCCGGGGCAGGTGGCATGGGAGGGGTCATTGTGGGTGAGAGCGAGGCCTGTATGCAGAAAGTGAGTCCAGATCCGACGCGAATGAGCCCGGGAGAGTGGAGATTGGCCAGTGGCTCCCGGTTTCAATGGCAGCTGGGCACCGGTGGCCCCAGCCTGGAGCCTCTCTGAGGAGGATGCACCTCTGGCTGCGGCTTCTCCCAGGGCCTGTGCCACCCCTGCGTACCCCATGCGCTGCGGATGGCTGGGGGCTTTGTCGTGAGATCCGGACCCTCTCCCAGCACCTTGGAGACGGGTACAAGGTGAACGTTTCAAAGAACTGAGAACTTCTGCAAAGACAGGAACCTCACTCACTGTCCACCAAAGTCACCACTGACCTTTGTGCTTAAAAGGGAGGGACAGTGACATAGAGGGGCAGTTTCTGGCAGTGGTGGGAGGGTGCAGTCTCAGCCGCAGGGTGGCCGCTCGCCTGGGCCGGCTCCAGGTGGCAGGAACAGCAACTGCATGGCCACCTGGCGTCTCTCTGGGCTGGGCCAGGGTCGGCAGGTGGAGAAACAAATGCCTTCTCTGCCTCGGCGCCTGGCCCCTGGCTTTCCAGCTGAGATCACGCCCAGGCCTGCAGCCACCCGTGCCTCTGCTTCTCTCTGCAAGCTGAGCTCAGCACCCTCCCTCACAGGGCTGCTTGGAGGGCAAACAAGGAAGGCTGCAGCAGTGGGCACACGGTGGGCTCATGGCCATGGGCTTCAGGGCTGGTTTGCTGGAGACGAGTCTCCACTAAAACCTTGGTCCCTGCGTCACAGAGGAAAGGGCATTTCTTTGGCACCTGGCTCTCTGGCGGGAGAGAAAAGAGACGGCTGCTCGGGCCGGGGGCTGCGGGCCTGCCACCGTGGGGCATGCTGTGGGTCCTGCTGTGGCCTGTCCCCTGTGCCTCATGATGCTGGACACCCTCTGCAGCAGCAGGCGGTTGTCCCTGTCGATGGCTGAGAGCCGGTCCTGCTCCAGCTGTGGGCAGACAAAAGCTCCTGAGCGGCTGTGGCCAGTCCCGGCACCGCCACCCGGGGCAGCTCCTGCCCTGACCACCCGGGCACCCAGAGCAGCTTCTGGTCTGCAGTGGGTGCGGTGGGGGGCGCCCCAGCACTGGGGTCGACTTGGCAGCCTCTGGGGACGCGCCTTCAGCTGTGATGAGAATGAGGAACTCGCCACAGTTTAAGAAAGGCTTTCGACGCTGTTCAGAGGAAGAAAGTTTAAGCCAGAGGAAACTCCTCTTGCGCTAGGCAGTCAGTGGGCTGGCCGGCGGCCGCTCTCAAGACCAGAGACTGAGCTCCAAGTGGGCAGGCACCGGCCCCCGCCAACAGCAGAGGCAGCTTCAGCTTCCAGAAACAAGTATTCTGAAGCACCATGCCCCAGTCTGCCTGGAGGGGTGCAGCCTGGGGCTGCCCTCCCACTCCCCGTGAGTCCTGCAGGCCGGGAACCCCCAGCACGTCCTTCCCTCTGAGCCCGCCTCTCTCCTCCTGTTTTTTAGCTGCCATTTTCCCACTCACTGTGACAAAACCGGGGGTTGGGTGGGCGGTCACCTTCAGTTTCTTGAGTTTCAGATGGAGATGGCTGGGCGTCCATGGGGCACAGGTGTCCACCAGTGGCTGGGCGTCCTGGACCTGCATCACAGAGAGGCAGTGTGACCCGGGTGGGCTCAGCGGGTGACCGATGCCAGGCCCCAGGGTTGCTGTGGGCAGCTGACGTGCAGGCCACAGCCATGCTTCCAGGACAGAGCCCCTTGGACAGGGGCCGCAGCAGTGTCCTCTCAGAAGCAAGGGAGCATGTTTGCATTTAATCGTGTGCCTATAGGGACACATCCACGTGCCGGCATTGCAGGTGGTGGTGAGGCTGGCCCAGGCCTGTTTCGGCAGGAAGGCTCCGCGGCCGGCAGCCCCGCTTGCAGGCCTGTTAGGCTGATCAGCCGAAGTGAAGGCTTCGGGAAGCCCTGCGGCAGAGCCCCTGTGCGGTGGCCTGGGAGCCCCTCATTTGGGGCCAGGCCTGCAGGCTGGGCACCACCAGCCGAAGCAGCAAGCCCATGGGCCAAGACAGCGACAGAGAGGGGGTTCGGGTGACGCCCCCAGGAATGGCACTTGGTCCTGCGGCAGAGGAACCCTGGAGGACAGAGACTGGACAGAAGGGCAGTTGTGGGGACCCCAGCCACGGGTGAGGAAGAGACAAGACACGCTGGCCGTCCCAGCGGGGCCTGGCCACCGGCAGGGGTGTGCCACGCACAGGAGGCCCGAGGGGCAGCCTGCCAGAGGGGTCTGCCGGGTCTTGTCTCCCTGGGCTGCCGGTCTGTTGCAGGGTGGGAGCGGCCACGGGCGGTGGACTTCTGCTGCCCGTGACACCAGGGAGCAGGCAGGTGCCAGGGCATGGGACGGCGGGGACTCTGCCCTGGGCATGTTTGATTTGAGGCGCCAGCGCAGCTGACTAGGAGTTGGCTCTGCCACAGGTAAAAGCTGGAGACGCCAGGGCTGGAGTCACGCGGCTGATTCTGACTCTGACCAAGGTCTCTGAACACACTGGCTTGAGCCAGGTGACAGCGGAGCCAGAAGGCTGTGCTGCAGCGGGTCCCGGTGCCGGCAGGTGGGGGCGCCGCAGCGGGTCCAGGTGCTGGCAGGTGGGGCGCCGCAGCGGGTCCAGGCAGGTGGGGGCCCCCGCAGCGGGCCCAGGCAGGTGGGGGCGCCGCAGCGGGCCCAGGCAGGTGGGGCGCCGCAGCGGGTCCAGGCAGGTGGGGCCCCCCCGCAGCGGGCCCAGGCAAGTGGGGGCGCCGCAGCAGGCCCAGGCAGGTGGGGGCGCCGCAGCGGGCCCAGGCAGGTGGGGGCCCCCACAGCGGGCCCAGGCAGGTGGGGGCGCCGCAGCGGGTCCAGGCAGGTGGGGGCCCCGCAGCGGGCCCAGGCAGGTGGGGCACCGCAGCGGGTCCAGGCAGGTGGGGGCCCCCCCGCAGCGGGCCCAGGCAGGTGGGGGCGCCGCAGCGGGCCCAGGCAGGTGGGGGCGCCGCAGCGGGTCCAGGCAGGTGGGGGCCCCCCCGCAGCGGGCCCAGGCAGGTGGGGCGCCGCAGCGGGTCCAGGCAGGTGGGGGCCCCGCAGCGGGCCCAGGCAGGTGGGGGCGCCGCAGCGGGCCCAGGCAGGTGGGGGCGCCGCAGCGGGCCCAGGCAGGTGGGGCGCCGCAGCGGGCCCAGGCAGGTGGGGGCGCCGCAGCGGGTCCACTGCAGAGAAGCCAGAGCCGCAGCGGGCCCACGCGCCTGACGACCTTCCCGCCAATCAGAACTCACGTCTGCAGCCCTCATTTGCATGCACGGGCCTCGCCCCGCCCCCCGTGGCTATATAAGCGGCTCCGCGCTCTCGGGCTCGGCCACCCGCCAACCCACGCGGGTCAGTCTGTGGCGTCCCGTGGCGTCCCGAGGCGTCCCGAGGCGTCCCGTGGCGTCCCGAGGCGTCCCATGGCGTCCCGAGGCGTCCCGTGGCGTCCCGAGGCGTCCCGAGGCGTCCCGTGGCGTCCCGAGGCGTCCCGTGGCGTCCCGAGGCGTCCCGAGGCGTCCCGTGGTGTCCCGAGGCGTCCCGAGGCGTCCCGAGGCGTCCGGTGACGTCCCGAGGCGTCCACCTGGCCACGAGCGTGCAGCGAAGCGCGAGGCCAGGAAAGCGGAGGCAGCAGGCGCGGGAAAGTCGCTCGCGGGCCTCTACCTGCCTCGGGACGGGACAGCACGACGCGGCACCGCCCGGGCCCGGGACAGCGCGGGGGCTCCCCGCAGCGCCCTCCTGCTCTGGCTCTGCATCGGGGTGGCCCGTGCTGCGGGGCTCCAGGTCACCCGGGAATGGGGCGAAGAGAGCCGCTCTCGGTCTCACCGGGCAGCCGGCCCACGGCAGAGGGCGGCGAGGGGCCGGCCGGCAGCCAGGCGAGCGGCTCGCCCGCTCCCCCCCACCCCCGCACCCCCGCAGCCACCCCTCACGCAGGCGCCCCAAGTCCCCTCCTCAGCACCAGCCGTCCTGCTGGGAAGGGGCTCGCGGGGCTCAGTCACCCACTTCACGCCCCTGGATCTGCAGCCTTTTTAGGCCCCTGACGGAGCCGCATCCTGAAGGAAGACGCGCCCACTGCTGCCGCCAGGGACGCCGAGGGCCCTCCCGGCTGGGGGGTTGCGGGCAGGAATCGGGGACCAAGAGCTAGTACGTGTGACAAACCCGTCACCTGGAGAGCTCGTTTTTAAATAAATGCGTCCAAACCGTGATCTCTGAAGGCTCGCGGGGCAGAGGGGTGGAAGCTCCTGGGTCTCCCTCCAGCCCTCACCCCTTCTCCTGCCCACTCCAGGGGCGCAGGCACAAGAAGGAACAGCAGGTGGTGCCGACTGCACTTTTACCTCTGAGTTGTCACCAGGTCGGGCTCCATTCTCTGCTGGCCTCGCCGCCCCTCCCGCCCCGCCCCTCCCCACAAACCCTGCGGGACTCCAGGCATCGTCCCAGTGTCCTCGCCTGGGAGGCTGCTCCCCAGCCCACTCCACCCAAGCCCCGCAGGCCCCAGCCGCCTCCCTCACCCTCTGCCAGGCGAGATGCCTCGTCTGGGTTGGGGGCGAGACCAGCCTGTGGGGTCCCAGCAGGCCGCAGAGACACACGGCCCTGGCCAAGGACGCTGGCCGCCAGAGCCCGCAGCCGCCCTCGCCTCCATGATGGGGCTTCACCTGGAGGCCTCTGAGATGGGAGCCTGGTGTGTGCGCCTGCCCAGGCAGGGCAGCCTTGGCCCCAGGCCACAAGTGACCCCACACCCTGTCGGGCCTGCCCGCGCCTGCCTGTCCCTCACAGGGGCAGCGGGCCCTGGTCCAGTCGGCCACACCTGCCTGCCTATGGCCGCTGGCGCAGGCCCCCGGGCACCGTGGCCTGAGAAGGGGGGGCAGTGCGCTGCCCCCTTACAAGGGAGGGAACTCCAGCCAGAGGGCGAGGGATGCGCCGCCCAGAGCGTTGGAGGGGCCACCTGGGGCCGAGGTCCAGGGGTGAGAGTGAGCCCCCAGCAGGTGGGGTGCAGGGAGCAAAGGCCCTGGTCCAGGTGGGGGGCGGAGCGGCGGGCAGGGCCCTGGCGGGGCTGGCCGGGCTGGTATCCGCGGCCGCGGGGGCCGCTCTGGGGATCCCGCGGGGCCGCAGCCTCCCTCGGCCTGGATGGACGGAGGGGCCTCCGCAGCCGCTCGGCCCTCGGCATCGGCCGGCGCGGCCCACGGCGGCGGGGAGCAGGAAGGCCGCCCCGGCTCCGCGCTGGGGGCCTCTGGGTGGGCGGGAGGGGCGCGGGCGCGGCCTACCCTCCGCCGGTGCGCGCGGTAGGCGTCCTCCCAGGCGCGCCGCAGGCCCGCGGGGGCCCGGGGGGGCGTCGGCCGGGGGGCTCCCCGCATCTCCGGCGCTGGCCGCCGCGGCGTGTTTGCGGCTCCCGCGACGGTCGCCAAGGCGCGGGCGCCGCGGGCCCGGGGGCGGGACCTCCTGGGGGCGGGCGCAGCCCCGCGGCGGGCCTGGTGGGGGCTGCCCCGGGCGGGTCGCCTCAGCCCCGCCTCTTGCTCCTTCCAGACGGCTCTCCTCGCCCGCCCTGGCGCAGTTTAAATGATTTGGGCGGGGCCGCCCCGGCGGCGCGGGCGCGTGGTCGCAGCGCTGTGGCGCTGTCCGCGGCCTCTGCAGCGCGGGTTCGATCCCCGCCGGCCGCGGAGATGCCCACAGGGCGCGGCAGACCCCTCCTGTCTCCCCGCTGCTCCCCTCAGCAGTGGATCTCAGTGGATCTGCCTGTTCTGCTCCCTGCTCTGTCTCTGGGGAGTCCTCCCACCCCCGCACCTCTGGCCTGCACCCCAGTTCTTGTGTGCATAAATAAATAAATCTTTTTAAAAAAACTTTTTTTTTCCTCCTGTATTGTTCTGAAGATTGAAAGGGAGATCCTGACACTGGTTTGATTCAGGGTTTGTTTTTTTGTTTTTAAAGATTTATTTTTTATTTATTTATACAAGCACTGGGTACAGTCACAAGCGCGGGAGGGTGAGAGAATTCACCAGAGCGGGGAGCAGAGCAGGCAGAAGGACCGAAGGACACTGCTGAGGGGAGCAGCGGGCGGCAGGAGGGGTCTGCGCACCATGTGGGACCCTCCTCCGGTGGCCAGGGAGCAGCCAGGGATCGAACCTGCACTGCAGAGGCTGCAGGCAGCTTCGGAACCCAGCGCTCAACCACTGCGCCACCGGGGAGGCCCTTAAAAAAAACTTTTTTTCGGGCCTCCCTGGTGGTGCAAGGGGTTAAGCACCGCATTATGAAACTATCTGCAGCCTCTGCAGCATGGGTTCAATCCCTGGCCTGCCAGGGAGCATCCCACATGGCGCAGCAGACCTCTCCTGCCTCGCCCGCTGCTCCCCTCAGCAGTGTCTTTCGGTCAGTCTGCCTGTTCTGTTCCCCGCTCTGTCTCCGGTGGATCCGCTCACCCACCGCATCTCTGGCCTGTGCCCCAGCTCTTGTATCCATAAATAAACCTTTAAAAAAACAAAAAAATCTTTTTTTCAACACTTGCCCCCGCCTCCACATCTGCCCCCCAGCCCCTCTGCCCAGCCCTGGGGCATACCCGCAGCAGCTTGGGGCCCAGCCTCCTGCTGTGTTATGAGGTCACCTACAGCTCAGCAAGGCCCTGGGGCTCATGAGGTCAGTGGAGCTGGCACCTCCCCAGCTGTCTGAGCACAGGTACAGGTGGGAAGGATGTGGACTTCATCATGCAAGTGTGGCCGATGCAGAGAAGCCCCCAGCCACTTCTGCACCCATCCAAGCAGGAAGCCCCAGCAGCACCTCCTCAGTGCGCAGACACTCTCCGTCACCCTGGGCAGGCAGTGCTGGGGCTGGCATTTTTGCTCATGCGGCCTGAGTTGTCTGCTGGGTGGGCCCGGGCAGTCCTCCTGGGGCCTGACGCCCGCATATGCAGCCAGCAGGCCCTTAGCACCCCTGACCTGCCCCAGAGAATTCTGGGCAGGAGGCAGGGTGTGTGGGCTTTGGGGTGCTGCCCCCTTCCTCGCTGGCATATGGGTGCAGACTGGCATCTCCAGCCTGGTTTTCCAGAGAAGCCTGAGTGCAGTGACCCAGGGCCAGCCAGCGTGCCAGGAACTCCCCACTCCAGGGCAGGCCCAGCGCAACGTAGGAAGGGCCAGAGCGGGGCTTGTCCTGCTGCGCCCCAGGCTCCACTGCCTCTGCTGGAGGGCTCTGCCAGAGGGCAGCCCCTGTCTGGGGTGGTGCAGGTGGCGGGCCAGTCCCTGGGCTGAGCAAGGCCTGCCCTCGGGAGGCGCGAGCCCACTATGATGGTCTGGCTGTGGTCAGACTGGGGTGGCTGCGGCCATCAGAGCCCGGAAATCTGGGCCTCCCGGGCCCCCACCAGTGGGCTGGGCCTGTGCTGCGGGGGCTCCAAGAGCTGGGGAGCTGCCCGCTCTCGACCCGCTGTTCCTCACTGCATTTGAATGCAATGCAACTGGGAAATAAATAAACCCCTTTCTTCATCACAAAAACAAGGAAGCAGTTCATGAGTATTTTTGGCAACATATCCTTCCCTCCAAGGAGAGAAAATGCAATTGAAAAACAAGTTATAGCCTCTCCTCCAACTCAGAAGGAAAACGAAACTGGAGGAGAGTGATGCTTGGGGCCAGGCTGGCCTTGGGCAGCCGGCAGCTCCTGGGGGACGGGCCAGGCTGGCCTCCTGGCAGGCCCACAGCCCGAGGCGTCCCTGGGCCACAGCAGCTGTGGGCTGGGCCTGTCCCTGGTCTCCTGCTCTCACCACCCGGGCCCCCAGAACCCCCATTGCTCCAGCACAGGCTTCCCCTGGGGGCCCAGGGGAGGCTCTCCTGTCTGCTGGGCAGCTCCTGGCCAGGAGGTCAGGTGAGGTGGCCGAGGCGGCCTCCCTCAGCACAGCAGACATTTGGGCAGACGATCTGGGGCTGGGTGTGGTGTGGTGTGCACAAAAAAGTGCAGCGGGGTTTGGAGGCTGATGGTGTGAACTGCCGTCTACAGGGATCCTGTTTCCAGAGCTCCTTGGGCAGTGTCTCTGCAGCCGCCCAGGCGCACGTGGCACCAGCATTTGCGAGCAGCGGTCTCCCCTCTCCTGACCTGGACTCCTCCTCCCTGCAGCCGCCGTTGCTCTAGGCTGAGACCTCGAGCGAGCACCGTGCTACCAGGAGGGCACGGCCCTGGCCCTTGCCCCACCCGTGGAGGAGGCCCCGCCTTCCGGCTCCACCGCCGTGTCCGCCTGCGCCCTGCGCTGTGGCCTGGGCCCTGTCCCGTCTGGCCACAGGGCTTGTCACTGAAGAGTGACGCAGCATTTCAGATGCTCTTTCTGTGTCTGCTGGTATCAGCATATGATGTTTATCTTTTCTAATAAAGTTTATTAACATCCTCTGTTTTTCTTTGTTAGTCTAACTAAACGTGTATTGATTTTGTTTATCTTCTCACAAAAATAACTCTTAGTTTCATTGATCCTTTGTATGGTCTTTTTTAGACTTATTTCGTTTATTTTTGCTTTTGCTTACATTATTTTCTTCCTTCTACTACTCTGGATCTTGTTCAGCTTTTCCAAGCTGCATTAAGTGCATTCGGTGCGGAGCTGAACTGTCCATTTGGGGTTCTTCCTGCTGCTTACCAGCCCATGTGGCGGCCACCACCATCTGACCCCCCCTGCGCTCGCCCACAGACTCCAGCCGCAGCTGCCCAGGTGATGAGGTTTTAGCGCCTGTTTCTCCCAGGACAAGAAGGAGTCTCGATGTCAGGAACGCTGAGGAGCGAGTCTTGTCCATGGCCTGGAGCAGGTTGGGGCTACTCCACTTCCTGCAGGGAGTTACGGCTGCAAGTAAGGTCTGGCACCTACTGGCCACTGCTCTGCCTCACAGGTGGGCCCGTGAGTGGGGCAGTTCTGGAGCCCAGGCTGGACGCCGCGGCTCCGGCCCTCCTGCAGCAGCAGGCCCCACGTAGGCCCCACAGGGCTCTTCCTCAAAGGCCTGGGCGGGCAGCTGCGCCTCTGCCCTGGAGTCTGAGCCTCCTTGTTCAGCTTGGGTGGGGTGTAGGTTTGGGCGCAGGGGGTGCCAGGCTCTGGCCAGATTGTTTGCCTGCATGGCACAGCCCACACCCCGGGTGCACGGTTCCAGCCGCCTGCCTGCTGAGAACAGACACGGCCCTCAGCGGGCGGGCAACTCGTGTGGGCAGAATGCAACGTCCTCAGAGCAGACAGGCCAGGCAGACCGGTGTCTGGAATGGCAGCGAGAGGGGGGTCTGCAGGAGAGATAAGAGGCGTGGACAGCAGCCGAGAGCCACATGTCTGAGCTTCAGAGAAAAAAGGAGGGTGAGTAATGTCGAGAGAAAGCAGCGGCGACTCCCCGGGCAGAGGGAAGCTGTGACTCATGAGCCAGGCCAGGCTGGCGGAAGAGGGGTGTCCTGGGCAGGAGGGAGCCAGGGTGTTTGCCCACCCCAGGGAGTGAAGGGGTCTCAGCAAGGAGCTGGTCCTGAGCAAGCCGGAGCCCCCGGACTCCCACGGGAACGGCAGTGGTAGGGAAGGCATCCCCTGCCCTCTCCTCCCGCAGATGAAAGTAACCAAAGCCGACGGGGAGGACACAGCCCCTGAGGAAGCCAGTGGGGAGGAGGCCGGCCGCTGAGCACCACGTGCGGGGGGTTTAGCGTCGGAGGCTGCCAGGGGCAGACCCCCACACATCCACGCCCCAGCCAGGCCAGCCCCGGGCCTGCCCTGCCCTCCCCGTAGCCACCGGGGCTGCTACAGCAGCAAGTGACCCAAAGCCAGTGCCATCAGCTCAGAAACAAGAAGGCTTTGCCGGAAGAGACGGGCGGGCAGCCAGGCCACGTGGCAGGGCCCTCGCAGCCGCTCAGGCTCACCAAGAGCGGCAAGTTGGTTTGACGGCACAGACCTGAGAGAGTGTGAATTTTGGGGTCTGCTGTTCTTGCTGTAGGGAACCCTATGGCCATGGCTGGACAAGCCCCACTGTCCTGGGATGAGCCAGCAGAGGCCGGGGCATGGCTGACCACCCCGCCCCGTCCATGTCCCCCGCAAGCTGCTGGGGGAGTCGCCGGCCCCAGAACCAGGGGCGCGTCCTCGTACACCCCGAGTCAAGTTGCTTGTTACAGGGTCTATGGAGAGACCCTGTTAAAGTGCTAATGGTTAAAACCAAAACTGTCTAGTGCATACACCCCGGAGGCAGGATCCACTCTCTAAGGATGTTAGACACGAAGATAGTTTATAAGCTTCAGAGCAATGAGTCAAGATTCTAAGTGCCCGACCTCACCCCGGGGCCTGCACAGGTGATGCTCTCAAAAGGCTCAGTGTCCATGTGACTGGGCCCCTCTCGAATGCCTAGTCAGAAAAGACCCCTTGTCAGGGTTGGGTCAGTGCCCGCCCTGCTAGTCCATGCCCCTGGTGCGGTGCCTCCTTGAGGTCAGTCACCTGCAGGGCCAGCCGAGGGCTGCTCTGGTCTGAGACTCGGAAGGGTTCTGACACCCCTGGCCGCTGGCCCTGGGCAGCTCACTGGGGCCGCAGAGACGCCCTGCGCCTGCTGGCAGGGGTTGGCGTCTTGGCTTGGCTGGCTTTTTGGGGAGGAGGCAGCTGCCAGGGGTCGGGGACTATCTGAGGAGGGCCTCGGTCCCCTAGGTCTGGCGCAGGGTGCATCCATGACCCCGGGGCCCTGTGGATGGACAGAAGCCTCCTGCAGCTTGGGTGCCAGGCCCACCCCCTCCACCAGGCCGCACGACCAGTGCAGTGCCGGGACGGCCTGGGCTTCCATGGCTCCCGTGCCCTCCCCCTGTGGAGCTGGGCAGTAGGCTCCGAGTGGGGAGCCCTCGGGGGCGGGGCACAGCACCTCTGGCAGGGGGCTCCCTGCTGGGAACTCCGCTGGAGAAGCAGCCCTGCTGGCCACACAGTCTCAACCACCCCCGCCCGGTCTGACCCGGGCGCCCGTGGGCCTCTGTCTGCACGGGCCTCTGTCTCCGCCCGCCTCACCACCATAGTGAGCCCGTGGCCCCGGGCCGCCCTCCCTCCCACTGCTACGCGGCCTTGCAGAGCCCAGAGCCGGCCAGTATGGTGGAGGCCGGGCCTCAAGCTGGGGCACGTGCAGGGCTGGGCCTGTGAGGCGGGAACGTGGCCTGGAGCTTAAAGTCCAGGCATGGAAGCCCTTGACCATAGGAGTACGCGAGAGCCCCGCTGGGCTGGCCTCTGGGCCGGCTTCTATGCTGTGTCCCAGAGGCCGGCCCAGCGGGGCACGCAGGACCAGGCCCTCAGGCAGAGCTGCCAGCTGCTGCACCCCAGTGCGCCTCGGAACCAGCAGCCGTGGGGCAGGTTCCTGCTGGTCTCCGGAGGGCCTGGAGGCCTGCGGCAGCTCCTCTCAGGCCCAGTGAGGAAACAGGCGCTTCCTGGCGGCCTCTCGCTTCCCTTTTCCTCCCTGCGAGCGGCAGAGGGCAGCTGGGGGCCGGCCTGGGCGGCTGGGGACGCTCCCTTGAGTCTGACAAGTTTCCTTTTCGTCTCTTTCTCAACTGCTCGTCTGGTAGACCTGAAGGCTGGGGGGGCTGGGCGCCCGCTGCGGAGATGCCAGGCTGCAGGAAGCGCCCAGGGCTGGAGTGTCAATCCCCTGGCAGGAAGCCTGGCCAAGGGCAGAGGAAGTGGCCACGGGCGGGGTGGGAAGCCGGGCTCAGGGAGTCCCTTCAGGGACCGCAGCAGAAACGGCCAGTCCTTGGCAGCCAGTGGGGACCACACCCAGGCATCCCCGCGCCTCGTCCTTCCTGTCCGCAGAGGGCCCAGCACGGTTTTAGGAGCCCGTGTGAGGCAAGCAGAACGCACTCATGCGCCTGACGTGGCTCCCAGTGGTGGAAACGCCCACGCAGCTGCTGCTTCCTCCGGGTCTCGGCGGCGTAGCAGGGCCTGCGCTCTGCACTGGGTGGGGCTGGCGGCCGCTGGGGCGCCTGTGGGCAGGTGGAGGGTCAGCCTCGCTGCCCACGAACGGGGGCACATTGTGCTGGCGGGGCGGGGGTTAAAGGCAGTGCTCTCAAGCCATCGCCAGCCTCCGTGGCACGGGTTCTATCCCTGCCCGGCCAGGAGCAGCCCACAGGGTGCAGCAGACCTCTCCTGTCTCCCCGCTGCTCCCTCAGCAGCGTGTTTCAGTACATCTGCCTGTTCTGCTCCCCACTCTGTCTCTGATGAATCCTCTCACCCCCTGCACCTCTGGTTTACCCCCCAGTTCTTGTGTGCATAAATAAATACATCTTTGAAAAAAAAACAAAAACAAAAACCAAAGTGTGGCTGCATACAGGCATGTGTTTGTCACATTTGGGGGAGGCAGCGGGGGGCCCCACTGTAACAGGCCCATGGCAGGTGTCCCTGGGGCACAGGCGCAGAGCAGAGCCAGGCAGAGACCATGGGCAGCAGAGGCCCGGCTCATCCCGGCAGTGTCTGTGGCCCACGGGCCTGGGCAGGGTGCATGAGACCCGTAGTGCCCGTTCCCTGTCCCGGAGGACGGGCACGGCCCAGGGCGAGCACCCGCCAGCCCCGTGTGTGTGTCCGTGTATGTGCACATGCGTGTGCGCGTGCGGCCAGAGGTGTGCCACGTTGGTCCACAGGCCCTGCCCCCTGCGTACAGGCACATCCCCCAGGGACTAGCCTCCCCCTGAGAGGAGGCGGGGGGGGGTGGGGGCTGCAGCCCTCGCTGGGCCCCACTGCGGCTCTCCCTGGGGGCGAGGGAGGCCCCGGGGATGCTGAGTAAGCCTCACCCCACTCACAGATGGGGGCTCCTGGGGGATGGGGGGACCAGGCATGAAGCCAGGGAGGTGCCCGTGGTCAGGTAGCCTGGCACACACTCTGGCATGTGGCCCATGGATGGCCTGCCTAAGGCTGCAGCCTCCACGGCCCACACCAGAGGGATGGCAGAGGTGAGACCGAGGGGCCAGCGGTGGACAGACGAGGACACGCCACCTCCGAAGCTCCTGGACAGTGGCACTTATCCCGCCCGGGGTCTGGGCCCAGCCTCGGCCTGTGTGTGGTCCGGCCAGGGGCCTTTGCTGGGGGTGGCTCGTTGTGTCCCTGAGAGGACCAGGGGGCACCTGGGGGTCTGGGCAGCCCGTCCCAGCTGGATGCGGAGGGTCGGCCTTCTCCCTGCACTGGCCTGGAGTGACCTGACAGGGTCTGGGGACACACATTCCTCCTGCTGCAGAGTCCGTTCAGTGCCCATCTCAGGGACGTCTTCAGGAAGCACCTGGCTGACCCAGGTGGAAATGACCGTCATGCGAGCAGGTCAGACGGGCGCAGGGCCACCAGCAGGCCCGCTGGGCATTCGGGCCCTCCCTTCACTCTGTCGCAGGGGTGAGGTGTGAGCCCAGGGCTTGCCCTCAGGGTCCTGCCTCACGGCTTGACATGGAATTGCTTCTCCCTCGTGCGCCAATGGCCGCGGGCAGCTGCCCCACGTGGCACAGGACTCGCAGTTGCTGCGGCAGGAGGAAGCTTTCTCAGCGTCCAGCGGGAGCCCTTGACACCCAGGCACCCTGCTCCCGGCTGAGCCAGCCCAGGAGAGCACCCGAGCCCTGGGGGAGCCCAGGCTGCATCTTGGGGGTGCAGGCGGCCGCCCTTGCCCCAGAGCTCCATCTCTTTCCCAGAAGGATGGACACGGGTCTTAGCCTCGGAGAGGGGCTCAGAGCAGGCTGCGCCTGCCCTCCATGGCGCCCAACAACTAATACCCCAGAGACTGTTGGGGTGTTGTGGTTTGGGATCGGCAAGAACTGTGGCTGGTCATCGGGCAAGCTGTCTCCTCTCTGTCCCACGCACAGTTCCTGGCTCCCAGCTGCGACAAAGGGGCATCTCGCCCTGGGAATGGGGAGCTGTGGGGGACACACGGAAGGTGGGGCTGTCCTTAGTCCCGCGGGCAAGGCTGGACCGGGCCTGGGGGCTGGGACGGCGCTTCCCTGGCCGCCGCGCCCTCTTCTCCGGCTCTGGCTGCGGAGGAGAAGCCGCCCTGGGAGCACTCCTCTTTAGTCCGGTTCTTCTCGTTGCTTCGCCCTCAGCACCAGCCTCCTGACTCCCCAGTCCCGGCCATTTCTGCTTCTCCCACCCTCTCCAGCACGGCTGCCCGCAGAGCCTCCTCGGCCGCCCCGCACCGCTGGCCTCCCCTGCGCGGCCCCAGGCTGGCCCGCGGCCTGCGTGGAGCGAGTCCCGAGCGGAGCCGGGCGCGGCGGGGGCCTGGGCTTGAGTCCGGGGAGCGCCCTGCGCAGGCCGGCTGTGCGGGGCGGCAGGAGTCGCGGGGACCCGGACAGGCCCGTCCGGGTCAGGAGGGCCCTGCCGGTGCTGGGGGCCGCGAGGGCCCCGAGCTGGGCCTTCCCCGTGCCGTCCCTCCAGGCGGTTTCTCCGGAGTTTCCTGCCGCTGGTCCCCGGGTTGCGGGGGCCGGGAATTGTGCCCGTTTCCCCGTCACGCTGAGCCACGGGCTGAGCCGCTCTCGAGCTCGCGACCAGGCAGCGGCCGTCGCCGCAGCGCGAGGAAGAGGGTCCGCGGCCCGGGGGCCAGGGACGGCGGGCGGCTCGGGGCACCCGCGCACCCCTATCCCGCTGCCGGGGCCCGGCTGCTCCCCGCGCCCCTCACCCGGTCCCGACACCCCGCACCCGAGACCCCCGGCCGCGCTCCCCTCCAGCTCCCGCCCCGCCCCGCCCCGCCCCGCAGGCCTCGTCGCTCTCCCCTCCCCGACCCCTCCCCGGCCCCGCCCCCGGCCCCCTGCTCCCCCCGCCCCCCGCCCGAGCCCGGCCCCGCCCCATTGGGCCTCGGCCAGTGGGGAACGAGGGTGGGCAGTGGGCGGGGCCGCCTCGAGCCCGCCCTCCAGCCCTCGACCCATCGGCAGTCGCGCCGCGCTGTGGGCGGAGCCTCCCGCCCCGCCCCTCTGCGGGCCGCGGCCAATGGGGCGCCGGCCCGGCCCGGGGGCGGGGCGTCCCCGCCCCGCCGGCGCCCGGGGCCAATGGGCGGGCGCGTGGGCGGGCCGGGCCGGGCGCCCCGACCGCGGAGCCGCGGCTGCCGGGCTGCGGGGTCGGCCGGCGGGCCCAGCATGGCGGTGGAGGAGGAGGGGCTGCGCGTCTTCCAGAGCGTGCGGGTCAAGATCGGTGAGCGCCGCGCCGGCCCCGCCTGGGGGTCGCGCCGCGGCGCCTCCGGGCGGCGCGATCCCGGGCGCGGCGGGCTCGCCGCCCCCCGGGACCCTCCGGGCGCACCGGCGGCGGCCCCGGAGCCCCGCTCGGCCCCGCCCTGGGCCGCCGGGCCGGGCCGGGCCCGGGCGCGGCGCGGGGCGGCGGGGGCGCGGCGCGGGGAGGGCGCGGGGCGCGCGGGCCCCGGAGCCCCCGTTCCGGAGCCGCGGCCCGGCCTCGGGGTCCGCGCCCGCGCCCGCGCCCGCAGCTGCCTCTCCCGGCCCCGGACGCCCCCGGCCCCGGGCGGGCCGAGCGCGCCCCCCGCGCGCGGCTGTGCCTGTGCCTGTGCCGGGCGCCTGGGCGCGCGCGCGTCTTTGTGCACAGCCGCGCGCCGAGGGGCGGCGGGGGCGCCTCGCGCGTGTCTGCCCGGCGCTGCCGCGGGCCGGCCCCGCTGGGACGCGCCGCCCGGCCTGGCCCCCGGCTGCCCCCGGGCCCCCCCGCGCCGCCCCGCCGCCCCGCCGCCGCCGCGGGCCTCGGGCCGGGGAGGGAAGCGAGACGCGGAGGCAGAAGGGGCCGTGCGCGCCTCCCGGCCGTCGGGGCCGCCCTTCTCCCGCTGCGCCCGCACGCGGGGACCCACCTGCGGGTTTCGTCCTGGAAGGAGCTGGGGTCTGCGGCGCTGCTGCAGGTGTGGCCGCGGGGACAGCTCTCGTCGGGAGGCCTCTGGGGCCCCGGGCGGACCTGCCCTCGGGCCTCTCCCCGCCGCCCGGGGCGCACACCCCGGTCCCGGGAGCCGGCGCTGGCCCGCGGGGCGCGTGTCAGTTGTTGGTGACACCCGACGCCGAGGAATCCCGGCCGGCGGGCGCGCTTTCCTGTCTGCTTTATTTTGGTTCGTGGCTCGCGGCTGAGGAGCTGGCGGGGCCTGGCGGAAGCGAGTGCACGGGCCTGGCGCGCCCAGCGGGGAGGCTGCTGGAGAGGCGCCTCTTGTTTGCGCGCTTGAATCTGCTGCGGAGGACCCCAGGGCCTGCACCGCTCCTGGCCGGCCGCAGGGGTGCCTCTGCCGGGGGCTCCCCCTCCGTGAGTCCCGCGAGCTCTGTGGGGTCGGGCTGGGGGCTTCTGCGGGACAGCGCTGTGGCCGAGTGCGTGGGTGTGGCCCTGGTGGAGCTTCCTGTGCTGGCAGGAGGGGCTGGGCGCGGAGGGCTGGAGGAGGCCTGTCAGGCAGAGGACGAGGCGGGGAGCCTGGGCTCGGCCGTGTGGCCGGGCAGGCCACGCTCCTCCCTGCTCTGCGCTGGTCGGGCCGACACACTGCAGCCCCCTCCTGCAGACGGCCATTCCTTGGACCTCCCGAACCCCCACATGGGGTCCACACAGTGGGGCCTTCACGGCTCCTGTGCGGGCCCTGAGCAGGAGTCTGCACCGGCAGCTGGGGACCGTGGGTGGGTGGGCTGGTGTGGGATGTCTCCCGCCGCACTGCGGCTGGTGAGCAATGCAGGGCCGGGGAGCCTGAGTGTGGGGCGCTTGAGGGTGCCCCCCCATGGGCTTGGGCGCCGAGCCCGTGGCTCCTTAGTCTTCTGTTGGGGCTACCTGCTTGCATGAGCCTGAATCTTGGGGGAGCCAAAGGGCGGCGAGGCTTGAGCTGAGGACATGGGGTGGCCACATGCAGGTCCCCCCACGCCTCTGTGGCCTGCGTGGCCGAGCTGTCCTCCGCACGCTGCGCTGGGGCCCAGGCAGGCCTGGGGGAGGCTGTTCTCCCAAAGCGGACTGAGGGGTGTGATGGGGTGAAGGGGCTTGTGGCCGGGCCTGGGCCTCCTGCTCTTCACCAGTGTTGGGACACGGGGTGCTCTTGGTTTCGGGCGGAAACGAGCAGAGCCCCTTTCTCTCCCCGCTTCCTTCTCCCACCTTCGCGCTGAGACGGGCCTCAGGGCCTCAAGAACGTGACGCCGCCGCCGAGCTCTGTTACGGAGGCCCCTCTGAGCCCTTGTCTCAGAGACCAGTGACTCCCCATTAAATCTCGGAGGGCCGCTTGGGGAGTCTTCCTGCGCCCCGTCTGGGTCTTATCTGTCTCTGGCAGGACCCCGTCCTGACAGGCCGGGTGGCGTGGTGCGGCGTGGTGCTGAGTCTGCGTGAGTCAGGGCTCAGCCTGGGGCAGGCGGGCCACTTCCTCCGGGCAGCGATCCCTCAGCATCACTCGCAGCCCCTCCTCGCGCTCCCTCCCTGCATCCCCTCCCGATGGCCACTGGGTTTCTGCTCTGGGTGCGCTCACCAGGGCCAGTAGCTGGAGCTGCCCTCCCAGTTGAGAACAGCCAGTGGCCGGCCCTGCCCGGCGGGTGAGGGTCGCCTCTGCACGGTGTGGCCCGGGGCTGCTGTTGCGGGCGCGGGGGGCCTGGCCCTTCTCGTGAGCCCCCGTCTCAGAGCACGTGCACTAGCCTTGCCGTCCACCTGCGGGGCACAGGACCTGGGGCTGACCGGCGCCCTGTCTGGCAGGCCCTGGACCAGCACCATCCCTGTGGGTCTGCAGGCCAGAGCAGGCCCGAGGCGGGAGCTCAGGGCTCGCGGGGTCTGCTCTGCTGCAGGAACTTGCTGCTCTTTTACCTGACTCCTCCCCGAGGCGGCACACCCCTCTCTGCGGGTGGGGGTTAAGGGGCAGCTTGGGGCCGTGGCAGCCCATGGCCAGTGCTTGGGGTGCACCCAGAGGGGCCTTGTAGTGGTGTGGGCTTGGGATCCCTGCTGCTATAATTACCCCACACTCTATTAACCGGGCTGAGCTGGTTGCTTGTGGTATTTTTAGCCCCGGGAACTACCCTGCGGCCAGGCCGGCAGGGAAACAGCAGCTCTGAGCTGGGTCCTGCCCAGTCTCTGCACCTGGCGTCTCCCTGGTGCTGGAGCTGAGGAGAGACCTGACGCCACCCACCTCCTCCAAGGCTTTCCCCGGGAAATGGCGGATGTGACCTTAGGGAATGGCCCCCGTGGGATGTGCACTGACCCCACCTGGGTGATCTGGAAGGCAAGCAGTGGCCAGGCGGGCGGTCAGGACACAGACGGCCACCACCACAGAGTGTGGCTCCTGCAGCCTGGACAGCCTGCCTATCGGGACGTGGCGCCAGTGGAGATGGTTTGGTCCCGTCCCTGAGCTGGTGAGGCCCAGCCTGAGGGATGGGGCTGGCGAGGCCCAGGTGGGGTGTTTGGAGGGGTCACCACCCCAGAGGGTGGCGTCTGAGCCATGGGGTTTGCAGGCGAAGGTTGTGTCCCTCCCAGCTGCAGAGTGGAGGCGCCGAGGGCGCACTGTGGAGGGCCTTGGAGGGATGGCCGTTGGAGGCTGTGGAGGGAATGGTCCTGGAGGGGTCGGGGGGCTCCTGGGAGTGCCAGGGCAGCAGAGGAGAGGCTGTGAGTAGCCACATCAGGAGTCCCCAGGGGAGTCTGGCTCAGTCTCCACTGACCCTCCCCGCAGGTGCTGAGAGGGGCCCTGCCCAGTGTCCATGCTGTCAGTGCGGAGAGGGAATCCTTCTGGGCACTTAATGCACTTTGGTGGGCAAAGGCACTTGGGGGCTCCAACCCCGCAGGGCCTTCCTTGGCCAGCCGAGGGTCGAGAGAAGCCCCGCAGGCTCCAGCAGCGGCCGCATGTGCCTGCGCTGGAATTGAGGGGTGGCACGATCCCAGTCAGCACCTGGGCACCGAGCGCCCGGGGATCCAGGCTTCCTGCCCACAGGCTGCCCCAGCACTGGGTGGGTCCAGCCCACTTCAGACACAGTCACCGAGCCAGAGGCGCGGGCGTTTGGTCAGTGCTGCAGCCCGCCTACCTGTGCTGCCGCCCACCTGACAGCCCCCCACCTGTGAATCCCACCCACCTGTGGATCCCACCCACCTGACAGGCCCCCATCTGTGCAGCCCCCCACCTGTGGATCCCACCCACCGGACAGCCCCCCGTTCAGCCCCCCACCTGTGGATCCCACCCACCTGACAGCCCCCAACCTGACAGCCCCCACACCTGCACAGGGGCTCACACAGCCATACGGGGCAACGTGCATGGTAGAGGCTGTGCTGAGGGCCTCAGTGAATCCCCCCTTTTCGAGAAACGAGGCCTGCCTCCGGCCGAGGCTGCCTGCTTTTCCTCCCCACCGCGTTTCTGTTCCTCCTGCCGCCCAACATCCCCAGAACATAGAGAGCCATTCCCCTCTGCCCCAGTGCTGGGGGTGGAGTCCCAGAGGTCAGCGAGTCGGGCACCCTTACACTTGGGGGCCTTGGGCTCTGCCGGCCCCACGGAGCCGCCCTCCCGGAGGCTGCCAGCCCAACCCACCCTGCGCCTTCTGCTCTCAGCCTCCAGTGCCTGCTGATGCCACAGCAGCTCCAGGCCCAGAAACAGACACAGGCCTAGACCCGCGCTCAGTCCCAGAACCAGGCCTGGAACCAGGACCAGTCCCTACCCACAACCAGGCCCGGAGCCAGGGCCAGTCCCAACCCAGAACCAGGCCCAGACCCAGGCTGAGTCCCAACCCAGAACCAGGCCCAACGCAGGCCTTCCTGAGAGCCATTTGCCCGTTAGCTGGGCTCTGGGCTGACAGGACAATTTAATTAGGTTCAGGCCTCTGTGATTCGTTTGGGATTGTGACAGAGGTGGGGGAGCTGGTCCTTAGGGTGTCCTCTGTGCAGGGGGAGGGGTCTCCCTTGTGTGTCCCCCGCCTCGGGGCTTTCCGAGGCGGATCTGACGGCGACACAGAGGGTGTGCGTGTGCGGACCCCAGGGGGCGGGCTGTGCTGGCCTGGAGCGGAGGCTGGGCCGGGAGGCGGCCACTCACTCCTTTCCCACGGCCTGGAGGCCACGGGGAGGCCACAGGGAGGCCGGGGAATTCCACAATTGGCCAGGCCAGCCCTGGGACGGCTGCAGCTGCTCGTGACTTGGGTCTGACTGTACCTTCCGGACCTTGCAGGGGCCACGTCCCAGGATGGCCACGTGCTGACTGTCCAGGAGCCGGCTGGCTGCACCCCGCGGGGCAGGGGCTTCCTTTCGGGGGCTGTCCCGCAGCTATCCATGGCCCCTGGCCTGGGTGACCCAGCTGGCACATGGGCACACACTCAGATGCGCGCGCACGCCCAGAGGGCGGTGAGCCGCGCTGTGGGCCGGGCCCCTTGAGTGGACGGCCGGAGCCACCTTCCCGCAGCGGGGCAGCGCGTCGACGCGGTTGTCCTCCCGCACGCTCAGTCTTTCTCCTCCACTGCTGGGCTTTCCCTCGCTCCCCGGAGCCGACCGCTTTCTCAGTCATCTTTGTTCTTAACGTTGTGACGTGGAGCAGATGCCGCGGCCTCCTGCAGCCTTCTGGGTCTCCCGCCTGGGCTGGCGGCGGCCGGGTGCTGCCGCTGGGAGGGTCGGAGGCCTGGGCGCCTGGCGGGGCTGCCCCTGCAGGGGCCGCTGCTGCCGGAAAGCCCCCGGGAGACTGTGGGTCCCGGCCAAGTCGCTTCCAGAGGGCCGCAGGGGGCAGCCTCTGGGGGAGATGAACGGCCGCCACGCCAGGCTTTAGGGGTGCCGCGGGGCGCTGCCTGCCTGCCTTCCCGCCTGCCCTGGGGGCCGCCGACTCCGCCGGGACTGGCCGACCTGCTGGCAGCCGCGGCCACGCCCCTGGACCCCAGCTGGCCCGGTCCATCTGGAGGGCGCGTTCCTTTCTGTGCTCATCACTTCCTGCTGCGCGGCTGCGGGTCAGATGCTTGGAGAGTTTCTCAGCCTTTGGGCCGGGAATGTGGTTCTGCCCGGCCCGGCCTGGAGGCGTCACCTGGGGGCGCCTCCTCAGTTCAGTTCTGGCCCCAAGGGGGGTGCGCTTGGCAGGGCCGCGGGGCTGGAGGCCGCGCCACGGGGCACCCGGCTGGGGGAGGGCTTGGGGCGGGGCGGGGCGGGGCCGGGCCGGGGAAGGGGCGCTCCTCCCCAGTTGGGCCCTTTTCTTGGGCTGCACGTGGTCGCGACTCCCTTCTTGCCTCCCGCCCGCCCCGTCCGCCCTGTCGGCCTCGCCGGTGGGCGCTGGTGCCCGAGGGGCTGGCGTCCGTATGGCCGGCAGGACGCGTCCAGCCGGGCTTCAGATTTGGGACGTTTCTGTGCTGGGAGGCCTGGCAGGGCGGATGAAAGTGTGAGGGGCGGTGGTCAGGGCTGGGGCGGCTGGCCGAGATGGTGGTGGCCGGTGGGACGGCCTCCTCATCACGCTGCTGTCCAGGAGAGGTGGCTCTGCTGCCCCAAGAGCTGCGGGGGGACTGGAGTCCAGGCTGCACTGGCCAGCAGCCTGCTCCTCTGACCCCTGGCTTCCCTGCAGGTGGTGCCGCCGCCTGCGCACGCCCACACACGCCTGCACACGCCCACGCCCACCTGCCAACGCCGGCGCACACACCTGCACAACATCACACACCTGAAGCCATGCTCTGGCCAATCCCCCCAGCCCTGTGTGGGAGGGTCCACGCAGGAGCCCCTGGGTGCCATGGACACTCCAGCAGTTGGGGGGCCCCCGTCCTTTGCTTGCCATTCCCATGGGTCTGACCCGTGCTGTGCCCACGAGGCTCGTGGCCGTGGGGGGGTCTCAGGAGCCGCTGGGGCTGGCCACACCCTGACCACACCCTGGCTGTCCCCTCTAAGGCCCTCTCTGTGCTTTGGAATCAGGGACTCTGGGCACCCCCTCCTCCTGCGGCGTTTGCGGGAGAATTTCCCGTTACCTTGTTCTCTTTGGATCCTGCCTTGCATTTGCGCCCCTCCCTCCGCCCGCGGTGCCGGGTTGCCCTGCTGTCGGAGGGCACTAATTAGACCCTCGAGGCTTTGTCTGCTCTGCTATTACGGAGGCGGTGTTCAGCAGCTTGAGCGTTGGAGGCTATTTTGGAAGGGAAGGGTTGTCAGGCGCGGGCGGCGCAGGCGGGCAGCCCCTCTCTGGAGACGCCGGGGTCTTGGAGCCCTCATGGAGCCTCCAGTGCCAGCCCAGGCCGCAGCCCCAGGAGACCACGCAGCGCGGCCTGTCGGGTGCAGGTGGGACGCCCCGCCCTGTACCCTGATGGCTCGTGGTTTTCATGAGGCAGGAAATACGACTCTCCTTTCAGTGACTAAAGTGTGGTTTGCAGTGGAAACGCGGGCGTCGGCGGGGGCTGCGCCTCCTGGGGCCTCGCCTGGATCAGCCCTTTGATTCAGGTGTTTCTCCTTGGCCTCGGGTAGCCTGTGTCCACCCTGTGTGCCCCTTGTCCCCGGAGACCCCGCGCCCTGTCCCTGCACCCCACCCCTGGGGCCAGCAGGGGGCACCATACCCTGTACATATGACCTTTCACCTCTGTCAGAAGCCCCCGAAAGTCTGTGTTTTGACATTTAACAACTGAGGCAAGTCACTCAGTCTCACACACCTCTTCCCAGCGGGGCGTGTGCTGACACGGGCAGGCATGTACAGCTATGTGATGATGTGTGCAGGCGTGTGCTGGCCCATGCTGTCATGTGCTGGCCTGTGTTGGCGCGTGCTGGCCCGTGCTGGCCCAGGTGTGCTCCTCACGGGGCCCCCGGAGCGGAGCGGCTCGGGGCGGGCCAGTGCTGGGATGGCCCCCTCCAGGGAAGGCCCTGCCAACCCCTTCAGCTCAGCCTTTGACCTGAGGTCAGACTTGCCCTGGTGACACGGAGGGCACAGCTGAGAGTGGCCTGTAGACGGCGGGAGCCGGGTGTCCAGGCGGCTCCCGGCTTCCTCCTGCGGGCCAGTGGCTCCGCACCTCAGCCAGGACAGCTCCTGGTTGGCCCTCGGCACTCATGTCATTGTCGCCCCGACTTGGCTCTAACACTATGAAATTAAATTCAACATAGAGAAGGGCCTGGAGAGGAAGGGTAAACGGAACATTGCACAGACCACGGGTTGTCACTCAGCCTGAAGAGGAGCGTGCGGGGCTGTGGACTTCGCGTGGAGCACTCAGTGCCGCGGACAGGGCAGGTCCCGCCTGACTATGGAGTGTGGGGCGGGGTGGGGCTTGCTGAGCCAGAGGCTCAGTCTGGCAGTGAAAAGGTTGTGCAGGGGCCCCTGGGCAGGTGCGCACGGAGCAGAGGTGGGGCAGACGGCAGCCCTCATCCTAGGCCGCGGCACAGCTGGAGGCCACGGGGAAGGGCTGCAGGGCCAGACCAGCCGTTGCCTGGCTCCCCAGCGTCCCTTCGCACCCGCCTCTGAGGCCGCAGCACGTGCCTTTTTGTGTGCGTGGTGTCCCGTGGGTGTTTTGACACAAGAGCAAGAATATGGGCCTGCGCAGGGCTGGGGGCGCCGGGTGTCCGGCAGCGGCCCGCGCTAAGCCGGTGTGCGTCCACCTTGTTTTTCAGGTGAAGCCAAGAACCTCCCCACGTGCCCGGGGCCCAGCAAGATGCGGGGCTGCTACTGCACCGTGAACCTGGACCAGGAGGAGGTCTTCCGCACCCAGACCGTGGAGAAGTCCCTCTGGTAACCGCCGGTGCTGGGCGCGGGGGCCATCCACACCGGGACGGACAGTCAGGACCTGAGATGGCGCATGGCCGCTGACTGCTGTCCTCGAAGGTTTCCCGAGCGGCCTTTGAGGGGACGCAGGGTGTCTCGCCCGATGGGGCTGGGCTGCAGGTGGAGGGGTCGCTGTGACCCCCGTCTGCCCTCGCTTGCACGGTGGGGGCTGAGGACTTGCAAAACTCGCTGGTCGGCTGGGTGGGGGCGCCATTTGCATTTCCGAGTCTGGACCACGCCCGGCTGCAGCCAGTGGCAGGCTGTGGGCAGGAAGTGGTGGCCCCTTCAAGGTTGCCCGCGGCGCTGTAGGGGTGGGAGGGAGGCCCAGGCCGCCAGGGGGAGGAGGCATGGCCCCCCTCTGTGGAGTCGCGGGGGTGGGGTGGGGGGGACATGGGGGGTGGGGGTGGGGTGGGTGGGGTCACAGGTGGGGACGTGGTCCAAGTGGGGTCACAGGCGGGGCGTTTGTGGTCTGGGCAGGGGCCAAGGCGGGGCGTTTGTGGTTCTAGGTGTGGTGTCACAGGCAGGGCGTGGGCCAGGTGGGGCGGGCCCCCTTGGTGACACCAAAGCCGGAGCTTGTTTGTGCCCGGGGTGGCAGAGGGAGGGGCGGGTGGAGCCCGACTCCGCCATGGGGTTTTGACTCGGGTTATGCCGCGCCATGAAAAGAGCTATTTTGAGTTTGGGAACATTTTCAGCCGATGAATTACACCCTGCAGGGCGCTGCTTCTGGGTGGGGGCGGACGCCCCTGCCGACCTAATGAATTTCATTCTCAGAAAACTGTTAAGGTTTCTTGCCCCCACGAGACTGGAGGCCCTTCCGCCCGCCGAGCCCGCTGCTGCCACCCGGCGGCCAGGCCAGCGCCCGGCCCGGTCAGCCACTGGCTGGAGAGCGAGGCCCGTCGTGAGTGGAGTCGGGGGTGGAGCCGCCGCTGCGGGGACGGTTCCTGTGGAGGAGCGGGCGGCCTCCCCGGGGACCGGGCCAGGCGGCTGGTTTCAGACAAGCTGGAGAGAGACGTCTGATCGCAGCCCGTGAGATAAGCGAGTTTGGGGGAGTGAGGCTGGAGCTAGAGGCGCCGCGCCCCTGCCCCCCACAGCCAGGACCAGACACAGCCCCAGGACCCACAGAAGCCCCGGTCCTCGCCCCACACGGGGCTCTGGCCCTACAGGCGGCTCACAGCTCCTCGCAGACTCTCCTAGTAACGCCAGTTATTTTTTGTTGACTTTTTTCATTGGCTCAAAGGACGTTTACAGGCATTTACCTAATGCCAGATGGGGGGCCAGAGAGAGACCCACAGAGGACGGTCCCCGGGTGTCAAGGCTGTGGGCACCAGGCATCCAGGGAGCAGCCTGGCAGCAGGGCCCATGGTCTGTGCAGACTGAGGCCCCAGGCCCAGCACCCCCTAAGCGGCCGGCAGAGAGCCACCGCCCCTGCCCCCGACCTCCGCGGGGACCCCCACCCCCCAACCCCACCCCCCCTCTCCTCCAGCAGCCTCCAGGCCTCGTCCAGTCCCCACAACCCTGGAGGGGTTCCCTTCTGGGGGCGGGGCCGGCAGGGGGCTGCCTGTGACTCAGCAACGCCAGATGGATGTGGGGGATGCAGACCTCCTCCCCTTTCCGAGCTCCCTGGCCCCAGCCAGCGCAGGAAGCGCCTTGGAGCCCGCCCGCCTCGGCTCTGCCGCAGAGCGCTGAGGTGGCCATAGGAGAAGAGCCCCTCGCCCCCGTTTGTTCCCCAAGAAAGTGACTTGGGGCCAATTTACGTCACGCTGGGAAGATGCCTTCCCTGGTAGAGGCCACCGGGAAACGAGCCCTCAGAGTGGCTGGGCAGCCCCTGGCCCCTGCAGGCGGAGACGCACAGGCTGGCGAGGCCACCGCGTGCAGATGCCGGGTGTAACCAGGGCACCGCAGAGGCCCAGCCCCACAGAGCAGCGCCCACCCGGGGGGCACAGGGCGGCTCAGGTCCCTGAGGAGCTTCTCTTGCCCTGGTCCTGAGACTCAGCCGGCCCCCCAGTCATTTCCTAGGAGAGCTGGCACCACGCCTCAGGGGCGGACCCTGCCCTTCACATCGCAGTATTTAAGGCAAGCCAAGTGCTTTGGGCGGGCGGCGCTTTTTCTTTCTTTGGAACGAGGGGGCTGTGCAGGCATTAATCACGCATCTGACGCCATGGCCTGGAGCTGGGGACAAAGCTGGGTCTGTGCGGAGAGAACCCCCAGGTTAGGCCCGATAGTTAGGGGTGCTGGGCTGTGTGGCCCTTTGAGTCCACTACAAAGAAGCTATTGTCCTGCAGATGTGGAGGGTGGGGTCCCCCCCCACCGTGACCCCTACTTCCTCTGGAGAGACCTCCCAGCTCTGCTGCCCAGGGGGGGCGCAGATGCTCACGGGCCCGGTGGCCTGTTGCTCGGCAGGTGCTGGCCTAGGGGTCCTTGCCTGGCAGGACCTGGCTCTGGGGGGCTGAGGTGGCAGCGGCTGCCGCCCGAGCCTAGGCCCCGGCTGGTGGAGGGTGGGCCTCAGTGTCCCGTGACACCCTTAGGCCTGTGGGTTCGGGATTTCCGTTCTGAGCCACAAGAAGTTCTCAGTGGACTAGCATCCCGGACCTGAAAAGACGGACATTTAATAGAAAACGGGCCAGGGCGTGACGGCAGCCAGGGCGTGCCGGCCGCTCTCGGAAGCCGTCCAGGCAGGGCGAGTCCACGGGCACCGCAGGTTCCCCTGCAGGAGGGGTGGCTGGTGGGGCCGTCGGGGTGCCAGCTGCTCCTGGAGTGCGGACAGCGGCTGCCAGTGGGTGTGACCCATGGCTGAGGGGCTGCCCTGAGGGCATGCCTGCCCCAGGCCTCCCAGGCCCGCCATGCAGAGGAGGCCGCACAGACCCGCCCCGCTGTGCCTGCTCTGGCATGCGTTTTTATAGTGCAGGTTCTCAAAGGCAGCTGTACCGAGTCCACTCCTTTAGGGCTCGCCTGCTCAGAGGCTGCTGCCACACTCGACTCCAGACATTTCACCCCCACAAGCAGCTCACCCACTTTGTCCCCATACCTGCTCACCTTGCCCCCCTCTGGGCACCCCTCTCCTCTTGGTCCGGGTGCCCTGTCCTGGGCCCTGCCCCGGGTGACCCGGCTGCGCTGGTTGCCCTGGGCTTTGGGAAGATGGTGCCACGGAGGCTCCCCAGAGCCAGCTCTCAGGAGGGGTCAGGTCGTTGCTGGGCTGTGTGCAGGGGGTGGGCACGCCCGCTTCTCCGTTCATCGGTGACCGACTCTGAGGCTGGTTACGGTTTTGGCCGACGTGAATAATGCAGACTCGCGTGTGCAGGCCGCGCGTGGGCAGGGCTTTCCTCCCTGAGGGATGGCCTGGGCCGGCTCCCCGTCCAGGTGCCTGCGGCTTTCCAGGCCGCGCTCCACAGAGCCCGCCGCGCCAACCTGCTGGGTCTGGCTGGGGTTTCATGAGATCAGATCCTCGGTTTTCGCATGAAAGAAAAGCAGCATCTTGTTTTCAGCTAGACTGAGAGAGGCGCTTTCCCGCCAGTGTGGCTTCCTTAGAGGAGCACGACTCAGGCGTCCAGGACCAACCCGGCACCCAGGCCCACGTGTGTGGCTGCCAGTCGTGGCCAAACCGGCCTCGGGCGTTCTCTGGGTCTACCCAGATGCTGGTGGTCCATCGTTTCCCTCAACTTTCTTGGGGGGCTTTTGTGTCCTTCTAGATGCTTCTGCAGGATCCCCCAGGCAATGAGCAGGCCCTGGGGGTCTGGGGCCACGGAGCGAGGCGCCTCTTCCTCCTGTGGAGATGCTGCGGGGCCGTGCCCCGGCCCCCCCAGCCCGGGGCCCCACGTCTCCCCGTGGGCCCCACGCAGCCCTCGCACCACTGGCCAGACCCTCCTGGCCCGAGGCCCGCAGCGGCCCTGCCCGCCCTCCCTCCCGCTCGGGCCCTGGAGTCGGGGGCGAGTGCGGCTGCGGCGCTGACGCCCGGTCCCCGCAGCCCCTTCTACGGCGAGGACTTCTACTGCGAGATCCCGCGGAGCTTCCGGCACCTGTCCTTCTACATCTTCGACAGAGACGTCTTCCGGAGGGACTCCATCATCGGTGGGTGCGCGTCACCCTTGGGGGCTGGCGGGGGCGCCCCACCTCCCCGCTGCGTGTGGCGCCTGCCGGGTCCCCCCAGGCCCCCATGTCCCGCCCCCGGCCCCGGCCTCCCCTCCACTGACCTGCTGGAACCATCGCCCTTGACTGGGCCCGGGGCCGGCCGGAGCGACCCGCCTCCCGGGCCCTGAGGCGCCGAGGCCTCTCCCGTGTCCGCGGGCGGGGGGCGCCGCTGGTCGGCGGGGCCGCGGCTCCCGGGCACTCCACGCGCCCCGCTGCCGTCCAGGGAAGGTGGCCATCCAGAAGGAGGACCTGCAGAAGTACCACAACAGGGACACCTGGTTCCAGCTGCAGCACGTGGACGCCGACTCGGAGGTGCAGGTGAGGCCGAGCCGCGCGGCCGGGGGGCACGGGGGGGGGGGGGGGGGCGGGGGGCGGCCGGGCCGGGGCCGGGGCCGGGGCCGGGGGAGGACGCAGCGGCCGCCCCTGCCGGGCCGAGACCCGCCCGGACCCGCAGGCGGGGGCGCACCCGGGCCCCGACGGCTGCGGGCGGCTCCGGCCGGCGGGGGCCTCGCTGTCCCCGGCGTCTGCGCGGCCGGGCGCGGGCCAGAGCCCGGGGTCGCGGCGCCTGGGGCTGCCGGGGCTCCGGCGGCAGCGGCTCTCGGGGCGCCTCCGGCGCGACCGGCTTATATCCCCTCGGGAGCCCCGCCCACGGGCCTGATTGGCCGCTCTCTATCCTGGGGCTGATTGGACCATTTACCCATCAGCCCATCGCACCTGATTGGGCCACGCCGCAGCCCCGGAAGTGCGGCCGGAGAGCGGCTGCTGCCCGCGCCCCGCCCCCTCCCCTCCCCCCGCCCCCCGGGGGCCCCGGGGCCTGGGGGGCCTGGGGGGCCCTGGCGGGGGGAGCCGCCCCTGTCGCGGGGCCGGAGCCGCGGGTGCGGTGGGGGACGCGGGAGGACGCGCTGACCTGCCCGCCGGGGGGCCGGGCGGGCGGGCGGGACTGTCCGGCGAGGCCCGCCCTGGCCCCGGCGCTGACCGCGCCCCGCGGCTTTGGCGGCTGCGGCCGGGCGCGGAGTCCCGCGAGGGAGTGACCCGGCCCCGCGGCCGCCCTGCTTCGCGCCCTCACGCTCCCCGGGCGCCCCGGGCCCAGCCCGCCGGAGCGCGAGGCCTTGGGCCGCCCGCGTCTCCTGGGGCTGGCCCCGGCCTTGCGAGCCGGCGGCCCGCGGGCTCCCCTCGGCTCCCGCGAGGCCGGGTGGACAGAGAGGCCCGCTCGCTGCACAGCGGAGGCGCAGCCAGGAGGGCCCCCGACACCGGGAGCCCGCGGCTGGCGCCCCACGCAGGGCTCAGGACCCACTCGGAAGGCTGCCGCGGGGCCTGGGGGAGCGGGGTGCGGGGCCTGGGGGAGCGGGGTGCGGGGCCTGGGGGAGCGGGGTGCGGGGCCGAGGGGGTGGGGCAGGGCACGGGTTGCAGCCGTTTCTGCTGCTCGGCCCTGCAGCCCCTCCGGTCCTCGCCTGCGCCCCCAGGGCGCCCCTGTAAGGCCTCTGGCTTCAGCCCTACAGAGCTGCTCAGCCTGTGACCTGCCCTGCACTGAGTCTAGGCGGCTGGGGGGGCCTGGGGGAGCATGGGGTCCTGGTAAAGTGCGCGGGGGGAGGGGGTGCCTGGGGAAATACCGGGTGCCGGGGGTACCTGGGAGCACCTGGCATGCATGGCTGTCGCCCTTCCCTCCTCAGCCTGAGCTGGCCGCTGGCTGCAGCTCCCCGGGAGGAGGCGGAGTCCAGGCTCCCCTCTTGTGCCCTCCCCAGCCCATCGCGGGCTGGCACCTTCAGGGCCTGCCCTTTAATGTGCACCTGCAAACTTCCCCGCCGGCCATTCCATCCCGAAAGGCTCATCTGTGGTTCTCAGAGGGCAGTGGCCAGCACGCGGGGCTCTGGGCCCACCTGCCCCACAGGCCCAGTCAGGAGAGAAGGGCTGCCCAGCGGGCGGCGGGTAGGAGTGGGCCCCTCGCCTGGAATGGCCCTCACAGCCCCGTGGGTCCCTTGGAGGGGAGCCTGGGGCAGGTGCTGGGTCTGGGCCCTCCTGCTGGCCCCTGGAGAATCAGGACAGCCCCGCCGGGTGGCTCTGTGGCCGCAGTACCTGTGGGGCCACGGCTGGAGCGTCTCTCCGCGGCGGGGAGCGGGGCGGATGTGGGGGCAGCGCGGGGAAACCAGCTGAGCCCAGCCGACCAGCAGGTGCGCGAAGTGCAGGCCCACGGCCCACAAGCTGTCCCGTCCTGAGGGCAAGCCACCCCCTCCCTGCTCGCTTAAGAGGTGGACACCGCGGCTGCCCGCAGCCCCAGAGGAAGCCAGGGGCTGGGTCTCCTGGGAAAACGGGACGTGGGACTCGCTCGGGCAACCGTCTGAGCAGGCAGCCTTTCCGTTCCCAGGAGCCCGTCCTCCTGCGGCCGCTGCCCACGCTGGAGTTAAGCCCCTGGGTTGGAACCTGCGGCTGTGCCAGTGTGGCCGGGCTCCGCCTGGGCCCCTGACGGGACCTGAGCCCACCTGGCCGGTGCTGGGAGAGACCTGCAGGGTGCCCCTCACCACAGCTGCAGGCCTGACCACTCACAGAGTGGCCTCGCCAGGCCTGGGTGAGCAGCAGGTGGGCCCACGCGGGTGGGCAGGGGAGGTGTCCAATGGCCTCCCCCTCGCTCCTCGGCCGCTTTGCCCCGCCTTCTGGAAGCCGCCGCGGGCAGCAACCGCCCACCTGCAGCACAGGCCCAGGTCCCCAGCCTGGCAGCCAGGCCTTCGCCAGTGCAGGCGTCTGCGGGCCACGCCTGAAGGACACAGCTGTGTCTGCCCACTGACGCGTCCTGCAGGCCTGGGCCTGCACCCCACAGGAAGATGGGTGGCCCGGTGCTGGACATCCACACCCTTCTGTGCCTTCCAGGGCAAGGTCCACCTGGAGCTGAGACTGAGCGAGGTCATCACCGACTCGGGCGCCGTCTGCCACAAGCTGGCCGCACGGTAAGGACGGGCTGCGGAGGGCGTGGGAGCCCCGGCCCCAGAGTCGGCCTCGCCGGGAAGGCATTGCCTCATGGGCCCGACGCCCCTGAGCACCCCCAGGTGGAGGGCGGCTTGCACAGTGGGCACTGGGCACCAGTCAGCCCTCCCAGGGAGGCCCCGACACTGGCCGCCGGGGGGGGGGGCACAAGCAGCCAGAGGAGGCGAGAAGCAGGGGCGCAAGGGGCACTGCGGGCAGCGCGGGCTGTGGACACACAAGTGAGGTGTTCTGTAGGCGCACGTGCAGGCCCCGGTGGGGTGGCGTGGGGCCCGCAGGGCAGGCAGCTCCATTCGGCTCCTCTCCTTCTTCCTGCCCGTGCTCCTGCCGCCTATGCCGCACTGGGCATGAGGCGGGACCCGTGTCCAGGTTGGGTGGGCTCCAGGGCGACAAGCTGGTGCTGTGGCCTGGGGCGGGGTCCTGGTCTGGACGCTGTGTGGCCAGCGGTTCGTGGTGCAGCCAGTTTCCCTGCCGGGGGTGGTGGTGGTGGTGGTTCTGGGCGCCTTCTGACCGCGACACAGGGTTTTCTCACCGAAACCGGGACGCTGGGTTCGGGGTGGGTGGCGGCCGCAGCCCAGCTTCCCGGACAGCAGCGGGCGTCCGGGGAACGACTGTGCCGGTGGGAGGCCCGACTCGCCCACGAGCCTCCAGAGCAGGCCCAGGAGCCACCAGACTGGGCTCGAGGCCAGGGGGCAGCCAAAACCCAGAATCGAGTGAGCAGGGGCCTCTGCTGCGGGAGGGCGGGGCACACCCACCTTGACGCCCGGAGGGCCACCTGGGTGCTGAGGGGGCAGGAAGCCCTGCCTGGAGCTGTCCCCATCCACAGCTGTCCCCACCCACCCCCCCCTCACGGCCAGGAGCGGGGCACTCTGGGCCCAAACTACTGGCCTGGGCTGAGCGTGGATGCAGCTGCAGCCCTGGGTCCCAGAGTGGCTGGGGTTGCTACAGGGGGGCCCTGACACCCCCATTTCCTTGCAGCATCCTTGAGTGCCAGGGCCTCCCCATCGTGAACGGGCAGTGTGACCCCTACGCCACTGTGACGCTGGCTGGACCTTACAGGCAAGTGCTTGGAGGCCAGGGTGGGGGGTTCCTTACTTGGGGGTCGGGGGCCCTGGAGGCCTGGCCCGGGGGTCCTCACTCGGTCCCCGGGAGGCAGATGTGCGGCTGCCCCTGCGAGCAGCGGCTCTTCACCCGGGGTCTCGGCTTTGGGAAGGGCTGGGTTTGGGGCCTCCCAGCCGCAGCACAAGATGGTGGGGACGGTCGAGCTTCGGCGCCAGCAGTGTTGTCCTTCCTGACGCTCCCCTCGGTCACAGGTCGGAAGCCAAGAAGACAAAGGTGAAGAAGAAGACCAACAACCCCCACTTTGACGAGGTGTTTTATTTTGAGGTTGGTGCCTGGAGGCGGCCTTGGTCCTGAGCCCAGCGAGGCGACACAGGCTCAGGCTGTGGGCACCGGTACTGGGAGTTCGGGGAGGCCTCCTGCCTGCAGTGCCCGCGGCATTACTCGCTCTACCAGAAGCGGTTGGAGGCGCGTCTGGCTCAGCACAGTGCCTGAGGGAGGGTGCGGGTGGCAGGGCAGCGAGGGCCAAGCTGGGGTCCAGGGCTGTGTGGGAATGCCTGAGCCACGTGTGGTGGGCGTCACCAGGAAGGGCTCCTCAGAGCAGGTGGCAACATGGACTGCAGAGAACGTTCTGGAAAGGCTGGACACTGGCGCCTGGCTGGAGCCGGGGGAGCGCCGCAGCAGGGCCCTATCATCGCACCCACCCACCCTTTCTGTCTGAGGGCCCTCGAGACCCCCCAGCCGCCGGGGGGGAGGATCCCCTTCAGCTCCACCCCCACGTGCCCTGGACCTCACACGACCAGCGGGCCGGGCTCAGGCAGCCACCCCACTCGAGTCAGGGTCACTTCTGCGTTGACCGGCGGGAGGCGGCCCTAGTCTCCAGGCTCCTGCAGGGCCATCCCGCCCCAGGCAGCGGTGCGGGGTCGAGTGCAGGGTCCGGGACCAGGCAGAGCCCCCAGGCCACCCGGGGGCTGTGGCTGGGGCCCACAGGGTGCAGGGGGCCAACGGGGCCGCACTGCCCGCCCTAAGTGAGCGTCCTGCGCCCCCGCAGGCGCCCGGTGTGGCTCACTGCCCACATCTGCCCACAGGTGACCAGACCTTGCAGCTACAGCCGGAAGTCCCACTTCGACTGTGAGGAGGAGGACGTGGACAAGCTTGAGATCCGGTGAGAGGGCGGCCGGGAGCCCCTGGGACGGGGTCAGCACTGCCCAGATGCTCGAATGTGGCTTACGGGGGGCCCTGCCCGCCCTTTGTGGAGGCCTCAGCGACACACCAGGGAGCAGGAGGGCTGTGCCCCGCAATGCGGGACCTCCAGGGCCTGGCCCTGGGTCTGGGGCCCCGGGGTGCCGGCCTCTGAGCCCCGTCCAGGGCGCTGCTCTCTGGGTGCTGCCTCCCTGCTGCGGGGCAGGGAAAGGGCGGGCGGTCAGACCCCGGCCGCAGCCGGGGCTGAGCGCGGGCGGGCGCCTTCCAGAGTGGACCTGTGGAACGCCAGCAACCTCAAGTTTGGAGACGAGTTTCTGGGAGAGCTGCGGGTCCCGCTGACCGTGCTGGGGCAGTCCAGCTCCTACGAGGCCTGGTGAGCGCGGTGCTCAGTGCGGGCGGGCGCCGCCGCGGACGCCCTGCTGCCCCGGTGGGGGCGCCCGGCGGTCCTGGGGCGCGCCCCGCGGCCAGGGGAGGCTCCGCGGGGCCGGGCGCGCTGGCGGGAGGTCGCGACCCCCGCCCGGGCTTCAGCCGGGCTCCGGCCGGGCAGCAGATCCGGGCGCCACGGGGTCCCCCACCCCCGCCGGCCTGCGCTCGCGGGCTCCGGGCGCCCCTCGCTGCGCCCCCCCCCCCCCCCCCCGGGCCCTGCGCCGCGAGGGTCGGGAGAGGCGGCCGCGCACCCCCGCACCCCCGCTGCCTCCCGGCCCCGCGTCGGGGAGCCCCAGCCCGCGCCCGGGCCAGCCGCCCCGCCTCCCGCAGGTACTTCCTGCAGCCGCGGGACAGCGGCGGCAAGAACCTGAAGCCCGGGGACCTGGGGTCGCTGCGCCTCAACGTGGTGTACACGGAGGACCACGTGTTCGCGTCCGACTCCTACAGCGCGCTGCGCGGCCTGCTGCTGCGCTCGGCCGACGTGGAGGTGCGCCTGCGCGAGCCCGGCCCCGCCCCCGCTCCCGGCCCCGCCCCCGGCCCCGCCCCCGCCCCCGGCCCCGCCCGGCCCGCGCTGACGCCGCCCCCCGCAGCCCGTGTCGGCGTCCGCGGCCCACGTCCTGGGCGAGGTCTGCAGGGAGAAGCAGGAGGCGGCCGTCCCGCTGGTGCGGCTCTTCCTGCACTACGGCCGCGTGGTGCCCTTCATCAGCGCCATCGCCGGCGCCGAGGTCCGCCGCACCCAGTGAGTCCCGCCGGCCCCGCCCCGGCCCGGCCCGGCCCTGGGGCCCGCCCGCGCGCCGGCCGGCTGGACAGCGCCGCCCGCCCTTCCAGGGACCCCAACACCATCTTCCGCGGAAACTCGCTGACGTCCAAGTGCATCGACGAGACCATGAAGCTGGCGGGGATGCAGTACCTGCACGTCACGCTCAAGCCCGCCATCGAGGAGGTGCGGGGGGGCGCGGGCGGGGCGGCCACCGGCGGGGGCCCCGCCCGCGGGCGTCTTCACAGCGAGGACGCGGCCCCGCCCGCCCCACGTCCCGCAGATCATCCACAGCCACAAGCCCTGCGAGATCGACCCCGTGAAGCTGAAGGACGGCGAGAACCTGGAGAGCAACATGGTGAGGCCCCTCCCGCGGCCGGGCTCCCGCCCGCTGCGCCCACACCGGCGCCCCGGCCTCTCCCTGGACGGCAGGGCCTGGGCCGCGGCCACCCCGAGTCCACTGGCTCCTGAAGCGTCTCCCGCCTCCCCGGGGCTCTCAGTCAGCCCCGCCGAGTCCCCCTCCTGCCTTCAAACGGGAGAGTCATTTCCGCCTCCACGGGGACAGGGCGCAGTGGGCGAGCCCCCCTGCTTGGGCCAGTCCCCCACTCTGCGCTCGGCCAGGTGGGACCGGGCCTGACCGCCCCCTCCCCAGGAGAACCTGCGGCAGCACGTGGACCGCGTCTTCAGCGCCATCACCAAGTCGGGGGTGAGCTGCCCCACCGTCATGTGCGACATCTTCTTCTCCTTGCGGGAGGCGGCCGCCAAGCGGTTCCAGGGTGAGTCCTGGGCAGGGGGCAGGGGGCCGAGCTGCTGGAGCGGCCTCCCGGGCCCTGGGCAGGGCTCTGGGCTGCAGCTGCCCCTGGGATATGGCCTTTGTGCTGAGGCCTGGCCCGCTGACCCGTCCTCTGCCTTGCAGATGACCTGGATGTGAGGTACACAGCTGTGAGCGGCTTCATCTTCCTGAGGTTCTTTGCACCCGCCATCCTCTCTCCCAACCTCTTCCAGCTCACACCACACCACACGGTAAGGGCACTGCCAGCCGGAGTCCAGCAAACCAGCTCTCCCAAACTAGCAGGCCCGGCCAGGCGGCCCCCACCAGGCAGCCCCCGCCAGCCAGCCCCGGCCAGCCAGCCCCAGACGGGTAGCCCCCGCTAGACAGCCCCAGCCAGCCCCGGCCAGACAGCTCTCTCCAGACAGCCCCGGACAAGCAAGTCACCAGCTACCTAGTTCTGAGTCGTGACTGGTGGGGTAGGGGCTCCACTGCGACCCTTGCTGGGGTGCTGGGCTCTGGGCCAGGGTCTTGGGGGGCCTGAGACCTGCGGCCGCCAGGAGCGGGCAGCTCTGGAGTCAGTCCCCCTCCCAGCGTCTGCCGTCCGCGGCTGTGTGCGCGTAGGGCAGTCATGGGACGTGCTCGTCTCGGCCGCAGCTCTGGCTGGGCACGTCTCTGGAGACCTGCGGTGAAGCGAGCCCCTCCCCCCCCACCCCTCCCCAGGACCCTCAGGTGTCCAGGACGCTGACCCTGATCTCAAAGACCATCCAGACGCTCGGCAGCCTGTCCAAGTCCAAGTCTGTGAGTTGCTCCCCGTGAAGCACGTGTTCTCAGCAGGACCTGAGCAGCCCCTGCCCCTGGGCCCTCCCGGCGCAGCTGACCTCGCCGCTGCCCACTGGTTTGTGAACTGGCCTCAGCACCTGCCCTGCGCAGGGCTGTGGCTGCTGGCCAAGGGCCAGGACCCCAGGGCTCCCGCGGCGGCAGGTCAGCCTCACCCACCCGGCCTGCCTGGCCACGTCCCGGCAGGCCGGGGACTGTCCCCTGGAGAGGCCCTCGGGGTCACGAGCCGCAGCGCTCGCTCAGAGGCATCTCCTTCCAGGCCAGCTTTAAGGAGTCCTACATGGCCGCGTTTTATGAATTCTTCAACGAGCAGCAATACGCCGACGCGGTAAAAGATGTGAGTGTCCGCTCGGCCGCTGCCGTGTCCTGCCGCTCCCAGGACACAGCCGCCTTTCGAAAGCCTGGCTAGAGGCCGCGGAGGTGGCCGTTAGCCCTCCCCCAGCCAGACAGCCATCTGCCCTCGGCCCCAGCCCCATGCTGGGATGCCCTCCACGCCAGGTCCCCCCTCCATCCCTCGTGGCTCGTCCTCCAGGGCCCCCAAGCCCTGCTGCTCCTGACCTAGGTCCTAGGCCCAACCTCGGGGCCACTGCTTGGGTAGAAAGTCTCGTGGACCCTGGAGCTTTGGGTTTTTTCCACTTTTGGAAGTAATTACGAGATTTGTTTCCCAGAAATCATAAAAACTGGCCTAGAAAGGGGGGTTGGGGGGTGGGGGCTGGGCAGCCTTGCAGGGCAGAGGCCCAAACAGGCCAGGACAGCCGGCAGCAGAGCCACGCCAGGCCGGCTGCCCAGGCCCCTGGAGGAGAGGGCGGCGGCTCCCCCAGCTGGCCGTGTCCAGCGAGGGGACAGCTGGGCATGGAGCGGCCGAGGGAGAGAGAGAGGAAGGCACAGATGCCTTTCAGGTCGGGGACCCTGGCCCAGCGCTGGCCCTGAGACCTCGGTCTCGGGGTGCAGCTCCCCTTTAACGCCCGCTTTCTCCCATTTCAGTTCTTGGACCTGATCTCATCATCCGGGAGAAGAGACCCCAAGAATGTGGAGCAGCCCATCCTGCTCAAGGAGGGGTGAGGTGGTGCCGCCCTCCCCAGTCTGCGGGCTGCCGGGCCGCAAGAACCTGGGCCACATTCTCAGACCAGGCCGTGCTCACCAGGAGGGCCTGTGCCGTCAGCCCCCGGCCTGGCAGCCCCTGTGCCCCCAGGGAGCCCCCCAGGACGCAGCCCAGCAGGGCCCTCCAGTGCTCTCGGCCCCACACCCCTACTCCCTTCTACGGGGGCGGCTCCTTCGCCGCGTAGATTGGCCAGACTGCCTGGGTCAGCAGCAGGCCGGGTACTGCCCACGTTGCCTCCTCTCTGCTGGCTGGGCCCTGCAGGGCCCCTTTGTGCCGTGTCCAGCAGCAGACAGGCTCCTCTGCAGCCAAGCAAACCCACAACTTGCAGGGGGGCAGGTACTTGCCGCAGCTCCTGAACACCCAGGACTCCCGTGAGGGCTGTGCCGCCATGGCTAACCTGCCGAAGTGCCGCTCCCAGAGGCGGCGGGGCTGGGCAGGATGCGCCCCCCGTGGACTGCATGCCCCGTCCCGAGACCCTTGGGCATCCCATGACCCTCTTGTTCCCGGCGTCCCCAAGCCAGGGGCCGCATGCCCTCTCCTCATCACGAGTGCAGGGCTTCTGCCCGCCCTCGGCCCCACGCGGCCGGACACTCAGCAGGCCTTGCCCTCTTAAAGTGGAGCCTGTCACACGGGGCTGCTGGTTCTTGTCGCTGCTTCTGCCTGCGCCCCCGGGGGCTGGCCGCTGCGGGCTCTCGGCCTGCCCAGGGAGGGTCAGGGTGGGGCCAGCCCCTCCTTTTCTGGGGGAGTGGAAGCCAAGGGGCCTCCACTTTCTCCCTGGACCCCTGGCTGCAGGCGCCCCCACGGCAGCCCGGGCGCAGTCTCAGGGTCTCTCTCGCAGTGGGCACTGGGCTGGCTCTCAAGGCCTCCGGACCCCATTCTGGGGACAGTGGGGTGCGGTTAGTTTTGAACTTGTCCAGAGGCAGCGGCCAGTGCTGCCTTTTCAGCCTGCCTCCTGGGCACAGGGCTCGGAAGGGCCACAGGTCGCCCCAAGCCCAGGGGGCGCCCTTGGTTTGCGCCCGAGTCTGGCTGTGGTGGGGAGGGCTGCCTGGAGGGGCCTGGGGCAGCAGCTCACGCCGTCCTGTCCACCACAGGTTCATGATCAAGAGAGCACAGGGCCGAAAACGCTTTGGGATGAAGAACTTTAAGAAGAGATGGTTCCGCCTGACAAACCACGAATTCACCTACCAGAAGAGCAAAGGTCCCGAGAAGTTGGCTCTGCTTCCTCAGGCTTTGCTCCGGGGTGGGCGGGCCAGCGGGAGCTGCCCAGCCGGGCGCTGCTGCCCTTCCTTAGCTCTGCCCTCCGCTGGCCGCTCTGCTCGTGACTCCCGAGGCCGCACCAGTTCGGGGACCGCAGGAGCCTGGGTCTTGCCAGGCCTGTGCGTCCGTTCCGGGCTTCCTCCGTGGTGGGGAATGGCCGGGCTGAGGGGCGGGGCCGGGCGCAGGACGGACAGCGCTGGGGCGGGGCCTGGTGGGCAGGGGCAGGGCCGGGGGCAGGTCAGCCCGGCAGCTTAGGAGACTGGCCCCGGCTCTTGGCCTCTTGGGGCCGTGGGCCTACGTCACACAACTTAGGGGGGGTGGTTTGGAGAGCACAGTGGCCCCAAGTGTCCTGCCTGAGCCTGCCAGGCCTGGCCTTCGGGACGCACAGCCTCGGCCACCCTGCCCTGCGCCTGGGGGAGGTTCTCTGGGCGCGGAGCCCTGCTCAGGAGCCCCTTTGCGCCCCAGGAGACCCGCCACTCTACAGCATCCCCATTGAGAACATCCTGGCGGTGGAGAAGCTGGAGGAGGAATCCTTCAAGATGAAGAACGTGAGTGCGGGGCCAGGGCTCGTCCCCCCACCCCGGCCGCAGCTGGCTCCGCGCTCCCGGCCCAGACTGGGCTGTGCCCGCCCGCCCGCCGCTGTCCGGCCCAGAACCGCAGTGTCTTCCGAGGCGTGGACCCGCCCGCCCTTCTGCCTGCCGCCCTGTGCGGGCTCCGCCCGCGCACAACGCTCTGCAGGCCCCTGGCCAGCGTCGCCCCTTGCGTGGCCCGAGAGCAGCCCTCGTGCCCCCAGACCTGGCCTGCAGGCCGGCCTCTGTGGCCATCCCTCAACCTGAGTTGGGGTCCCGCCGGGCCCTGAGCTCAGGTTGGGGTGGCATCCTGGCCTCTCCTCTGCTGGTGTCTGCAGCGTCCCCGGCCATGGGCTCACTGCCCTCTCCGCACGTAGACGCCGGCTATGCGGGCTGCGGCAGGACCGAGCCCTCGGGCTCCTGCCCCCTCTGGGCCTGTCGTCACCCACCAGGCCCAGGTGCCCGCCTGCCCGGACAGCCCCTCCTCTCAGTGCGGAGGACATTTGAGGTCCTGCTCGAACTGTCCAGCCCGAGGGCCCTCCCTGGGCTGAGGCCTGCCCACCTCCCTACCAGGCCACCCTCCTCTGCCCTTGACCTTCCTCCCTGCTGTCCTCTGTCCCAGCGCACACCCTGTCCCCTGTCCTTAGTGGTTCTGCTCTCACTTGTCCCCTCGGCTTCACCCCCCATGGGCTCTCCCCCTCTCTGTCCTCTCACTGGCTGGGCAGAGACGCTGGACCACACTGGGTCCCCAGGACCTGGGGCGCTGCCTGCGCTCAGCCATGTTTGTTGAGTGAATAATAAGTAGAAAAGACGCTGGAGAAGCTCTGGGAAGGAGCGTCCCCAGGGCATGTGGGGGGTCTTTGACGGACAGGCCTCTTGGCGGAGGCGGCAGGGGGGCGGCAGCATCCCCAGGGGCCCTGTAGGACAGCCACCGGGTGGCAGACGGGCCTAGGCATGCTCGGGCGGTGGCCGTCAGGGCCCCGAGGGGCGCGCTTAGCTCCCAAGGAGGGCCAGGGTGGGGGTGTGCTGCCAGCCTGCACTCCCCTTGGGCCCGGCGCCTGAGCCTGCCCGCCTCCCAGATGTTCCAGGTGATCCAGCCGGAGCGGGCGCTGTACATCCAGGCCAGCAACTGCGTGGAGGCCAAAGCCTGGACGGACATCCTCACCAAGGTGAGCCAGCGCAACCAGCGGCGGCTGACCGTCTACCACCCCTCTGCCTACCTGAACGGCCACTGGCTGTGTTGCCGGGCCTCCTCGGACACGGCCGCCGGCTGCAGCCCCTGCACCGGGTAGGTGTCATCGGAGGCGGCCCCGCCCCGTCTCCCATTCCCAGGAGCCTCCGGAGGGCCATGAGGGCCAGAGAACAGGGAGGCCCCAGGAGGGGCTCCACCCTCCCTCCCTTGGAGCCGAGGCTGCCCCGTCCGCCCACAGTGCGCAGCCCCGAGGGTGGTGGCAGCCCGGCCAGTCCTCGCTGCCGGTGCTGGGGGAAGACGAGCCCGCCAGCCCCCTACCCCACGGCACAGTTGCCACAGCTCCCCAAGTCTCAGAAGTGGCCGGCCCTGCCCCGGAGCCTCTGGACCAGAGGCCCGGCCTGCCCTGGGAGCGGTGGCCCCGGCCCCAGCCCAGCCCCATCTTCTCTCGGAGCCGGCTGGCACAGGCAGGCGCGTGACCAACATCACTGTCCTCGCTCTGCCTCCCGCGCCAGGGGCCTCCCAGCAAACATTCAGCTGGACATCGACGGGGACCGGGAGACCGAGCGCATCTACTCCCTCTTCAGCTCGTACATGAGCAGGCTGGAGAAGATGCAAGGTGAGCCTGGCGGCCGGCGGCCAGCAGCCTGCTCTCGCGTGACGCCCGCGCTCCGGGCGGAGGGCTGCGTTCTGGTTTCTTTTCAGGGAGACAAATGCATGTGAGCGTGCACACGCGTGTGAACCGCTGTTATCATGGGCACATCTGTGGACACGTGTGTGCATGGCAGACACCTGTGGACACACCTGTGTGTGCGGTGACGCCTGGTGCCTCGCTGCTGGGCGGGCAGGGGCAGGCGCTCTGGGACAGTCGGGCCAGCAGACGGTCTGTCACAGAGAGGCTGTTGACCGGCCAGCGGGCGACGGGGCCGTCACTGGTCAGTGGATGGGATGGTGACCGGCAGAGGCGGCCAGTTCTGGCTGCCCTCGCTGCCCCGCACCTGGGTGGCCGTGGTCCTAGGCTGAGGCAGGGATGGGGCGCATGGCCTATAGTCTTCCATGGCTGGACGGCAGGGCTGAGCGCCCAGAGGCGGCGACAGGAGTCTGCTTGGGCGCGGACCCCTGCTCTCTGGTCCAGCTGGGTGGGGGCAGCAGAGCGGCTGGCCACCGGGTCTGCGGCCAGATGGGAAGGCTGTCCAGTGCAGCTGTGGGGCAGGTGGGGACCTGGGCCCTCGAGGCCCCCGCCAGACCCCATGAGAGCCCCCACGCTGTGCAGGCGCCAGTGGCAGGGCGGGAGGCGACACCCTCAAGGGTAGACACGTCTCTGTCTGGGTCCTGCAAGTCCCCTGATGGCCCCTGACCCACGGCTGTGAGCCTGCCGGGCCCGTGACCGGGAGCCACGGCGTTCCTCCTGGCTCGGTGGGCGGTGCGGGCAGCTGCACGGTGGCCAGGGCAGGCCGAGGCCACAGCTGGGCTCCCAGCACCTGCCCTGTCCACAGAGGCCTGCGGGAGCCGGTCGGTGTATGACGGGCCAGAGCAGGAGGAGCACGCCGCCTTCCTCATCGACGACCCCCAGGAGACCTACAAGACCCTGCGGCAGGTCATCGCGGGCGTGGCGGCCCTGGAGCAGGAGCATGCCCAGTACCGCAGGGACAAGTTCAAGAAGACCAAGTACGGGAGCCAGTGAGTATGGGCAGGGCGGCTCCTCCACCCCCGGGACACAGGTGGGTCAGCCGAGAAGGCCGGGGTGGGGTGCTGGGACAGTGCACACACCCCACATACCCCACCCCTGCACACGTCCCTCACGCCTACATACTCAGCCCACACATGCACACAGCTCACGTGTATGTGCACCTACACACGCCTGCACCTGCTCTGCGGTGCATGCCAGGCACACACCCACATGCACACACACATGAGCCGGCCCGGGCAGGGTCGGGGCTCCTGCCCTGAGGCTGGCTCCTCTCCTGCCCTGGCTGGGCGGGCGTCTGTGGCAGATGGGCCAGCCAAGCCCAGGCCTTCCGCGTCCCCTCCCCGCTGCAGGGAGCACCCCATCGGAGACAAGAGCTTCCAGAGCTACATCAGCCAGCAGTCGGAGGAGTCCACGCACTCCATCTAGCCGCGGGGCCGCCGCCGGGCGCTGGAGTCCGCCTGTGCCAGGGCGCCTCCCCCACTGCCCTGCGGGCCGCCCAGGCCGTCACACCCACTCGCACTCACTTCAGCTCAGCCAGACGGCGAGCACCTCTTTCTCCTGGACCCCTTCCCGGCGGCCCGGCCTGGCTCAGCTGCGCCTGGGGCCCTGACCCGGGCTGGAGGGTCGGCCTCCGGCAGCCGCCTTGGCAAGCCCAGCCCGGGGCACTCGACGCCGGGCCCGGAGTTCTCAGGCACGCTCCTGCGGCTGACCGCTGTGTCCCTGGGGCCGGGCCGGGGCCACCGCCCCATGTCCGGGCGCCTCCGTCTGCCCGGCTGTCGGTGGGCCCCGGAGCGTGCGCGCCCACGCCTGTCAGCCCCGTGGAAGCTTCCCGATATTTTCACGTCGGCACACGCACCACTTCCAAGCAGTTTTCTTAACGTTTTTAAAGGACCGTTTTTAATTAGCTTTGCTATAAAGCGACTGCGGACGCGGCCCGCCCGGCGGAGAGGAGGGCGCCGGCGGGACCGCGAGGGAGCCGGGGGGTGGCGTGGCTCAGGGCCCACCGGCCGCGCGCACGCCGAGACGCTCGCTTCAGGCTCTTCGTCTACACGACGGGCAGCGGCGTATGTCATCCCAAAAAACGGGGAAAATGTTGCCCGAGAAAGCGACAAGGAGCCCCGACGCCCGGGAAAGCTCGACAAGGACCCCTGACGTGCGCAGCGCGAGCCGCCGGCGCTGCAACCTATTTTCCTGGCGATTAAAGCAGAGTTTATTCTTTGGGGGCCCGGCTGGCTTCTCCGGGGCGTGGCCGCAGGGCGTGGGGCTGGGCAGCCCTGCGCCAGGCGGTGAGGGTGAGGGCCAGAGAGGGCAGCGAGGAGCCGAGGTTGGCGGGGCCCCTGAGACGTCTCCCCAAGACCACGAGCTTCTCCTGGCACAGGGGGGCCCTGACGACGGGGAGGCCCCCGGTGGGTGAGGCTGGGGTGAGCCCCAGCGGGGGGGTCCTCTGGGGCCTGGAACATCCCCTGCAGCGGGTGCCGCCCGGGCGAGGGCTGAGGCCGATGGAAACGGGGAGGTTTGTGGGGGCGGCGCCCCCATGGTGGGTGAGCTGAAGCCCCTGGCGACGGGCCAAGTGCCGCGTGACAGTGATGTCCGGGGGTGGCTGGGGTCGCTGACGGCCGGTTGGGAGTGAGGAGAGCGTGTGCGGTGCTGGTGTGTGTGGATGGGGTGCTGGCGAGTGTGCAGTGGGGTGTTGGTGTAAATGGTGGTTGGTGTGTAACTGGGTTGGTGTCAGTGTGAGTGGGGCCGCTCTGCCTGGAGCTGTGCCTGGCGGGGATGGGGGCCGGGGCATGGGCCGGGTCACCCCACTCCTCAGGCAGTCAGCGTCCAGCTCGGGGACACGGGGTCAGACCCCGGGCTGGGCTTCCTTCCCAGGGGGTTTCTCTGGCCTCTGCTCTGGTGTGGGTGGGGGGGTGCCCCAGAGCCGGCAGAGAGCTGAGGGGCACAGCTGGATCGCAGTCAACTAGACACGCATGTCCAGAGCAGGACCGGCGGCTTCGAGGAGCCTGGACAACAGACACAGCCTGGCCCCACTGGGCCCAGGAGAGTCTGCTTGAGGGGCCAAGGAGGAACGCTGGAGAACGCAGGGCCTGAGGCTCCTCCAGGGCCCCCCAGATGGCGCGGGGGGGACCCATCAGCTGAAGCGAAGCTGCGCACGGCTCTCTGTCCAGCTTTGGTGTGCTGGCCCTTCAGCCCAGAGCAAGTGACCGAGCCCTGCCCTGGCTCCTGGGAGCTGGGGGCTTGCGGGCTCTGGGGGTGCTGCCTTGTGCTGGGGTACTCCCAAGTCGGCAGTACTGGCTGACCAAACCCAGGTCTCGGTCAATCGGGGGGAATGCATGGGGGGGTCTGGGGCTGGACTGCCCACAACTGCTGCCCAGCCTGACGCCCAGCCCAGTGCCCATCCAGTGCCAGCCTGGCCTGTGGAGCATCCATGGGATCAGACTGCGGCACCCCAGGCCCCATGCAGTGGATACCCCCGCTGGCCCCCTGCCTAGCTACTGGACATTGAGTCCCCTGGCCACTGAGGACATGTAGGCACCACTGCCCTCCGGCCTGGGCCATATTTGCCCATGGAGACTGGAAAGGCCTAGAGCTGGAGTTGCTCCCAGGCCCTGAGCAGCTGAAGCTGGGGAGTGGGGGCCCCTCTGGCCTGCCCCCCAACTGGGGCCGGGAGGGAGGGAGGCAGGGGGGCCCACTGTGGGCTGTGGCTGCCGAGGGCCACATCGGATGACCTATGACCTCACGCCATGTCACAGGGGCCACTTGGCAACCAGGCCCTGGCTCTCTTGGCTGCCTGGCAGTGGGCGGGCCCAGGGCTGTCCCTCTGAGGGCGCCAGGGCGGGCAGAGATGGACAAGGACATGGGCACCATCCACCGGCGGCACCGGCTGGGCCCCGGGGCCCCTCCCTTGGGGGCGGCCCCTGGAAACACCAAGGCGGCCAGCGAGGTGGCTGAGCTTCAAAGGAGCCGGAGCGCGGGGGGCCTGCTGCAGAAGGGAGACCCGCCGAGCCCCGTCCAGAAGCTGGGCAAGGAGCTGGGTAGGCACCCCTGTGGCCGGGCAGCACCATGGCATCCACCAGGGCTGGTCCCACACGCCTTGAGGTGGGCAGGGCCTGCCGGCCAGTGCCCAAGCCATACTGCCATGCTGTGCCAACACCAGGGCCAAGGTCCGGACACCCCAAGGCGCCGCATCCCTGATCACACCAGCGGCCACCGTGCGGGGCGGGGACAGGGTGGGCGGGTGATGCAGCGGGGAAGAGCCCAACTCTGGCCTCGCCGCCAGGCGTGTGGGTGCAGCAAGGTGCCTGCCGTGCCCAGTGGCCCTGCGCACACCCAGCGCTCCCCGCCCCTGCCGCGCCGTCCCCGAAGCCCCGGCCCTCGGTCTCAGGGATCCGGCCCCGGGGCCACAGGCAACCAGCCAGCCGGCAGGGGTGGGGCGGAGGCCAGGCCTGGCCAGGCGGAGGGCCAAGCTCTGGGCAAGTTCTCCTCCCAGGCCTGACCGGGGGCGGTGGGGATACCCTCTGGCGCTCACCTAGGCGGGGCCGGCCCACACAGAGGGTGCGGGGTGCGGGGGTCGGGGCCCCGAGGGTGCATCCAGGCAAGCGGCCAGCTGGGCAAGGCTGCAGTGGGTGCGGACACCCTCGGGCTGCTGTGGGGCACCTGGGCCCGGCTACGTCCTCATCAGTCTTGCCCGCGGTGCTGGCCGTGGGGGAGCTGCCGGGGGAAGCAGCCTGGGCTTCCAGGCTCAGAAGTGGCCGCACAGAAGCCACGCAGGGCTGGCACCCGGGGCCTCTCTCTTGAGACGCCCTCCCTGCCCCCCGCATGGGCTCGGCCCAGCCTGCAGGCAGCCCGCGAGCTCGTGTCCACCTGCCCAGGCACCGCCCCGGCCGGCCTCCTGGGCATCACTGCCGGCTCTTCAGCACCCCTGGAAGAGCCGCCGCCGTGACGGGTCTGGGGCCTCTCTTGGGCGGCGACGGAACAGCTGAGACCCCCTCACTCCCAAAAGGGCCAGGACAGTGGGCGCCCGGCCCCGGCCCTGTTCAGAGGGGCTTTGCGCCCCGTCTCGGGGGAGCACGGCCCGGGGCCCGATCCCAGCAGGGCGCGCTGGTCCCTGGTGCGGGCGACACCAGCGGCCCGGGGCAGGAGGTGGGGGCTGCGCCCCTGGGCCCCCTGGGGTGGGCTGGGAGGCTTCCGGCCTGGCCACCGCGTGGGCATCCAGGGCATGTCGGGTTGGGGACCGCGGTCACGTCTCCAGGCCTGGGAGCCATGGGAGCTGCGGCGCAGTGGCCAGGCCCCCCGAGCGAGGCGCCAGTGACCGGTCCCGTCCCCCTCAGAGTCTGAAGAGCAGGGCAAGGACCTCGGAAGCGATGCCGAAGCGGCGGGCTAGTGAGTGGTCCTCGGGGAAGGGGTCTCTGGGCAGACGTGGGTGGGAGAGGCCAGGAGAGGAGCCCCGGGGTGTCCTGAGGAGCGGGTGTCTGCTGCCCTGCAGCCCCTCGGCCCTGGCGGCCCCTGGACTGCAGAGAGGAGGCGCTGCCCAGTCCGGGCTGGGGGCCCCTGGGCACAAGGCACTGCGCACAGAGCCCCGGGGGACTTCCGAGGAGGTGGGGTCTCCTGAGTCCCGCAGCTTCGTCTCCACCCCACCCGCCCCCGTCCTCAAGAAGGGCGACCCAAGGCTCGTCCACACGCTGGCAGGCGGGGGCGGCCACTCCACAAGGGGCACCTGGGGGCGCCTGGCACTCGGGCTTGCGGAGAGGGCAGGGCAGGGGAGTGCGTGCCCCCAGCCCGCGAGGGCGGCCCAGGGGCGGGCGGCCTCTGTTGGCCGTGACAAACCCGTGTCCACGCCCCAGTCAGGCCATTCCCGAGGACGGCGCGCAGGAAAAGCACCAGGACGTCCTCGCAAGGTCGGACCACGAGAGCAGGAAGGCAGAGGCCCCAGAGGAGAGCGGCCCCCGGGCCAGGGAAGGGCAGCACGTGGACGTGGGCGGCCAGGAGGCCAAGGTCAGGCTGCGCCCCAGAGCCCACCCTGCTCCAGGTCGAGCCCTGCCTCCAGTACCCGCTTGGGGTCTCCCTGCAGGGACAGGAGCTCAGCCATAAAAGCCAGGCACCCCTGAGCAAGAGGCAGGAGCTTCCGCTCTGGTCACAGGGGCCCCGTCCTCCTGCGGACACCCCCGGGGCCCTGACCGGAGCTGCAGTGGCTTGGGCTCCCAGGCCAGCTCACCAACACCCTGCGCACCCCAGGGGGAGCCCGGAGCGGCGCCCTCAGCCTGAGCTGGACCCAAAGCAGCCCCCGCACTGCCCCTTCTGCCCGGCACGCTCGGCAGGCAGCGGCTGCCCCCGCGGGAGTAAAAGCTTCTGGGAATGTCCTCCTGGACTTAACTGCAGGGTCCTCGGCTGTTCGGGGTGCCGGGAAGCCCCCCGCCCCTCGACCCCACAGTCAGGCGCTGCCTGGGGAGCAGGGCTGGGATGGGCAGGAAGGGCAACTCCAGTTCTGGCCACCCCTCATCACCACAGCCTCTGTTCTCAGATGGTGAAGGTGGGGGAGGCTCCCTGGGGTCTCTGGGGCAGGGAGGGGAGCAGCCCGAGCCCCTCCTCCCTGTACCAGAGCGTCCCAGATACCTCGGCACTCGCCGCCAGCCGGCCCACCAGCTTCGGGGTCCCCCACGGGCATGGCCCATGTTGGGCGGCCCAGGGACACTGGCCCAGACCTCGGGCTGCTGGGCCAGAGCTGCCACCTGCCGCTCAGCCAAGGCAGTCACACGCCGCCCTGGCTTCCCTCCGCAGAGGCCAGCTGTGTTTGTGGAGATAGACCTGCAAGACTGCGCCGAGGAGGTGAAGGCCTTGGGGCGGCAGTCAGAGCACCGGATCGGATCGGGCCTGGGGCGGGGGCTCAGGCTGGGCCCAGACCTGCTCCAGGGAACTTGGAGGGGCTGGAGCAGTGACACCCAGATGGGCCGGAGCCCTCGGGTGTGCCTGGCCGGGCGAGGGCAGCCTCACCGCGCCTCCTCTCATCCTGGGTGGGCCCAGCAGGTCTGGTCTTGGGGTCAGGCTTGGCCCTCCCAAAGGGCTCCTGCCGCTTCCCGCAGGTGGTCACGTGTGCCGTGACAGAAGAGAAGCGGGCCCAGGCGGACGCGGGGGATCTGTCTGAAGATGAGTGAGTGAGGTTGTGGGGTCATGCTTAAAGGAGGTGGGCCTCTTCTCCTACAGTTTCTGGGGCCCCTGCACCTCATGCAGCAGTGTTGGGGGCCCAAGCACTCCCACGGTTGGGGAAAAGACCCAGGATGACAAGGCCAGGCCCACTTTCCCTGTCCCACCCACCAACAAGACAGCCAGGCTGAGGGAGATGTGGGAGGAGGCAGGGGTGAGGGTGGCTGTCTCCCCTGGGTGGTGCTAGTTCCTTGGTTTGGGGTTTGGCAGCAGGGCGAGCAGAGTCGGCCCTGGGGGCAGGGGAGCCGCAGAGGGCCAGTGTCACAGCAGAGCCTGGGGCCGGGGCGGGGCGCATCCTCCCGCCTGGGCAGCGCTGCAAGGGCCAGGGTGACATTCGCCCTCCACCACTTGCCCCGTGGGCCTGTGTTATTTTAATGACATGGAGAAACTCGAACAAGGAAAGGCGGTTTGTCCAAACTCCACCACTCAGAGGGAACAGGTCTATTATCACATCCACTTACAGTAGTTTCGAGAGAAAGATCGCTCTGTTGACAGCAAAGCTGATACGCAATCATCTCAAACACGCAAAATGTGTACAGCAAAGAGCCCTTGAGCAAACACGCAGCCTCGTGGGAGGGGGTGCTCCCTGGACCCCCATCAGCCCTGCGGGATGGGTACAGCCCAGCCCACAGCCAGCCACGACACCCCCTCCAGGTCGGGGGCCAGCTGGGTGTGCTGCGTCCCGTACGCGACCCGGAGAAAGGCAAAGGAGAGCGCGTAGCTGCCCTGGAGCAGGTAACTCGCTCTGGACGTGCCAGCGGGTGGCGGAGCCTAGAGGGGACAGGAAGCAGAAAAGAGGGCATTCGACCACCCACCAACTCCTCCCGACTTCCCAGGTCCCACCTGAGATTCCTGTCTGCCCAGTAGCTGTGGGCCAGCCAGAGCTGGGAGGGACGAGGGACACAGACATCAGCCCCAGCAGGGCCACGAACCTGTGTTGGGCCCCTCCCCATGGTGGGCGCTGACGCCGCTGTCAACAAAGAGACAATAAAGAAGGACGGGGCCTGTGCCAACCCCGTGCCATGCCTTTGTCCATGAAATGTGAACTGGAAGGGTGGCTCGAAACAGACAGGACGGCTTGCCCTTGCGGTCCCCGGGTGCACGCAGCCCGGAGGCCCTGCAGAGCCTGTCCCCTGAGACCTGCCATCCTGGAGCTGGTGTGGGGAGCTCACGGGGGCCAGGAGGCCATGGAGAGGATTCCAGCGTGGGGTAGGGCTGGTGAGCACCGGGCAGGACAGGGCCATGCACAGGGACACAAGAAAGGACCATGAAGTCCTTTGTGTGAGCGCACAGCACAGGCGGGCAAGGTGAGCGCAGAGCTCATGGTTGCAAGATTAAGAACCCTGACTGGCCTACTCCTGCCAGACATGCCACCAACATGCACACAGGGGACACACATCCGTGCACATATGTCCACACAGCTCTCACACGCGCCCATTCACATGCACACATGCACGTGTAGACCTTAAGTGTGCACATGGCCACACACTACACACATGCACACGTGGGCCTATGCACCAGGCACACACACAATCACGTGTGTGCAAGCAGACACACTTCACACATGTAGGTCACACTTGTGCACATACCTGTACAATCACATGCAAATACGTATATCCGCACATGCATGAGAGCAGCATGTGCACAAGTGAAAATCCCAATGCACAGCACCTCAGTTCCCACTCCTGGTTGGCATGTGGGGCTGTGGCCAGGGCTGAGAGAGATTTTCCAGGGAGGGCACCTCTGCAGAGATGGTGCCAAATGGCGCTGTGACCTGCCTCCTACAGGCTGGGCCACTGTCTGTCCCCCGGACAGGCGGCACCAAGCAAGTGCGCTCATCCAGTCTCCAAGTGGGAACCTGGGGGGCCTTTACCTGCACCTGACCCCCAACAACTGGACCCACTGGAAGGGCACTCAGTAAGCTTCTGAGTAAGTAGCTAGTCAGTCCCTTGAAGAGCAGCTTGGGTACAGCTTTCCTCCTCTTAGTAATTCTGCTTTCAACAACTGTGGTCAAAAATGATACTCGTTTGCTACGCCTTGCCTCATGGTCTAGGTTAGAAAATGTCTCTGCTGCTGCCATTGGATCAGGTGTTTTGTGCATGTGGATTAGTTCCATTTGGTCTAGCGATCAAATCTACTGCACCCTTAGTGATTTTCTGTCCAGATGATCCACCTAGTGTTAACAGAGAAATTAAATCACTCGATAGTGCTAAGCACAGATGTATTCCCGTCAGGCTTACATCAGACTTCTCAGCAGAAACTGCAGGCAAGGAGAGAGTGGAATGATGTATTCAAAATTTTGACCACAGTTATTAAAACTAAAATTAATAGGAGGAGGAAAGCTGCAGCCAAGCTGTTCCTCAAGATAAAAGCTGCTCAAAGATAAAGACTTCCAGCCAAGAATACCATATCCTTCAAGACTGTCCTTCAGATACGAGAGAAATAAATGACTTGCCAGACAAACAAAAGCAGGAGTTTGCAAACACTAGGCCTCTCCTATAAGAAGCGTTGAAAGAACACATCTACCACAATAAAAGTGAAGGAAATACACCAAAAAATTAGGCAATAAATATAACCAGAAAACTAAAGAAAACTGGCAATGGGGGCCTCCCCGGTGGCGCAGCGGTTGAGCGCTGGGTTGTGAAGCTGCCCGCGGCCTCTGCAGCGCCGGTTCAATCCCCGGCTGCTCCCCGGCCACTGGAGGAGGATCCCACATGGCGCGCAGACCTCTCCTGCCGCCCGCTGCTCCCCTCAGCAGTGTCCTTCGGTCCTTCTGCCTGCTCTGCTCCCCGCTCTGGCTCTGGTGAATTCTCTCACCCTCCCGCGCTTCTGACTGTACCCAGTGCTTGTATAAATAAAAATAAATTAAAAAAAAATAATTAAAAAAAAAAAAAAGAAAACTGGCAGTAACAAATGCCGATATATCAATAATCACTCTAAATGTAACTATACTGAGCTCACTGTCGAGGCACCGAGTGGGTGGTTTTATCTGAAAACAACACCCAACTTCCTGTTGCCCCCAGGAGACCCACCTGAGCTCTGAACATAAACACAGGCGCAGAGCAAATGACTGGAAACAAACCTGCTTGTAAGCAGGAGGGACCAGAGAACACGGGAAAGTCATGCTTACATCAGATAAAGAAGTTCCCAGTACAAAGCTGAAAGACAGGGATGGACATTATGTACTGATTAAAGGCTCAATACATCAGGAATATAATGCACATTCACGCACGCACACGCATGCACATACACACACAGCAAAAGCAGCAGCACCAAAATATATAAAACAACCATTAACAAACCTGAAAACAGACACTGGCCACACAGAATAATGGTAGGTGACTTCACCACCCCACTTACTTCAGTTACATCAGAATAGCCTTAAAAATGGGCCTCCCTGGTGGCGCAGGGGTTAAGACGCAGACTGTGATGCAGTCCACAGCCTCTGCAGCACAAGTTCGATCCTCGGCCAGGGAGCTACCCACATGGCACAGCAGACCCACCCTGTCTCCCCGCTGCTCCCCTCAGCAGTGGATTTCAGTTTGCCTGTTGTGCTCCCCACTCTGTCTCTGGTGAGTCCTCTTATGCCCCGCATCTCTGGCCTGAACCCCAGCTCTTGCATGCATAAATAAATCTTTAAAAAAAATAGCCTTAAACGAGGAATTGGACTGGATAGACCAACCAGATATTTATAGGGCACTACGCCAAAAACAGATGAATAAACATTCTCTTCAAGTACACTTGGAGCATTTGCCAAGATGGACCACATGTTGGGTCACAAAACAAGAATCAATAAATTCATGAAGATACATCAAGTATCTTCTGACCACAAAGCAGGAAAAACCCTGAATATGTGGAGATTGAACAACACACTTCATGACTACTGGGTTAATGAAAAAATCGAGGAAGAGATTCAAAATTTATTTTAAAGATTTATTTTTATTTATACAAGAACTGGGGTGCAGGCCAGATGTGTGGGAGGGTGAGAGGATTCACAAGAGACAAGTGGGGAACAGAACAGGCAGACTGACTGAAATCCACTGCTGAGGGGAGCAGTGGGCGAGACAGGAGAGGTCTGCTGTGCCATGTGGGATGCTCACCAGCCAGCTGGGATAGAAACAGCACTGCTGAGGCTGCGGACAGCTTCACGGCGCGGCGCTCGACTGCTGTGCCACCAGGGGAGGCCCAGAGATTAAAAATTTAAGTGGAGACAAATGAAAACAAAGATATGGCCAACCAAAACTACGTGATACACAAGAGCAACACTAAGAGGGAGGTATGTATAGCTATATAGGCCGCATCAAGACACAAGAAAAAGGTCAAATTAGTCGTCTAACAATACACCTTAAGGAACTAGAAAAATAAAAACACATGAAACCGAGAGCCAGTAGGAGGAAGGAAATAAAATAAGATCAGAAATAAACAGAAGTCGGGCCTCCCCGGTGGCACAGCGGTTGAGCGCTGGGTTGCGAGGCTGCCCGCGGCCTCTGCCGCGCCGGTTCGATCCCCGGCTGCTTCCCGGCCACCGGCGGAGGATCCCACATGGCGCGCAGACCTCTCCTGCCGCCCGCTGCTCCCCTCGGCAGTGTGCCTCGGTCCTTCTGCCTGCTCTGCTTCCCGCTCTGGCTCTGGTGAATTCTCTCGCCCTCCCGCGCTTCTGACTGTACCCAGTGCATGTATAAACAAAACAAACAAACAAACAAAATAAATAAATAAAACATGCCTCTATAAAAAAAAAATAAAAAAAAAAAAAAAGAAACAGAAGTCAAAAAGTTCAAAAGATCAACAAAACCAAAAGCTGATTCTTAGGGGAAAATGAACAAAATAGACAAACCTCAAGCTAGACTCACGAAGGAAAAAAAAAAAAAATGGGAAAAACTCTAATATAAATGGAATCAGAAACAAAAATGGAAGTTTCCAGAGACACCTTGAAAATCCAGAGAATCGGGCCTCCCTGGTGGCACGGGGGTTAAGACGCAACCTATGAAGTAATCCGCACCCACTGCAGCAGGAGTTCGATTCCCAGCCAGCCAGGGAGAAACCCACATGGTGGGACAGACCTCTCCTGTCTCTCCCGCTGCTCCCCTCAGCCGTGTACTTCGGTCCGTCTGCCTGTTCTGTTCCCCACTCTGTCTCTGGTGAATCCTCTCACCCCCCACATCTCTGGCCTGTACCCCAATTCTTGTATAAAAATAAATAAATCTTAAAAAAAAAAAAAGAAAATCCAGAGAATCATAGGAGACTACTATAAATGTCTTAGTGCTAATAAATTGGAAAATCTGGAAGAGAAGGACAATTTTTTTTTAAAGCATAAAACCTTCCACAACTGAATCAAGAGAAAATAGAAAACCTGAGCAGACCAATTACAAGCAAGGAAATTTAAATAGTAATTAAAGTTCTCCCCCAAAACAAAAGACAAAGACCAAGTGGTTTTACTAGTGATTTCTTTTTTTTAAAGATTTATTTATGCATACAAAAACTAGGGTACAGACCAGAGTTGTGGGGGTGAGAGGACTCCCCAGAGACAGAGTGGGGAACAGAACAGGCAGACTGACTGAACTACACTGCTAAGGGGAGCGGCGGGGAGACAGGAGAGGTCTGCTGCGCTCTGTGGGTAGCACCCCGGCCGGCCGGGGATCGAACTCGTGCTGCAGAGGCTGTAAAATGCTTCATAGTGCGGTGCCCAACCCCTTGTACCACCAGGGAGGCCCTTACTAGTGATTTCTACAAAACTTTCAAAAAGAAACTTATATCCTCCTTTTCCAAAGAGGGAACATTCCAAAGAAGGAATGTTCCCAAACACATTTTATGGTGCCAACATTACCCTAGTACCAAAAGCAGACAAGAATATCACAAAAAAAAGAAAACTACAGAACAATCTTCCTGATGAACACAGATGCAAAAATACTCAACGAAGTCTTAGCAACACAAATCCAACAATACATCAAAAGAATTGTACATCACAACCAAGTGGGATTTACTCCTGCGAAACAAGGATGGTTCAGCACAGCAAATCGATCCATGTAATTCACATCAACAAGAGGAAAGACAG